GGCCAGTGGGCTTCGCTCTGGGCAGGCTTCCTTGGATGCTGCATTCCATCTCCCCAGAGGGGGGGTTGAGCATCAGTAGCACACATGTGAAGCTAACTCGCTGTCTTTATAAGACCAATATGTCCAAACACATGCGCATCAAGCTCTGCATAAAGATTTACAGCCTTTCACAGCCCATTGGGACACCGTTCGACCTACTGCCAATGAGCAAACAGAGGGGAGGGGGAGGGGCATGTGTTTTTCAAGCGCAGGGTTTGGATGGTTTTATGTTTGTTTTATTTTGAAGAATTGCTCAGGAGAAAGAAGGGGAGGGGGTGATTTTGATGAATGGACACCTGCCACAGTCCTCATTTCCAGCCACAAAAATGGTTTCATTTATGCAGCCGGCAGCCCCCTTCAGGCTCACACAGCAGAGACTAACGAGGGGGACTGCGTCCGTGTGTTTTCAAAATGCTTCCCTCCCTCGCCTTAGAAAATTCTCTTTCATGTGGTCACGTCTGCGAGAGACGTCAACATTACGGTTACAGAAAAATAAAAGGAACTCTGCCAGAGAAGCATTCTGCTTATTCTGGCACACACACACGCGAACGTACTGCTGGTATTGGCAGGACACACACAGCCAATAAATGGATGGCTGCTCAGGGAAGTGGTTGAATCACAAGCTTATAATGAAGTTTATCACACCACACTCCTGCCTCTGTGCAGCAGACACGATGTCAACCGCTCAACAGTCGTAACCGACACTCAGAAAGGGATTTTATCAGATATCAGTCGCATGACATTTTTATTTGTAGGACTCCAAAAATGCAGATTCTGTTAGAAAAGATCAAACAGAAGCAGCCAGGATAAATAGCAGTGAGAAATCTAATCTGTGAGGCAAACGCTGGATTTATGTCCCATCAGGTCACACGTTATGAATTATTTTAGCTTACCTTAGAAACACACACGGTCCTTTAAGTCCCATATCTGTTGCTTTATAGTTCAAAATCCTTTTAACACATGAAGCTAATCAGCCAGTCACATGCAGGCAGCCATGTGGCACCAGAATGAGGGGGGAAAAAAACACTTTGAATGTGTGATGGTTGTTGGTACCAGACAGGTTGGTCTGAATATTTCAGAAGTAGCTGGGATTTTCACCCACAACCACCTTTACAGAGTGTGCACTGAAAATGAGAAAACATCCCATCAGCGGCAGTTGTGCAGACAGAAATGCCTTGTTGATGACAGATGTTGGGCCGACCGGTTTGAAATGTTTAAAGTCAACAGAAGCTCAAATAACCACCAATTCTAAATGACGTCTGCAGAGTGCTTCAAGCAGGTCCAGTGGACCCATCTTCTGATGCTACTTCCTGTCACAAAGCTCAGATCGTCCAACTGGTTTCTTGAACATAGCGATGAGTTCACTGGACTCCCAACGGCCTCCGCACCAGCCACCAGATCCCAATTTAGCCCAAAAACTTTGGGTTATTGTGGAGCAGGAGATCTACATGAAGGATGCTGTCATCTTAATATGGACCAGAACGTCTGATGAATGTTCCCAACACCTTGCTGGAGCTCTGATATGACGAATAAAGAAGGTAAAAGGAGGTCTAACCCTGCAACAACAGGGTGTACCTAATAAAGTGACAATTACCTTTCTTAGATCTGAAAATAATTTATGGAAATTGTTAAAAAATGCAGAACTGCGGGGTGAAAGAGACTTAGTGCACTTCTTGTTTTGTCCACATACAAAAAGCTGTCAAATCTTCACACAGCCGTCAGAGACAGGGTCTCTAATGCTGACTCTAATGTCGTCACAATTACAGGACAGACCAGGGCCAGGAAACTACTGATCCAGATCTCCATTCCAACCTAAATAATAAGAATCGGATTTAGACACAGGCTAATTCAAATCAACTCAACCAACGCTTTATTAACATAGATGTAAAAGGGTTTCCCCCCACTTTTAGTACAATTTGTTTTCTGTCAAGTCACAATGGCTTCAGAGCACAAAGTCCGGACGTTTCTCTAAATAGCAACATTCCCCAAATCCTGTAGGAGCTGGGGAATGTTCTGATATTCCCCAGCAGGAGATACAATTCACTGCTTGTTATGCATGGCTGAAAAGACCTAAAAGGAAGCACAGACAGGGCTAATTCTGATCATGCTGTATCAACAGCAGCAGGCTCTACTCCTGGTTTCTTAGGAGTCTGTCCACTCAGCTCAGGCCATTTGTATCAATCACCAAAGTTTAGTATCAAAACCCTGGAGTCAAACTTCACCTTTAACTCTAATTCCAATACTCCTTCCACTGGAGCAACAACACATTTACCCTCAACCCATAAAGATGAGATAGGCATTTTTAAAGAGACTAATAGTCTTTTTACATCATAACAATGTTAACAACTTCATAATAAACATCTATTATTGCATATAAAACTTCACAGTTCATAGACTGAAGCAGACAGCTGACACATATACATGCACAGCAACATTTCCACCAAGATCTCCATAGAGCATCATTCAAAATCAGTTTTTATTCATGTCTGCGCCAATCCAAATCTTTTATTATCAATTTCTCTCTGGTTCTGCTGATTCAGTTCAAAACTATGGAAACTACTGCCAAACCAAAGATTTAGGCTGAAAATTTAAAAAAAGAAAAGTCACTTTTTTAGACATTTAGAAAAAATATGTTTGAAAAAAGCAAAATGAAACTACTTTAGGGAGATCTCAACATCAAAGAATGCAGTCAAACAGGGCACCTTTTACGTAATGTAAGAGGGCGGTGACCGTGTAATAGAGGGTGTGTGTGTGTGTGTGTGTGTGTGTGTGTGTGTGTGTGTGTGTGTGTGTGTGTGTGTGTTGTTACTGCAAAATATCTCATGAGTCAGTGATCGGATTTGAACGAAACCCCCAAAAAGCAATCATCAGATGCAAATCTACAACTGATTAACTTTTTGGAGTCAAACTCATTCAAGATAGTCACCACTAATTGAGTTTAGCAAGCACAAATTAGACCATAGCTCATTCAATTTTGCAGATACTGAGGTATAATTGGACGTGGTAGTAGCCCAGTCATTCACAACATATACAGCTTAAGCAAAATCTCATGTTATTTTCAAGATTTGGCTTAGACATCTAAAAATCCATCATTTCTCACTATAAGATATTGCTTTTATTGAATGCTAGGTCTTTTATTATTATTATTAAGTCCAATTAACTGATCACTTCTATACTGGTATCTATGAAACATTTTAGACTAAAGCGATGTATTTACCCACCTATAACCATTTGCAGCTCCAATTTAAGGCAGCTACTGCCAGCTTTTATTATTGTCTCAAAAACTGACAGCTGTGCAGGATTAGGTCTCACAGGGTAATGTCACCATTTTTGCAAATGTCAGTTTTACCAAAGTCTTGATAAGCCTCTGAATAATCCAATGAGCTATTTATTACTCAACCGCTTTTAAGAGTTTATTGCCTGAAGTCTGGTTATGTCTAATGCATGTTCCTATAATTAAACCCGTGGGTGGTGGTCAGCAAACTGGAATACAACTTGACCAACTGGAACAATTAGCCGACATTAGCTTAAAAGCCAAGTTATCCCAGGAAAAGACAACACCTTCCACGTTCATTTTGATACATTTTAAAACACATAAAGCGACAGTGAACGAGATGCAAAAGCCGAAACACATGCATCTATTTATAGCATAAACGTATGCTTCTAAATTTAACGTTAGCAGCAACCGGTCCGAGCTGCTTCCTGTCGTCCACGACATGCTCAGCTAATAAATGTATGAGCTATGTTTAACTGGGAAATTAACCACACGCCTTTCATCTCCAAAGAGACCGGACACAACTAAGTAGGTTTCAAGTAAACGAACATCCGCTGAGCCATAAGCTCCACCATTCATCGACACTGACAGGGAAACCTGTGAACAGTATCCTGGATGGATTGATAAGGATTGCAGGACTGTTCCCTGCTGTAGCATGAATAACATTTACGCTAGCTGGCTAATATTTATATAGATTTTTAATCAACTCATTCCATGATGTAAGCCACTTACCTGACCTTTCGCGAGAATCCCTACTTTGTGGTAGAATAGAGGTCCATGTCGTTGCCTACTAACATCGTTGACTTGATTTGTTTAGGTAGAGTGAAGGTTTTGCTGCACACAGCCATGACAACACGCCCATGCATTGCGTCACCGGTCATGCTGCCTTCATGGCCAGCTCGTAATAAACAAAATTAGGTTAATATGGTTAAATTAGGCATTCAAACATTTATGGCCTATGTCCAATTAAAAATTATTAATGGTGATAATAATATAACGAAACCCTTGTATTTTTGTATAACTTAGCCTGAACATTTCAAATTTAGTTCTACTTTTGTGAAAGGTAACTTAAGGCAGCTGTTCTGCTGTCTTGTTCTTCCAGTCATTATTTCTCCTTTTTTATTTTCTCCTACTTTTCATACTTTGCCATTAGGACTAATGGCATTAAGAACTCATCCTGTCAAAAGAAACAATAAAAGAGGAAATAAAAAAATAGAAAATAAAGTTTTGAATAAAAAATATAGGAAATGTGAAAAAAAATGTTTTTTTAATTTGTCTGTTTTGGCAGGGTGGGTTCTAAAGATTTTAGTAGTCTAGCTTGAATGAGGGGTGGGGTTGCCCTCTTTCTTCAGGGCTGACCCCCAGCAAGAGGGCAGCAGGCCAATTAAAACACTAAATAACTTTAAATATGGATAAACTAAACATTATGAACAAATTTTACGTATGTGGTAACTTTATAATTAAGCTAGTACTTCAGTTATAAAGCAGACACAGTCGTGGAGTTGTCTTACAAGCTAAAATTGTGACATAAAGACGTGTTTTCATCCAAAATGGAGAAATAATTAAATATCGGACCAAAAAGCTGACCTCTGGTACCTGGTTGCACAGAAGACTCATGAAACAAGTAAACAAATATGGAAACACTGCCCCCTACTGGCCAATGATGCGAGATTATTCCTGAAAATGATTCCTTTCTTGGTAAATTAGCATTTATTTGCACACACAAAAAATTACATCCTCCCAACATTATAAGAGTGACTTTCAGCATAACTAATACATATGAAATCAATAAGAAACAATTTCTGCATCAGATATCAGGTCATTTGTGACGGCATGCTCCAGCGGTTTCCCTCTGAACATTGTTACTCCAGTGTGATCCCTGATGTGGAAGTCGGAAACATTAGCTTGCCAGACTTTTTTTCCATCATTGAGTCAGAATATACAGCTGGTCAATAAAATAAACTCTGAAAGTAACATGTTGGCAAAATGGAAGCAGCTACTAGTGTGGTTATCCAAACAAACCTCCACAAAAGGTTGCTAATAATATATTTAAAAAAAAAAGAAATTCTTGCTGCTCCAACTATTCCCGCAAAAACTTTAAGTGCTTAAAAAAATATTTGTCTTTTGAGTGTTTTAGCATTTTCTACTTGGACCAAAAATAAAACATGGTAAACCAACATTGGTGAGTTTTATTACGATCCAATAAAACACTATTTGGTTTTCCAGAGTAAAATAATAACCAAGTCACTCAAACATATGATACAAAGAAAAAAACTGAAATAAAGATCAAGGTTCATGAGCTTTCTTTAATCAATGCTCTGTATTTATTAAAACTACAAATCTGGCAACTGCAGATTCTATCTACCCTTCAATATTGAGAACCCCTTTAAAATGGCGTACTTTTAATTTACTTCAAACACATGGTAGATGACTTAATACTGCAGGAACCCTGCCTCGTTCTGTCGCAGAAGATCGACAAACTAAATCTGTTCAGCTCATAAATTAAAACAATAAATTAAAGCAGCAAAGCCCTCAGACAGATGTGTACAAGTAGAAAGGAGTTTGTATGAAATGTTAAATATAATCATTTACAATAATGGCAGGCTGCCAGGAGGTGCCAAAATGATCCCAAAAACGTAGAAAAGCCCCATGAGGAGGTTGAGCTTGGCAGTTTTTTGGGGGATCTTGGCATAGCATCGACTCCTGAACTGTTTCTCCAGAGGAAAGGCTATTGGCAGCGTGAGCAGAGGCAGGGCCATGCTGATGGTGTAACGGGTGGCGAGGATGCAAAAGAGCACGTACGGGACAAAGAGCAGCAGGTTGTATAGGACGTAAGAGAGTGTGGGGCCTATGAGGATGGCCAGAGTGACAATTCCTGCTTGCTTGTCAGAGTCCATGTCTCTGGTGTTGTTGCTGTGGAGAATGGCTTCTGTGTTGAGGGCCAACGGGACGGCGTACACCAGCGGCAGCACCGACAGGTAACCAACCTGCACGGCGTGGGCAAACATGACAGCCAAAGGGCCGAAGGTAATGAGGATTACGATGTCGCCCAGGGCCACATACTTAAGGCCAATGCCTGGAGAAAAGAGCAAACGAGAATCCACATTTAACCTCAACATAAATGAAAACATCTCCAAAAACAAACATCACTTTCACACACACTGCTATTTAGGGCTGCTCAATTAATCGAATTTTAATCACGATTACGATCTGAGTTTTGAACGATTATAAAAAACAAAACAAGCAGATTATTAGCTCCTCCCGCTTGCGCTGCCCTGAGTTGCAAATGAAGCGCTCCCCCCACAGTGTTACCAACTTGGCGACTTTGACGCTATTTCTAACAGCTTTTCAGACCCCCTTCTTGACCTTTTAAATCTTAAAAATACCTAGTGAACACCTCAGAAACATCTCTGGTAACCCTTAGCTACTTTCTGGATAACTGTCGTCGACATTTCCTGCAGGTTAGCTAAACACTCCGCCTGCTCTCCGGACCGTTCGTCAGGACATTAGGAAAGGGAATGATGTAGTGATGTGTCAGTCGCTACAGAAACGGCTCTCAGAGTTGGCTCCCTGTTGGATTAACCAGAGTGAGTGACACACACACCGCACCTGCGGGCTCCTGAGCCACTAAAAACGGCTAAATGTGTGCGTGCGGCGCGCTAAACACACGTGCAGCTTGCCCCGATTGCTGTGAGACCGGGTTGGGGGGTGCAGCTGTAGTTGGGACAATTATTGCATTAAAAAAAAAACTGATGGACCTGTAAATAAATAGTTTATAAATAAGGTAGAAATAAGTTCCTCATGCTGATAAATAATAACTAATCTCTCTGAGGACACGGTGCTAGTGCACTCTCCTACAGCACCTTGACACGACTTCAATAAATGTTACGCAACATTTTGTGAACATCAATTTATTTACATTTATTTGTTATTAATGCCACTGTATGATTCTTGCTGTCAGTATTTGCAAGATATTGGTATTTGGGTCTGTACTGGTTAGACTTACATGAGTTAAACCAAGGTCTACAGCCCTTGGGTCATAAACTATGAGCTGTAAGTATATTGGTCTTTTTATACTGGGAATCAGGAGTTATTTTAGTGATCATCTTGTTTCTTATTTATTTTTGTCCTGATTGTGCCCTGAGCAATTTTATGACTGAATAAAAACAAATAAAATCAACATAAATAGAAAAATCGTCCTAAATAATCGTGATCTCAATTTCAGTCACAGTAATCGTGATTATTAATTTTGCCATAATCGAGCAGCCCTACTGCTATTTTTATTTTTCAGGTACAGAAACAAAAATGTGCGGTTCAGTCAAACTCAAAAAATGTGACTTTTTAGGGGTCATGTGAATGCACCATTACAAAGCAGCGTTTAAATAATCCTGCTTTTTTTTCCCTCCCAAGCTGTGAAGTCACCATAACTATGCACTCACACAAGAAACAACCGCTCTTCTATGTGGAAGTTTTAACATCCAGAATAAAAACTTTTAATTTGACTCCAATTTTTGGGATGTTATATTAATTATAGATTTTTTAGAATAATTTGGAATCAGCCCAAAGCGGTGCAGGAAGGTCAGAGAAGTAAAAGATTTACGAATCAGTTTTAGCCCCATTAAGCCAGAATTGGTGCTCCTCTACGATGTGATTCCAGATGTGGAAACCAGTACGAGTTCACAGTGAAGGTTTAAGCTAAAAGTCACTGGATCATTCAATTCCAGGAATTTAAATACAGCTTTATGCCAATCATTATTATAATTAAAATTATGCACACAAAAAATGCTCATTTTTATCTCATTCAAACTCCGGTTACTACAGTTGAGCTTTAATGAATGCACGTTATTAAAAATGATTTAAAAACCATTTCATTTAAATGTTTTTATGTTAATCTGTACAACAATGAACTATGTTCTGTGGAGAAATTCAGTCACAGCGAAGATTTCAGTTTGCATGAATTAGACGTATTTTTTTAAAGACACAAACTCCAAGATGTGTTTTGCTACCTAGAGGAAGTTGTGTGTGAAATCAGCATATAAAGAAATTCAAATTTTACTTCTACTCACCTCCAGTATATAAAAAAGAACTGGAGAGTCCCCCAAAGTAAATAAGAGCGAGATGCTCCAGCTTTAGTGTAGACAGGAAGTAGAGCAGCGTGGCACACAAGCATCCCAAAGAATACAGCAAAGCACCAAACATGACAACATCCTGCGGCGCCAGAATTTCATCCACCAGAGTCCTGTCGTCACTTTTCTTGTGATCAATTCCCTTAGAGAAGTCATAGTAGGTGTTTACGAGGTTCCCTGCCCCGTGGACAACGAGGACAGCCACAGCACACACCATCAGGACGAGCAGGTCCACGGAGCCCTCCAGTTTGTAGGCCAAGGCGCTGCCGAGGGCCACGGGTATGAGCGAGGCGCTAAAGCTCCACGGTCTCAGAGCTAGCACATAAGCTGCACACTTCTGTCTGACGTGTGAGGCGACACGGGCCATCCTCGACGTGTGGTCGGCGGCGACAGGGGGATTCTGCCTCTCGTTCACGAAAGCCTGCCACTGATGGACATTGTGACCATTCGATCCGGCCAGCACAAATGTTTTCGCCCGGCCTTCTTGTGGTCCTTTAGCCATTCTTCTGCAGGGGCTCTACAGATTGAGCAACGTTCCCAAGTATTAGTCTGGGGTTCCTGTGGGAACAAATCACATCAGAGACATGATAACAGCCGACTACCTTTGCACAACATCCAGCCAGGGAAACCATCCTCTAGCTCAGACTACAAATGTGGCTGGAACATTTTGTAAATTGGTTTCAAATGCTTATGCTTGTAATTATCAAACAAATATTTACTGGTTTATAGTTAAGACTTTTATAAAGGTGTTGCCATCTTCTTTGTTACTTATATTACGATTTGTATATATGTACATAGTACTGTTAAAGAGTCAATATTTAAGCAACCATACTAATTCTCAAATTGGGACTTTTGACATTTTTTAAAGAAGTATTTAAGTAAATTGTTATAACCAGTTCCATGACTTACAGGATTTGATAGAAATTTTTAACTTATGCATTTTAAAGTGGTTCTTTACTCATCAGTCAGTAGTAAATGGATGTATTTTAATGCTTTCATGATAAAGTCTCTGTTTAGAGGCTTAAAATCATTCTACAAAAAACAATGAGATGTAAGAGCTGAACAGCACAAAACAGCAGATGATCAAAGAAAATTTTGAGCAGATATTTAGAGAAACACTGCTGAAGAAAACATTTAAAAAACACAAAGTTTGTGAAGCAAAAGATAAATAAATGAGGGGTGAGCCCATTTTCTTTTTGCAATGCTGCATTTTTAGTTTGGTTTATCAAGCTTCTGGCAGTTTTAGCTCTTCATCTAAAGTTTTTATGATGGGTTTTGTGTCATAACAGGATCATTTTGTCACTCTTCATCTCATATATGATGCCATGTGATTAATCTAGACGAGAGTTGTCCTTAGAATTCAAGCTCCTGACCAGTGTTCAGTGAGCTAACCTGCAGAGATATTTACTCTTTCAGTTGTCTGATACTTTATAACCCAGAGCCTTCTGTACTTTATTTCCATGTTGTTTCGGTTGTTTCCCAATGACTCTTATGTTTTAGGTATGCAGATGGACTGGTTGGTAAAAAAAAAATAATGCTACTGCACTACTGGCAGTCCATTGTCATATCTCTGATCACTTTAAAAGATATAAACAAATAACTTCCCCCACATAAAAGAACATTTTAGTCAGATTTGAAATGCAGCGTCTAAAAATAAATCTTCCTATTAGCAACACTTATATTTCAAGGTGTTTATAACTGAAAATACATAAAAAAAACAAAGTTTAGGATATCTAAAAAAAAATTTCCCAACTCATATCAATAATTATACAAATTTCTATTAACAACAAATTGTTGCACTTTTCATTAATGTGGAAAATGAGCTTTCAGCTCCAGGAGAAACATTGTGCAGACCTAAAATATTAATCCTAACAGAGGAAACGTTCATGTACAAATTATATTTCGAAGCATTATTTTTTTAATACACAACTGTATTTTTAGACATAGTGCAGGTCTGAAATGATTCCGGTGTTGTGCCAAAAAGCGACTCGCTGCCAACAAATGATTAGCCACCGCGGGATCGCGCACGGTTAGGGTAATTGCATTTCCAGAACGAAATTCCCCAGAATTTTGCATTAAAACTCGGCATATCTAGCAATATGGACATTGAGAAAGCAGAGATAACCCCGTCCGGTACTTAAACAGATGTTTATCACGGATATTATTTTTTTTCCAGTTCAGAAGTTGTTTTAAGTGTTGCTATTTGTCTTAAACGTTCACAATAAGGATATATCAATACTTTTTGCAATATTAGCGATTGAAAGATGGTTTGTGGTAAGAACTGGCTTTCTTTATGTTACAGCCTTGATACTAAAAAATAAACAGTGTATCCTGTGATGTGACTAATAACATCAAGAGACAACAAATAAAGTAATATTTAGGTAAATTTAACCCTTTACACGTGACCAGGACACTGTAATCGATTTTTGGCAAGGGAAATTATCATTTTTTGCCATTTTGGGGGTGTTTATGATGATACAGTAGACAGTATGAGTACAATAACATCAACAGATAATACATAAAACCCTTATTTGGTCAATTTTAGCCTCCATGAAAATCTGAGCGATTCAATCACTTTTTGGCATGTAAAATGCCATTTTTGTTGTCTACAATTAAATAGTCAATAAAGAATTTAAAGATATTTTGAGGCCTTTCTTATAGGTAAACAGGAGGGTATAGTCTCTATTTGGCAAGTGACAATCTTAATTTTATGTGCTGAAGTGCTTTTATCTTGTTAGTTTTAAATAGAGCAAAGTAATGTATAGATAGTAACCTACACAGTGTCATTGTAAAGCCAAAGCTTGATCAGTTTAAATACTATTTTTTAAGTAAAAATGTGCCCCAAACTAGTTAACTGTGGCTCCATGTCAAGTGGACTACAGAAAGGAAGGGAAAAAATCAAATCGCTGGAGAATTGTTTATTTCCATTTATACAACGTTTGACTTTACATTCAATACAGGGCGCCATTTTAAACTGTTTATTTATTTTTAGTATCAAGGCTGTAACATAAAGAAAGCCAGTTCTTACCACAACATCTTTTAATCGCAAATATTGCAAAAAGGATTAATACATCATCATTGTGAACGTTTAAGTCAAATAGCAACACTTAAAACAACTTCCGAACTGGAAAAACTAATATCCGTGATAAACATCTGTTTAAGTACCGGGCGAGGTTATCTCTGCTTTCTCAATGTCCATATTGCTAGATATGCTGAGTTTTAAGGCGAAATCCCGGGGAATTTCGTCTAGAAATGCAATTACCCTAACCGTGCGCGATCCCGCGGTAGCTAATCATTTTTTGGCAGCGAGTCGCTTTTTGGCACAACACCGGTCATAATCCGAATGTTGGATATTATTTACAGTTCATTCTGGATAGGAAGAGCATCCTTGTGGATAACTGGAGCAGAAACACACAAACAGACTGTGCAGACATTCGTTCGTAGAAGAATTATTTAAACACATTTTGATTTTTGACTAAATTAAGTGAAAATTTTACGTGTTTCATTACGTGTATCATGTGCGTAAACATTCGGCTAACCCGCCTTATCTGACCAGAGCGATTGTAGAACCAAATATTAGATTCGATTCAAATTTAAAATAAGATGTTCACAGAAAAAAAGCAGACCGTTTCGTCATGTAGACAAAATATGATAAAGACAGACAACCTGGGACTAACTCCTGAGATTATAGGCTTAAAGCTAATAGGCTAACCATCAAGCTAACGTTAGAAGTTCAGGAGCAGATGGGAGGAAATGTCTGACGGAAACTACTCTTACCTGCTACGGCTTCAATAACCCGACACAAAAACACTTTATTTTCATCTACCAGCATATTTAAACGCAAGCTGAGCCTGACACAGCATCAAGGAGTCGGAGAGGTTACATGTCAGCCTCAACTGCTACACTTGATAGGCACGCTTCCTCCGTCACGTGTGCAACATTAGTTGGTGCTCAAAGAAACGGTGACTCGTGAAATAGTTCCGGCGTGAAAACTGCTCTATTTTTTAAGAGCAGACATAAAAGCACATAAGCACAGCTGTTTAAACTTAAAAAACATTCCAGATTTAAATATTGACAAAACCAACAAACCCAATTTAATTTAAATAAATTGGCTTTAGGTCCGTTTTAAAATAGAGGTTAAATGGTTAGTTTATCTAAAGACGCTTTCCATTTTTGTCCTTGGAAATCTTGGTAACAATAGATCCACAGACTGTTTGAAATTTGATAAGAGAATATTAGTTATTTTAATAGGAAAATGTATCAAACAATGACTTTTTCCTTTTGTCCTGACTTGTGTTGAGAAGAAAACAAAAACTGGTGCAACATAATTTATTTTTGCAGTAAGTCTGTATTCTGGCTCTTGTATTCTGGATCATCTCAAACGTTTAAAGGCATTGTTTGACTACCAGCAGTGCCATATCTGCTAATAAATTGAAAATTAGTCAAAATATAACAGCAGAATAATATAAAAATTATAAATTAAACAGGTTTAAACCTACTGATGCACTTAAGAATATATTTGAGTTTTAATGGACAGTGATGAAAAAACATTCTCTTCTGTCAACCCAATGCTGAACTTCATCTTATACATTATGGAGAAAAATGTTTCACTCCACACTTGACCTATTATTATCAGTCACAACGCCAGAGAGAGGGTTCTCTTATCTCCAGAGAGACGTTTTACGACTTTTTTAAGTTAGATTTTTATAAAAACGTGTTTATGAAGTTCTCTGCACAAAAATAATCTCAAATAAAACTATTTCTGCAGTTTAATTCTTGACTATTTCAGTACCTTCCAGAATGAGCTGTTTCAGGGCTCTGTCATTTTAAGAAAACAAGCTGGAACTGGCCACGCCCACCCATCCTCTGCTCAGGCTGCTATGAGCTGACAATCTCCAATGTCTAGGAGTGGCAAACATGTAAAGAGCTGCTGCTCCTCCTCCAGCAGTAGCTGCTCACCTCCAGGTGAGAGGTGGTTCTATGCTAACTTCACCATTAGTGACATTACAAATGGGGACATTTTAAAAGGGCTTGTTTTAGGCACATAACTCCCAAAACTAAACACTGCAAGAAAACAGATGGACTGTATATTTTCTTAAAGATAAGAATGTTTAGAGACCCACATGGCAGCACAGAACGGTGCAAAAGGGGAGTTTTGCATAAAGTGTCCCCTTTAAGTTGCCTTTGTTTACACACATCCAAACGAATAAATCCAGAAATTACATATTGTGTCCTCATGCAGCCACATGTGTGTTTAAATACTCATTTAATGCAAGCAAATCTCAGCACCACTCTGACTGAAAACTGGTGGACATTTTTATTCACCTCTAAATAGAGGCATGAGACCCACATTTGCATATTTTCTTTAGGTTTTTGTCTCTAACAAGTCACCAACCTTTATCCTTGATGAAGATGAGCTTCTGCCCCCTCTGATAACGTATCGTGATACGCCCCTGGTTCTTGTGTGTGGATTGCTCTCCCCCCTCTAGTACAGAAATACAAGAGGAAAGAAAAAAAAACTCCAGCAGCCCATCTGATTCTGCTTAAACCGCGCTGTGGCGGGACGAGCAGTGCGTTTGGTTTTCATTAGATAGTCTCGACACTGACCCCCTGCCCCAGCTCCAGAAACGCGAAGCCAGCCCGCTTGGCAGGCGCGCGCTGAGAGGAAAAGCAGAGCTGGTGCGCAGTCTGCGCAGCTTTCTGCACCCCGAGCTGCGCCGCCGCACACAGACAAACTGACTGATGTCACCACCAAGAAGCACACATCTGCATTGAGGTGACGAGCTGTATTCGCAGATACTTTTTGTTTCCTGTGAAACTGAAGCCATGGTGTGCAGCCGGACTCCCGGACGGCTACGCAGCGGAGGCTCCGCTCCTCTGCTGGCCGCTGCGCTGCTCAGCCTTCTGCTCGCAGGGATGCAAACCACAGCGTTTCCCTCCTGGAGGGTCGAGGTATGCCGGGACCGCTTCATCTCAGAAATCAAGGACAGTTGTAGGGAGGCAATATTAAACCACACTCCAAATTATTGCTTTGCAACTTGCTTCTGCAATATTGTTCCTTTTTAACTCTGCTTATTTATCTTGGAGTTTAATTGATATGACAGGAAATAGATTAAGATTAAATGACGCACGTAGCCTCTAATCCTTATTTACAAAACTCAAACCTGCACGTTGTGCACATCTGACTCTCAAAATTCCTATTAATAGGAATCAACTGTTCATAAATTTCCTCCTTAAAACCCAGTTTATTTCTCATGCAGACAGATGGAGTCCTCTGGCAATTGACGTCAGATTGGATTCGTGTTTGGTTTAAGAAGGAAAAAAGATGAATTAGATCAGGCAACCAATCCTGGTCATATTCCTGCTGAACTGATGAAATGTGTTGTGATCGCTGCCAACCGCCCACTGTGTTAGTGAGCCTGAGGGATAGGTTTTATGGCTTTCCCTTTGCCACACACTCTCATGTCAGTCAGGAAGACTGCTGGAGGATAACTCACCCAGATTAGCTCAGTCTATAGCATGTAGCACCACCTGTGATGTCATTATGTTGTGAAATGTTATGATGATTTCAAAAAGATTTATCAGAAAGAATGTTTCAGGCTCAGTTTACCAAGGAGGAAAACAAACATAATGCTTCTTTTTTTGTTTCTAAAGCTTGGAATGAAAATTCCTTGTTTGGTAGTTTGACACTAAACTATTCCAGACTTCCCTCAGAGATTCCTCCTCAGATGTTTTTGCTTTGTGAGTCAAAACTCTCTCCAGCTCCAGGATCTAGTCTAAATCTTTACTCTTCCTGGTTTGTAATTCATCTCAATCTGAGCCAAAGCGTGAGTGTGGATGTGCTGGGATACGACGACGCAGAGCTGTCCTGCATGCTCTTGACCTCAAACACCTCATAAATGAGCGTCATCCTGGGTCTGCGGACAACCTTTGTTGAATTGAAACCGTCACTAGCTCTTCCTGAAAAGCTGATGTTTTTGCAACTTTTAATAAACCCAACCCAGTTGCCATTTTTGTTGCTGAAAATAGACTAATGTTAATATTTCAAAACCAAGAAAGCAACAAATCTAGGAAACTGCAAATGTATGAAACCCTTCCGTCAAACGGTTTAGACACCACTGGTGTAGAACAGAGTTTGGACAGTCTGAGTAAATATTTAAAGGCTCAGTGAGCTTTAGCAGCATGTTGCTTGGCTGCATTCAGACCAGAGAGATGAGTCTGTTTATGAAGATGTTTTTGCTTTTTTTAATCTGTGAGCTGAGGAATGGAGAGCATCTGTGAGCAGCCTCTTGTTTTACCTCAGCTCCTCAGAGAGCGTGATGCTGCTACACGCTCAGCTGTTGGACCCCGAAGTCTTCACACAGACCTAAACCGTGCACACCTGTGGAAATCTTCATCCAGTCCAGGAACTGTTTAATTTTAACATTTCAGTTAAATTTTATTTAAATTTGATTGAAATGACTAATTCAATTCAATTCAAAAATACTTTATTACTCCCAGAGGGAAATTGATTGCTGTAGTAGCTCAGAATAATAATAATAATCAAGTCATCAAAGAGTTGTTGTATATTACAATGGCTGTTGGCAGGAAGGATCTCCAGTAGCGGTCAGTGTTGCAGCCAAACTGAAGAAGCCTCTGACTGAAGACACTCTTCCGTTGTCGGACAGTCTTGTGAAGAGAATGCTCAGGGTTGTCCATCATTTTCTTGATTCTCTGGAGAATCCTTCTTTGCATTATCTCCTCCAGCGGTTCCGAAACTGCCAAAACTGTGGCTGAGTCCTTGAAAGGGCTTGGAGTTCCTCCATCTTGTTGGCCAGTGATCTCACATTGCCCATTATGATCAATGGAAGAGATGGTTTGAATTTCCTCTGTCTCCGTTTTGCTCCCGCTCTGCATCCACGCTTCTTGCGTTTTAGCTCATTTGGGATTTGTGGCTTCAGTTGAGGTATTATTTCAGCCTTCCCAATGTTAATCAGCTGCTTCCGATTGTAAACCAGCTTGTTGCCATGGTTACGCATCATAACAAATGTTCAAAAAGTGAAAAAAGCTAAAAAAAATAGCAGTAAAAATCCTCCAAGTTTCACAGCACCAGAAACAGAAAAGTAGTGTCCAAAAAATACAGTTTTTCTTGAGAAACTAGAAGAAAAAATGCTCAAGAAAAGGCAAAACTTACATTTAGTCAACAGAGCTACTCCAACATGCAGCCACCCAGAGCAGCGCAGTTCCAGGAAGAAAAAAAAGGGAGACTCACTGGAAGAAACTCCTGTTGATTTGCACGGTGAGGTGAATCATTAAAGGTTTTTGCTTTGTCCAAGGAAGAAGCTCACACCACCGTGCTGCTCATCGGGATCCGCAAGGAGGCCCGCTCCCAAGTGCTCAACCTCTCCAGGAACAAGCGCTACACTCTGACCCCGGAGAATCTCAAATGGGACAAGTTCAAGCTGACATACAAGTATTTACATTCTAAAAAGAGACTTGTTCAATGTGTCAAAAGTTGCACTGCAGCTCCAAAGATCTCTGAATCTGTTGATGTGGTTCAATTCCACTTTAACGAGATATTTTTATCCAGTGACAAAAGTTTCGTCATCTCTTCCAAGATACACATTCATATGTTATTGACACAAAAGCTGGTCTAAGTCATCCTGGAGATCCATTTGAAGAAAGAAGGAAAATGAAAGAGTGCTGAAATGACTCCTGCACTCGCGCTGCAGTGGCAGGGATTCAAAAACAGTCTGGATTTTGCTCGATTAACTCCTTCTGGAGCTGTAAATGATCCTGCAAAGTCCTCAACGGAGAGGCTAAACTAGAGAGAGGCACGGTCCCCGAGTTTTGGTGGTCCAGCAGACAACAGGCAGATGATTCAACGCTCTTTAAATGTTTATTGAATTGGAGGAATCAATGGCAACCTCTAAACAATGAATCACCTTTATTGAGAGCACTGGCAGAGCTCTAACTCAGGCAGAAATGAAAATAAAGTCTCAGTAATGGAGCTGTAGCTGCAGAGCTTGTGGGAATTCATGCACGTCTGAACAGTAGCTACTGTGTTTTGGACCGTTTCTCTGCCACGGAGGAATGTGCGCAGAGATCCGTGTTAACTACACAATCCTGTCGTTACCACAACAGGTTGCTCTCTTTTCCTACAAACCTGATGAACGCTAGCGACGCGCGCCGAGGGTTCGCCAGGGCTTTTGGCATGTGGAGCGACATCTCGCCGTTCACATTCAGAGAAGTGCCAGCCGACCAAGAGGCAGACATTAAGATTGGTGGGTACTCCTACATGCAGCCGCTTTAGCCTCAGACTTTTGCTTTCTTTGGCTCGGAGGTCTAAAATTCTGATTTGTTGTTGCTCTTTTTTTCTCTCATCCTGCTGTCACCATAGAAATGTTCTCCCCTCCAGACGGTTCCAACCACTCTACCGTGACTGCATTACTAAGCCTGTATTTATGATTCTAAGTGAAAATAAAAAGAAAACGCTCGACAGCTCCCATACATGGCAGAGGAGTCTCATTTATGCTTTATCTGTTCTTCTGGCCACAAACTGGAGCCCAGCATAAATCCTGAGCGACATGTGAGGGGCTTGGTTGTTACTCTGCAGAGTAAAAGCTGAGCAAAGAGCTCTGTCTGTCTGTCGTACTAATTCATTATTTCACCACCGTTGTCTACAAAGAGGAGAAAAAATGTCTTTCCGCTTTGCTCTGAGGCGTCTGTGTCTCTGCTCTGGCAGGTTTCTACCCAGTCAACCACACAGACTGCTGGCAGTCCTATTTGCACCATTGTTTCGACGGCATCACAGGTGAACTGGCCCACGCATTCTTCCCACCTACAGGCGAGATCCACTTTGACGACCACGAACACTGGATTCTGGGAAATATGCGCTTCAGCTGGAAGAAAGGCACGTTTAGATGTTTGACCCATAAAGTGACGGCAAGGGAAGATTACCAGCTCTGTTTATCTTGCAGGCGTTTGGCTGACGGATCTCGTCCATGTGGCGACACATGAAATTGGTCATGCCCTTGGACTCATGCACTCTATGGACCCAAAAGCAATAATGCACCTGAACGCAACCCTGACGGGACGCAAGCTGATCACGCAGGATGACGTGTGGGGTCTGCACCGTCTCTATGGTATGTTCGCGTCGTCGGATTTCACAGAACGCAATTTCTTCTTATGGGCCATTCCCATCTGTACCGGGTCGGCCCGGGCCGGGTAGCCCCAGTCGGCCCCAGCCTGGCCCGGTTGATTCCGCACATCCTTGCCTTAAGCCCATGTGGGCTGATTCTACCCACCAATCAGAGGCTTGCTCTAATGGAAGGTGGGAATTTGCTGTCAGCAGTGGGTGTGTTGGCCCTGGTCGGCCTGAAGCAGACCCCCTCGAGAAGAAGGCTGAGAATGAGCCTTGGTTGGCCCGGAAATATACCAGGCCACCCAGATATGTAAACAACCTACCTACCCGGCCCGGGACGACGCGGTACAGATGGGAATGGCCATAGACGTAATTTTTGGGGGGGGGGGGGGGGGGGGGGGGGGGGGGGGGGGACAGGGGGGACATGTCCCCCCCACTTTTTCCAAAGTCAAGTTTTGACCCCTGCACTTTTTACCATCCAAAAGCAATATTACTGTATATTAAATTGGCACTGGTTGAGCTCTAGGACCAAGAAGAAACGTTTGTGTTGAAGCCTGTTTCCCATTACAGTGATCCCTCGCTACTTCGCGGTTCGTTTATCGCGGATTCACGACTTCGCGGATTTTTTCTTTGGAGACTTATTCAAGGGAAATTCGCCGATTCGCGGTATTTTTCACCGATTTGCGGTATTTTTCTATGTGAAATATCAAGAAATTCCTGTTTTTTCATCAATTTCATCATAAAATGTACATTAAAGGGTGGTTTGTTAACAGTACTATGTAAAAGGAGGGCTTTAATAGTCTGAATACTGTACGTACCTGTTAAATAAATACTGTAAATATGGTGTCCCTACTTCGCGGATTTTCACCTATCGCGGCCAGGTCTGGAACGCATCTACCGCGATAAACGAGGGATCACTGTAGAATATACTGTAAAGATACCCCCCCGTGTCCTCCCCCACATCTAAAGTGAAAATTACATCCATGGGAATGGCCCATTTGAGAACCTCTGACCTTGTAGGAGTCCATCAATCATCTGAAACACACTTGCATGAGAAAAACTAAAAGAGAGACGGTTTGTCTTCATGACAGATCTGGAGCAATATAAACAAAAATTCAACTCTTGAAAAGAGCAGCAGGACAATTATTTTTGCTTACCTTGACCTGGTTTGACTACCTTTGCAACAGTTTCAAGGACGTTGTTTAACTTGCTAATGGGAGCGTTGAAGGATGTCGGCGCTGTCACAAAGACAGGCCTGCGAGTATAAATGCCCAGTAAGCTGTCACAATAGAAGGCAGGCTCTCATTAGCTGCAGCTCAACAGGCAGTCCGCCATGACTGTAGGCCAAGTTAGGGCAGGAATTCCTCAAAACGAGTGTTTAATCTGACAGAGTAGCACACTGCAACGTCTGAATCTGGCATTGGCAGAATTACGGCTCAATCCAGAGAAAATCTGATGATGCATTTTTGGTCCAAAGCAGTAGGAAAGTAGACCGCTGTGTTTGTCTTTGACAAGTGACACTGCAAGCCAATGTGGCATTAATGCTTACTGTATAAACTACTTAATGAGTCATCATTCATGTGTGTTATGGTGAGTCAGTTTTGCTGGCGCCAAAAGCAGATGGGAGATCCAATGTTTTTTTTTTTTTTTGCAGCTGACTGGGAACTGCTTTCTGATCGTCCTTCTGAATCCACCCCCCTCTCTCTTCCAGGATGTCTGGACCGGTTATTCATCTGTCCTGCTTGGGCTCGGAAAGGCTACTGTGACAGCAAGCGTAGGCTGATGCAGAAGCACTGCCCCTCCAGCTGTGATTTCTGTTATGGTAAGACGGTCCGCCGGGGATTGAGTTTTCTATTAGTTGCAGTGTAACAAGATGCTGTGAAGCGTTTGCCAGTGGAGCTAAGGGTAGCCGACAGGTCCAGCCACACGGAGCTGTGATGGAGAACTGCAAGGATCTGACTTGAGGGGGAGATTTTATTGGAAACCGTAGCATCTCCAGGGAGGTTCAGAAAAGTCGGTACCTGTTTTTTGGCGTCTCAATCACAGCTCCTTTATCCAGATTCCTCAGCTGTCTTACTTCCTGAGCTTCTTTAGTTTTACTAGGAGATGCTCCGCGCTGAAGTCTTGAGTTACACAACAGAAAATGGCTTCTCTAACAGCCCCTAGATTGTTTTAGCTTTCAGAGAATTTTGTCCGCAACAAGGGACAGCGTGGAGACAGGCACGAGGATACGATTTCTGGCCTGCAGTAATCTGCTCCTCGTTGCTGATCGGGAGACGGCAGTGGAAAATTCCTGAGTGACTCCAAACCGCTGGAATTTCAGACTGTGGCTTGAGGGTTAGAGACACACAAGGTCAATTTGGATTTTTGCGGCATTAACGAGAATGACTGGTTTTTAGAGTCACACGCTGGTCTGTCGGAAGTCAGACGGGCGTAATCACCACATCACGAGCAGTCCAGCACAAGAGTTTGATAAGGCTCAAATCAAGAGCTTTGCTATAATTTATCTAAGAGTAAAGAAATATTCTTTCCATCGTTTTATTCTAGAATTCCCATTCCCAACTGTGGCTCCAACACCAACTCCCATGAGGACCAAACACAAGCTGGTGATCGAAGGCAAGAGGTTAACGTTTCGCTGTGGGAAGAAAATCGCATCAAAGAGAGGCAAAGTCTAGTAAGTCCCACTAAAGTTCATCACTAAACGCGATGTCCTGAAGGGTGTCTGAAGTCCGCCTCCTGTTTCAGCTGGTACAAAGACGGGGAGCTGTTGGAATTCTCTCACCCAAACTATATCTCCCTGAAAGACGACCACATCACCATCGTGGCCAACGCCATCAACGAAGGCACGTACACATGCGTCGTAAAGAAAAGGGACAAAGTTCTCACTAACTACTCGTGGAGGGTACGGGTTCGCTTCTGAAGGCCTCCTCAGCCCTGCGGCACATGGGACTCTAGGGCACATATTTAATTTTTGTATCACCTTAATGAAATGTTTTTCCTTTGATAACTTTTAAATAGATGTTTAACATTCAAATAATAAAAAATCAATAACGGGTAAACTTAAGTGTGTTGAGGTCGATGACTGTGGAAAGTATGGACAAGTCCTCCGCGTTGTCACCCATAGGTCTTTGAAGAGCTGAATTGAAGCCTAGTGGGTGGTTCCCAACGCCGCCGTCGCCATCTTGGCAACATTTCTCTTTTCAAGGATGTTGTTTAACTTGCTAATGGGGGCGTTGAAGGATGTTGGCGCTGTCACAAAGACAGGCCTGCGAGTCCAAATGCCCAGTAAGCTGTCACAATAGAAGGCAGGATCTCGTTAGCTGCAGCTCAACAGGCAGTCCGCCATGACTGTAGGCCAAGTTAGGGCAGGAATTCCTCAAAACGAGTGTTTAATCTGACAGAAAAATACAAAACTGGAGCTGAGCAGGGCTGTGAGGGCGGGGGCAGATGGTTGCCACCCAATAAACTGAGACGATGTAGATATGAACTAACTGAGCTAACCAAAGGCAACGGAAGTTTTCAACCCTCTTCTACCTTCTGTGCAACACTTTTAACCTGAGGCTGAGGCCTTCCTGGAGAAATCAGGGAGCAAGATGCTAGCACTAGCACTGAAGGCATACACGCCCCTTATTTCTAAATTCAAGCTTTAATTAAATCTACAGTTGAGTTACAAAAAATGTTTTTCTGAACCAGGCTGTAAACATGTTTATTTCCGCTGTGAAGTTGCCATTTGTTAGTCAGTGGGAACCTGCTCCTTTCTGGAGCCAGCCCCTAGTGGATGAGTGGGGTAACTGCACCACAGCGCCAGATGGCCTAAAAGTCTGGACTGGGAGAAAAACATCTAAAAAAAACTCTGAAAAATATATAAAAAGGTGACAGAAACCCCTTTGAGTTTCATCCTGAATAATTTACACACCAAATAAAACTAACCCACTAAAGTCAGAGTAAGCAATATTTACAGCATTTGAAGATTTGGACCTGAAAGAACACATGGAACATCTCAGATGTCTAGCTTACTTTACTAGTCTCACAATGAGGCCAGCAGTCTGCCTCCAGAGAGTTAGCAGTCAGTTCCCCTTGCTGCTCTTTCCAAGCTCATTCAACACATCAGGTGTAATAATTTGCAGGAGCTGTGATGGAGGCAGGGGACAGATAAAACTGATTAATGAATATTTCCATTGAGTGCTGCCTGTAGAGGCCCCAGGACGAAAAGGATTTTTCTGTCCTGCAGGACCCGACGCTGGTCTGTTTATTTAGATATTTTTGGCTGCCGATCAGAGGATTTATTGGTTTATTTCTGATGTTGTAAAGCAATTTAAAGACCAAGGCTGCTGCTGCTGCTTCGAATCTCTGGAAAAAAACTAAGTACAGAGACAAAGTGTGCACCACAAGGGATAACATCACTTACTGGACAAAGACCAGAGCAGGGGTAAAGGCTCGAATTCCCTTCAGGTTTGGCTGCATTCATTTGTGTTTGCCTAGCTTAGACGGTTTCTAAATACAGGCACAACGGTAGACCAAACAAACTTTCAGACTTTATTTCTTACAAAAACACCGTCAACCTGCCATGTCAGCTGACATTCACCAGTTAACCTCTAAAGCTGGATGGAACGTACAGTGAATGCTCAGGTAGTCAGGAAATACCAACCTAAAAAAGGAGTTTAACACAAGAGCTCAACTTTTAGCACACTGATGGTTCCCTCCTCCCAAGAAGCTAAAAACAGCCGCGTCCGAAACGGAGGAAATGTTGAAAATCAACACATTTAAAAACCACGAGTCTTTGATCAGAAACCGATCTGGCCGAGCGCTGCAAACCGTCTGGCTTCGAACAAACAAGTCCCAGAAGTCTTTGCTCCATTCCTCCGTTGGAACACTAAAATCCGGAGCGGCAGCTTCGGGTTCAGAATTTGAGGCTGAATCCTGGTCCGACTGCAGAAGCTCCCTGGTTGCTGGTTGTGAGGTGGAAGCCGGTGTCTTTCAGGTCGTCATCACCCTGAGAGGAAGGGAGCCGACCGGAACGGTGATTAAAACATGAAAATGCCTGTTCATCAACACTTCACCTGTATTTCAAAGACATCTTGATTGTTATTTTACACAAAAATGCATCGGTTTACTAACGTACCTCGACTGACTGGATGGATTTTAATTAAACATCTATGAGTTCATCCAATTCAAGATGGCTTAGGTGACAAAGAAATGGCTGCAGTTTGCTAAATTTCATAGCTACTTAAGATGTGCGGTGGTAGCAGCTGAGGGTCCTCCCTAACAAACAAACTGAGCGCTAATAGATCACTCAAGGTCTTTGAAGATTATTCTTCTAAATTAGATTAAAAATAGTTAAAAGTCCATCATTTCAGTGACGCCATCTTCATTTTAAATTCTGACATGAGAGCCGACTGGTGAGGTGAGAATGTGCTACCCCGGCTTTCCAACAGATGCTTCCCCCTGCTTCCTAGTCAGAGCTTTTCAGATGCACAGAGCAGCAAATTGCCGTCCACGCAGCTGGTCCCGAAAGATCCCAGAATCACAGGAGAATTGCACGATCACGTTCCAACTCTACCTTCTCCCTTTTCAAGTGTATGTGCTGCTGTAGCAAGTGAACTTCCCCCGCTGTGGGATAAATAAAGTCTATTCTACTTCTAAACAAGACTGCAGCATGTAACAAAGGTCTGTGGTTTACTTTCTGTTCCTTTACCTCCAGTGTGTTTATGCTGGAGTTGAGTATTTTTTTAAGCAATAGAAAGTGTCTTTATTCTGAAATTTGCCAGAAGCTTTATGCTGCTTCCACGTTTGACTTCTCGTCTGGCCTGATCTGAACAGCTGAGCTCAACGTATTTGTGTGTGGCACTTAAAGATGAATCGAGACGCCCCAGCGCGTCAGGACACGACGATCAGGGACACGCTGGGTCACGTGGCTCCGCTGGCGTCACTGTTTGACGCGCGCGGTCACACGGACATTATTCGACTATTTAACCTTTCCCCTCACCCCAATCCTAACCTTTAGGTCCATAAACTGTGACCTTAAGGTTAGGATTGGGGTGAGGGGAAGGTGAAGTAGTTCACAAGTAGTTCTAATGTCCGTCTCACCACCGGCGTCGGACACCGACGCTCTGGGACGCTGCGTCAGCTGTGTGTCCCTGATCGTCGTCTCCTGACGCGCTGGGGCGTCCCGAATCGTCATATATTGAGGCTTGGTCACACGCGTCATATTTTGATGCCTTGGGTGTGAGAATGTGTTGACGCTTCACATGAAAGATGCACCTGTTGTAAACAACCTGGCTGTGTGCGCGCGACCCTTCTCAGAAGCGATGCACTGCTCACGCAGCCGGTGGAAAGCCAGGGCTGGATGAGACGAGCTCTTCTAAACTGACCCGTACAAACCTCCGATAACCAATAATCCTTCTGTCATGCTCTAATTTTGAGTGTGAGGTGGAACATTTTGAAACAGCTGAAAAATGTCAATAATATACTTATGGAGCACTGCTGGAAACATTAGGAACTTTAAAAGGCTCATCTTGGAAAACACAAGGAGGAAATAGTGGGACACAGAGCAGAAACCGGTAGGTCTGTGATCTGTTTAACACTGGCAGCAGCACTAAGAAAGCCTGGTAGCCGTGTGTAATGGAGAAAGTGGAGCTTAATGTCCTTACCAGGTGGCCATATCCAAGGCCTCCCTCAGGCGGACGAGGACTGGTGCCTCTCTTCACCCGCTGCTGCTCGCTCTTGGCGGGCCACGTGGGGAACACGGAGGGGTCGATGGGGAGAGGGGTTTCTCTGAAGTACTCGTGCTTCAGCCCCTCGTCTGCCGAGATCCTCTTACTGGGGCAGTAAGTGAGGAACCTAAAACACAGTCAGAAATTCTTCACTCGTGTTCTATCTCATTTGTAAATGAGAAATCATCAAAGCGATGATTCAAAAGATCTGGTTAAGAGGTGAGCCGGAGCCAAAATCCTGCATGGCTGCTGAAATCAGGCCTCTCCTTCAGCTCTTCCAGGCCTGCTTCTGCATTTGGAAAATCATTCAAGGCTTTGATGGCAAGAATAACTAAACAGGAGTCACGCTTCTGTGCCAAAGCCAGAAAAACGGTGACGAGAAACGGCCACCGGATGATGCGAGGATGAGACTGGCGTAGCGACAGCGAATACTACCAACTGTTTCTGCTTCTGATGGAAAACATATTTCTGATATAAATTCAATGGTAATCTTTTAAGAAGTGGGCACTCCAAACAAAAGCTGCATGAGGTGTGAGCAGAGGTAAAATCTGGTAAGAAAAATGTATCAAACTATTAAAAGTACTGCTGCTGTGATTAGCACAAATGCTAAAGTACAAAAACTGCATTTGTAACAGAAACTCTGTGTGAGAGGAATCAATATGAATTCAATCTGTTTCTATTGGAAAGAAACAGCTAAGAGGACACTCTACAGGTCACTGATTCTCTTTATCTGGACCCTCAGACACGCAGGAGTCCTGTCCCACTTGTGCGATGGACGCTATGTACTGAAAAACAATTACTGGCAGTTAAGATTATTATTATATTATTAGGGAGAAAAACCAGCAGCATTCAAGGTCTGAAAACTAAAACCAGAACCTCTGGCCTCCTACAGCTCAGACTGTAAATGTACAACGGTGGCACAGGAGTTAAGTGCTCGCCCCGTAATCGGAAGGTTGCAGGTTTGAGTCCCACTCAGTCTGTCGCTGTCGTTGTGTCCTTGGGCAAGACACTTAACCCACGTTGCCTGCTGGTGGTGGTCGGAGCGACCGGTGGCGCCAGTGCTCGGCAGCCTCGCCTCTGTCAGTGCGCCCCAGGGCAGCTGTGGCTACATTGTAGCTCATCCCCACCAGTGTGTGAATGGGTGAATGACTGATTGTGTTGTAAAGCACCTTGGGGGGTTCCAGGACTCTAGAAGGTGCTGTATCAAACACAGGCCATTTACCATTTACTCATCAAAGTGTTTTCTGATTAATCATCCTGGGAGTTCTGGTGAGTTTCATCTCAGCTGTGCTGTGATCTGACCTCCCTCCTGTTTGTGCTAGCATGTCTGTTGTGTAAACATAAAAATAAATTGCAATTTGAGTAATTTACAAGGAAGTGCCAGCAGCAACATTCAGACCTAAAATGTTTAAACGCCTGACAAAGTCGACTAATTTAGGCTGATCCGACTCAGAGCAGAAACAGGAGAATCCTTTCCTGTGACTAGGGATGGGTACCTTTGACATTTGAATCAATTCGGTACTAATTCCCGGTACCTACGAATCGATACTTAACGGTACCAATTTTCGATACTTTCGAGTGTTTAATATTTTTAATTCTCTTTTATAATTAAATATATATTTTTCTCAATATATAACAATATTTGATAAATATCACAATAAATAACATACAACTGTATTTTAACATCGTCCTTGTAGTTTCATAAGCTGATAATTAAACTGAAGCAAACATCTTTACTGTGAACTAAATTTACTGTGTATCTTCATTCCTTTTGCCGTCTTTTTTCAATTGATTTTTCCTACTGGGAAGTTAGAATTTCCGAGGAGAAAGCGAACGCACCATTAGATGATAACAATGGTGGCATAGGCAGCTAACATATCAAGCTAACGTTATCTTAAACAGTTTATTTAGCTGCTGGAGCAGATTAAAACGATGATGCCTCACACTTAGATCGTTGTCGCTGGTTTCATCTTCACCCAATCACCCGTCGCATTTAGTAAAGTGAAGCCAAACTTTAGAGCACGTTCTTGTTCTTCTAGTCGGGAATTCGGAGTTCCGAGGAGAAAGCGAACGCACCATTAGTGAAACGGAAGCTAACAAATCAAGCTAACGTTATCTTAAACATTTTATTTACCTACCGGAGCAGATTAAGATGAGGATGTCTCACTTAGATCGTTGTCGCTGGTTTCACCATCACCCAGTTACCCATCACATTTAGTGAAGTGGACCCAAGCTTTAGCGTGCGTTCTTTCTACCATGCTGCTCTGTTTACAACTGGCTCTCAGCGACTGATGACATAACGCTCTTGCGCATGCGCAGCTGTCTTGGCAAGTTCTCGTTGTGAAGGACGGGTACCGAAACGAGGCACCGTTTGAAATGACATGAATCGGTGCTCGGTCGGTACTATGGAATTCGGTCGGTACTTTAAAAAGTACCGAATTCGGTACCCATCCCTACCTGTGATACGCTGACGCTTCCCTTCACTCACTGCCTTTCTGACATTTATCAGGGGGTTGGATTAGGGCGGAGCGATATGGAACAAAACTAGTAAAGTTTTTACAAAAATCAGTTGAGATAAAAGATTCAGAGCTAAATGTCTCAAACATCACACAGGCACTTTTATCTGTGTTTGTAATCATGTATAATGTTTTAAATCCCACATGTGGGCACTAGGAAAAGGCGGTATCACATCATTTACAATACTTGTAGATTTTTCTTGCTCTGGGAAAAAAAACACGTATGTTAATTTCAGTAGATAAATGAGTCCACTACGCAGCAGCTTACGCTCAGGTGGGTCATGCAGAGCAGAGTTATTAAAGATTCACACAAATCAGCGATTAAGAGAATGATACACAACATTTTGAGGTTTGTTGGCTGCTGCAGACACCCGTACTGGTTAAGGGATCATGGGGAGGGTCGGCTCTCCTCTCCACATCAACAGGAAAAACAAATACAGATCAGTCATGGCGAAAAGACTCGCTGAAACCTCGATGTCGCCTAAGAGAATTAAAAAAAACGCAAAAGCGAATGTAAAGGGCAAAACATTCAGTGATTTTTATGAATCTAGAGAAAGTGTTTTCAGCACACGATCAATCTGACACGTAAGAATACACGAAGACCCCTTAAGACCAGAGTAGCGGGAAGCTAGCGGTAACGACGTCTGATAACTCCAGAAAGCCACTGGCAGTGATGTTTACATCAATTAGACCGATTTATCGGTTGGCCGATGTTATCCGTTTTCTATACATTGGCAACGGCCAATATTTGTCCTCAGTAAAGCCGATTAAGAGTCAGGCAGAGCCACGGGCAGCCCGGTGCTGTTGCAGAATTTCATGTAAATGGATTTTTACATTCACCAATAACATCTGCATAGTGAGTCCTCCAAATTATTTTATTTAGGCGTCTGACTTTAACGCCGTGCAGTGCACAAAGTTCAGATTTAACAGTTAAATTCAGATTTAGAAAACTGATTCAGCTTCAGAAATTATGTGCATCAACTGATGTAATTAGTGACATTTTAGCACGAAGATGAGGTGGAAAATGTGTATCGGCTATGAAAATTAGCTTATAAAAATCGGCACTACATATCAGCCATCGGCTGACCACGCCTCCTATTTATTGGCATCAGTATTGACAATAGAAAAACCAGTACTAGCATCGGTGTACGGAGTTGTGTCGTGTCTTTTGTGAAATAGATATATTTTTAAAGAGCTTCAGATATCGGCCAGTCCTAGGCTGGATTGAGGAGAAAAATCAAGTGTGAATTAGGGTTGTCATGGCGTGAAAATTTAACCTCACGGTTATTGTGACCAAAATTATCACGGTTTTCGGTATTATCGCGGTATTTTTTTAAACGTGTTAGATTTTCAGACAACTACATAGACCCTGTATATCAGGAAAATATTGTCCTCAGTTTGTGTCTAAATTTTGCCTAAAATCTGTTATTTTGTAATAATGTTGTTTATTTGTTTACATTTTCCCCTTTAGTCTTTAAAATACCAATATTTGCCCATAACTTCTTATTTTTTGTCTGTTTGATGTCATCATTTAAAAATATTAGACAAGATGATACTCAGTACTCAAGTAGACTTCTAATCAGATACTTTTTTACCCTTACTTGAGTAATAAACCCTATATCAGGAAAATATTGTCCTCGGTTTGTGTCCTTCCAGTGAGCTTTGCAGATTTGGGAAAATGTCATCAGGCAGTAATCATTGTTAAATTCATAATTATTCTCGGAGAGAGACCAACTCTTATCTGCCCCTGGGAGCCCCGTAATGCATAGCGTCATTTCAACATGGGGGTGTCCGCGACACGGTTTATATGCAGGTAGCGGCGCTGCGGCTGCTTTATATAGCGACTCGTTGCGTTCTCCCTCAACCCAAATCCTTGGATCACGCATTTTAGCTAAAACGCTAACGTTAGCTTGCCTTGCGTTGACTGTAGAGTTGTGGGTGATGGTCACGCAGATGTGTCATGAGATTTGAAGCGTTGCTGCCTTTCACAGACACTTTTTCTGCACGTGCTGCAAACAGGATAGCCGTCTTCTATCAACTGTCCCTCGGCATTCTTCAGATATCCAAAAAATGCCCGTACTTCCCACTTTGTCTTCTTTGAGGGATAACAAATGTCCTGAGCGCTGCCGTCTCCTCCTTTGGCCATTATTTCAGCTTTAGCTTCAAGAAAGTTTTGGTTGTAAACAACAAAGTGCGCATGTGCCGCCAGCAACTTCAGCAGATGATACGGTGGCTGGTAAGGGTCACTGCGCCTACACCGCGGCCACGGTAATCCACCGAGATAATATATTTTTTAAAAAACAAGACGGTTATTATTATTGTCTACTTTTTTACCGGGGTTTACCTCTATACCGGTTACCATGACAACCCTAGTGTGAATACATAAAGTTCCGCACCCACTTGTGTGTTGAGGCCTCTCTATGGTTTGACTAGTGAATCCAATCTCTAAACACGCTCCTACACACGGATGTGTGATATTCCAAACAGCTCCGACTACACCTACAGATTCTTCAGATGGGAAGCTTTCAAACTGAAAGAGCGGGCTGCGTGTGTTCCTGGGTGAAACGCTTGTTGTGAGTTTTCAGTCAGTTTCAGCAGCTCTGGACTTGTAGTTAAGATCCTTTACAGCAGCGAGCGGTATGAATTTATCATTACAGGTGTGGACAAAAGGCTCAGCGGGTCTGTAGAGATGTGGGAATAATGCTCAGCCACGCAGCTGCTGAGCAGGAATGTGCAGGACAGCGTTACAAACCTATAACCAAGTACGTGAAGACGACTTCTCTAGGAAAACTGAGCTATTAACATTTTCTTGTGTGAAGTGGAACATGTGTGCCAGCTTACTTGTTCATGAGGTCGAAGCCCTGGTCTGACAACAGAGCTCCGAAACGCTTCCGAAGGTTGTTGTAGGGATACTCTGTGAAGCTCATCTTCTTCACAGCAGGCAGCTCGCTGTAGCCAGGCCAGATCTTCTCACTGGGTGATCCCAGATCCTGCAGAGGACACAGACTGGAGTCAGCGGGGAGGAAATCAGAGCAAAGAGGGAGAGATTCAGATTCTCGTGGAAGGTCTTAAGCTGATCTCTAATGATGAGACATAGGAGGCAGAATTGTTGCGCCATTTGTGGATCAGCTGCTGGAATGTGTTCAAGTTTTTTAGTTTCATAACATCATCAGCTGTCTACCAGCGACTCCGCCCCGAGAGAGCCTGAACACCAACAGATGCTACATTAGATTTGCAGGCAGCAGAGGAGAAGATCTCGCCCGTCACGGTGACCATCGTTTATTTCTTAAGAGCAAACGATGACATTTACCTTAAAAATCTTGTTAATTTGGTCAATTTCAGATTTTCCAGGGAAAAGAGGTTTCTGGGTGAGGAGCTCGCCAAATATGCAACCCAACGACCACATGTCCACAGCTGTGGAGTACTCCTGTGGAGAGAAGAAAAAACATGGCGGTAATCCGCAGGAACATCAACAAAACAGTCTGCCTGGCACGGCGTTTGTCTCGTGTGTGAAAAAGGATGTTCTCAATTGGCTTTCTGGACCCGGAATGCTCCACAAGTCCAATGGCAATCTGTGGTATTCACAGATGTTGTCTTCTAATGAAAATATATCTCAGCATGTAACAGTCCGGGTGAAGCAAGCGCCGTCGTAAAAAACTGAACTCTCACCTTGGCTCCAAGCAGCAGCTCCGGCGATCTGTACCACAAAGTCACCACGACGGGGGTGTAAGGCTTGAGGGGGGAGCCGTACTCTCTGGCCAAACCAAAATCACCAATCTACAGAGCCGGAAAAGTGGAAAAACATCATCTCTCAAACCACAAAATGCTATTTCGGGCATGTCGCAGAATTCAACATTTTCTCAGGCCGTTTATTCTGCGGTGGTCTTTGGACCTGATTTATTACCGTTATGCACTTAAGCCTGGTTTATGCTTCTCCGTCAGCTCCGCTAGGGACAGACACGCACGGATTGACGGAAGCGTTTTGCTCTTTTACTTCTCCGTCTCCTGGAGAGTGTTGCAAAGCAATTGCCCGGCAGGACCACAGAGGGCATAGCGCTGTTCTGTGGTATCCTGTCAGGTATCGGTCCAAGATCGTGTGTTTATATTGTGTTTTTTGTGTTTATAAGAGACTTTTTAACACGGACCTATTTGTCTCTCATTCTCCCACCTCTTCATGCACTCCCCACCTCTAAACCCACGTTTCCTGTCATTTCCGTCCGCAAATAAAACGCTTGCTGCACATCTTTTCACTCCAGTCACGGGAGGATGAAACGTTCATATTTTTAGAGTTTTTTCGCGAGGTATTCTTCAAGCTTCCCCGTGTCTGCCGCTAGTTATCCTCGGCTCTCTTTGCAATGGCGGCGCTGTAAACAACAGCGGCGTCCTGACCAATCACAAGCTTGCGTAATCCGTCTCATTCGACAGATGTTTAATAAAGTAGGCTCGACTCCGTACGTACTTGCGTGCCTGCCGGAGCCCTACGCAAGGACGGATAATGGCGTTGCGTGTCTCCGCACTGACGCAGACGGAGAAGCATAAACCAGGCTTTAGAATAAGCTCTTTAATGGGCCATTCCCATCTGTACCGGGTCGGCCCGGGCCAGGTAGGTAGGTTGTTTACATATCTGGGTGGCCTGGTATTTTTCCGGGCCAACCAAGGCTCATTCTCAGCCCTCTTCTCGAGGGGGTCTGCTTCAGACCGACCAGGGCCAACACACCCACTGCTGACAGCAAATTCCCACCTTCCATTAGAGCAAGCCTCTGATTGGTGGGTAGAATCAGCCCACATGGGCTTAAGGCAAGGATGTGTGGAATCAACCGGGCCAGGCTGGGGCCGACTGGGGCTACCCGGCCCGGGCCGACCCGGTACAGATGGGAATGGCCCATAAACGACAGGACCCGGCACCTGCATACCTTCAGGATGCCCTTATGGCTCAGCAGTAGGTTGGAGGTCTTTAAATCCCGATGAAGTATCCAGTTGTCGTGGAGATGTCGAACTCCTCGAAGGAGCTGAATCATAAGCGTCTTTACTTCCCCTGGAACGAAGGGTTTGGGTTTTACATCGCTTTCATTTAAGACGGAACAAAAAGAGGGAACACCAGTGAGTCGATTACCTGGCAGGAAGGGCTGCTTCATGGTTTCCATCAGACTCTTCAGGTCATGCTCCACGTAATTCATAACAATGTAGATCTTGTCCATATTACTCCCGACAACAATTTCCTGACAACAGATGGAAAACATGGCTGATTGGTCACAGTAAGTAACAAAACTCCAACACTGGACCATCTCCAGCGTCCCTCACCCGTACTGTGACGATGTTGGGATGCTGAGCTTTCAGAATTGTATTGATTTCTCTTAACGATGTGATGGGAAAACCTTCTTTTTCCTTCTCCATTTTCAACCTTTTCAGTGCAACAATCTCATCTGTGGGAATAAAAATGAGATTTACCATAAAAAAAAAAAAGGAAAAACAAGAAGATCCCAGATGCAGCCAAGTATCTGTTTCCATACCAGTCTTCTTGTCCTTGGCTCTGTACACCACTCCATAAGTTCCCTCCTCTATTCGATTCAAACACTGAAACTCCTCCACGCTGCGGCATCCCTGAACAAGAAGCTCCCATTCAGACCCGCTGGATTCTGCTCATTAGCGTCTGACGCTTACACTCACAGGTGACACTCACCTGTAAGGCTGGCAGGTATTTAGGTAGCTCCTTCTTCACCTCTACAGGTGAGCCTGGGGGGGATGCTTCAGGGGTAGGGGTGTGCACGTGAATAGGAGATTGGGGGGTGTGGTCACCCTCTACGCCATCACCTTCCTCCTCCTCTTCCTCCTCCTCCTCCTCCTCCTCCTCTTCCTCCTCCATGTCCTCACCGCTTTCCTCGGAATCGTGGTCGAAACGGGACTCCGGCACTGAAAAAAAAAAAAAATCAGTTTAGAATAGAAAAAATAAATGAAAGCTTTTTTAAAGCCTTTTAACATGTCAGAAAAACAGTTTCTGTGGGAAAACCACATTTAATTTAATTTAATGTGTGACTATTGTGAATCAAAATAAAAAATATTTAAAATGAAACATCTGAGTTGTTCCTAGCAAGAACCGGTAAGGAGAAAAAGCTGTTTTTGCAGTGAAAAGTACATAAATGTCCACCTTTTTTTATACCATCAAATTTGCTGCCTTTCTGGACAGATTTTACAGCCATTTTGGTCAAATCTTGAAAATAGTTTTCTCACACAATGCTCCAACAGCTCCCATGATTCTGTTGGCTCAAGTTAAATCAGGGGTGTCTAACTCAAATTCAAACTGGGCCAAAGTGTAAAATTAGAACAAAGTCGCGGGCCAAACTCAATATTTATTGAGGAATAGACGGCAAATACGTGCATTTCCAGAAATGTATAGTTGAACCTTTTCATTGGGACAAAAATGATTTTTGCAGTAACACTGTATCTGGTACAGCCAAATTACACACCAGCAAGTAAAAGTGAAAAACAAAACACATCAGTGGTTTTCGTTTTATCTCTAAATTCCTTGAAATGTGTATTTTTACAGCACCTTCTGGAATTTTTAACCTTTGGATGTTTTGAATCTGTATTTCCGTTTGATGCCTTCTAGTTGTTTAATCTTTACTCTTAGTTTTTTATTCTTTTTACTCCTGTAATGAATGCAATCACTGCTGTCACACCAGGTGACATCCTAACTAACCTTAAAGGGGCATTATGGAAGTTTGACAGCCAAAACATGTATAGAAATAATACATTTCTTCTTCATACATTCTCCTGCAATGCCATGGTCCTGTAGAATGAGCCCTGGCATTTTTACTGCGATTGCCTGTTTTCCTGTAAAATCACAGAAAAAGAGAGATGCTCGGGTCGAGCAGGCTGCTTCATGCGCGTTCACGCTCAGTCATAACCCGTAGCATTTGCTATCCGTAGCTTTAGCAGCAGAGAGTGAGGCAGTGCCACTTTGTCGCTGTTCCTAACGCCTAGTGATGAACCTAGCTACATTTCTGAGGATGCTTAGCTACTTTCTTCTAGATATTTCCTGCAAATTAGCAACAAAATAGCCATTTTCGCTCCGAACCGTTCTTTGAACGTTGTTTCAGCTGTCATCAAGGATATAAATGTTACAGATACAAAGGACGTCACTGGTGCTTTAACTCACCTAGTAAGACGTCTGACTCTCATGCAGAAGACCTGGGTTTGATTCTGGTTGTGAACATAGTTTATTTAGAGTTTATTTTTTACATTAATGGTATATTTTTTACAGTAAGATGCCCAAATTTTTATTTGAGACTCGCCGAACGGCATTGAATTCACAGGTAAAAAAGATGTGGGTTCAACTTTCATTTTGGAACAATTTTTCAAGCAAGGGAAGGGAATGATCTGAGCATGCAGGAGGACTGACCCATCATAAACCTTTGTCGGCTGTGCTGAAGAGAAAGGTACAGAACCAAATTATTTAATTAATTAGCTGTGCGTTCTCCTGTCCTCTATCCTCCGACACACACACACACACACGGGACTGTCTCAGCTGTTATTTTCGTTAAGGAGTGTGCACGTACAGCATGCGCGCCTCGTGCACGAGCCTACTATTGAAGCTGTCATTACGCTTTTAGCCTGAGGGGGCAATCGCGAGCAAAAAAATTCAAAACTCCGTAAAGTCCCTTTAAATGGCTCCTTCTGATGTGGAGGAGCAGCAGATCTAATCTAAGCCCCTCCCAGATGACCGAGCTTCTCACTCTCTCTCTAAGGGAGAGCCCAGACACCCTGCAGAGAAAACTCAATTTGGCCAATTGTATCTGCGGTCTCCTTTTTTGGGTCACTACCTAATGCTCATGACCTTAGGTGAAGGTTAGAATTTAGATCGACGGGTAAATCAAGAGCTTCGCCTTCTGACTCAGCTCTCTCTTCACCACAACAGACCGGTTCAACGCCCGCATCACTGCAGAAGCAGCACCGTTCTGCTCAGAGATCTCACTCTCCACCTTTCCCTCACTCGTGAACAAAACCCAGAGATACTTAAACTCCTCCACTTGAGCCTTTTTGACATCTCACCGTAAAACATAACTCAGAAGCTCTCTCTACTGATGCTATCAACCATCTCCAAAAATAATGAAAACTGACACAAAATCGGTTTCGTGGATCTTCACTTAAAGAAGAAATCCAACAGCAGACCTTTACTCACCTGCAGGAATGTGATTTCCATTTTCCTGCTCCTCTTCAAAGTACCCCTCTGACTGCTCCTCTTCACTCACATCTTCTGAACGACAGAAAGTCTTTGCGTTACCTTCAGTGATCCAGATCACACGCGAGTCAGAAACATACAGATGAAGTTCTACCTGCACTCTGCTCGGACCGCCCAGAACCCGAAACCGAGTCCTCGTCTTCTTCCTCACCCTGGCTGGACTCCTCTTCTCCTTCATCATCCTCCTCCTCTTCATCCTCAGAGCCCGACCCCGACGCTATACAAGAAGAAAGCAGAACGCTTATGAGAGCAGTCTGGGGAAGAGGAATCGGTGATAGTTTCTCGTTTTATAAAACCACACACGTGGACATCTCAGCTTTTTTCAGCCATAATCATAAAGTAGTTTAGAGGTTGTGAAATAGAAACTTTTGCCAGAACCGTAGCTTTTTCAGACCTTACCCATGGAGGATTCTGCAGTGCTCGTCTTCCTTTCAGCGTCACTAATGTCCTGAAGGTCTGCAAGCAGGTCTTTGATATCTGGCTTCTCCTCTTTTGATGCTAATATAAAAGAAAATAAAGAAACGCAAAGTGAATCAGTCATAACTCTGACAAACCCAAGTGCATAATTACACAGAAAAAACACCACATATAAACCATGATTTAATTCTATTTCATTCAGTTTATTTATACAGCGCCAAATCACAACAAGAGTCGTCTCAAGGCACTTCGCTAAATAACACATTCCATATCAGTACAGTTAAAAGTTTCCTACGTAGGGAGCCTAAAGCACGGAACACTGTGCGATTTTTGGCCGTCGCACAGGATTGTTCCTGTCACACCGTGAGATCTCCAGAAAGGCGACACACTGTACGACGCAAGATTTCCGTGAGGCAGACCGCACGACGTCTCTCTCCAGCAGGACACGCTGCGTCATGAGCGCCCCTCCCGAAGCACACGTCGCTAAGCAGACCGCTAACCAAAACAAAGCAGAAAAAAATAAAAACACTTAGTTTTAGCGTCAGTTCACGACTCAACTCATCTTCCTCAAAGAGGAAGCTTCGTTTTTAAAACCCTCGCTTTGGCGTCAGACTCCGGCTGCGGGGCTCCTTTTCTCGTCTTCCAGATAAACAGCTGCTGTCATTCATCCTTCCCCTCCATAAGAACCCACTAACCTACAGAGGAGTACAATCTGTCAGAGAACGCTGCAATAGAACTTTTGCCGTGAATTCTGTCTCACCGCTACGCTCTGTGTGACGGCTCACACCCGCTGTCACGTGTACCTTCCTCTGTCTGAATGAATGAAGATAAGACTGAGATCTTCATCTGTGCCCCAGACAAGCTGGTTCCCAAAGTCAGAGACTCTCTTGGTCAGCTTGCTTCCCACACCAAACCTTCTGACAGGAATCTTGGCATGACCTTTGACCCAGCTCTCACCCTGGATTCTCATGTCAGTTCTCTTGTTCGCTCTTCCTTCATCCATCTAAGGAACGTTGCTAAGCTGAATCCCATTCGGTCCCGCTCTGAACTTGAGACAGTTCTCCACTCCTTCATCTCCTCACGCTTAGACTACTGTAACTCTCTTTTCACGTGTCTGAGCAGAACCTCCCTGAACCGTCTACAGGTGGTTCAGAATGCCTGTGCTCGGCTTCTGACCAAGTCCTCCAAACACACCCACATCACCCCGCTTCTCCTCCAGCTTCACTGGCTTCCAGTCAACTTCAGGGTTCATTTCAAGATCCTGGTTCTGGTCTATAGGGCCTTACATGGACAAGCACCATCTTACATTGGTGATCTCCTTGGTCCCTACACCCCCAGCAGGTCCCTGAGGTCCAGTGATCAAAGCCTACTGGTTGTGCAGCACCAGGCTAAAGACCAAAGGTGACAGATTATCTGCTGCTGTGGCCCCCAGACTCTGGAACTCTCTCCCCCTGAGCCTGAGATCAGTGGACTCAGTGGTCTCCTTTAAAAAGCAGCTGAAGACTCACTTGTTCAAGCTGGCTTTTGGATGACCTTCTTCACCACTCTCTCTTTATTCTGCTCTCCCCACCTATTCCTCCGTCCTCAGGATCCACTGATTTCCCTCTTTCCTGTTCACTCTCTCTCTTTCTTAACATTTTTTCTTTTAAATCGCAATTGCTTATTCTTGCTCATTTTAAATTGCTTTTTTACATTTTTTTATTTGTTTTCATGAAGCGCCTCGTGATTTTTATCTTGAGAGGCGCTATAGAAATGGTATTTTCTTCTTCTTCTTCTGTCCCTCTGCAGCAAAACGCTACTAAACCATGCTTATCAGTTGAATATGTGAGATTTCCACCAACAGCAAACGGATCTCATGTTTTGTGTTTTATTTTTATTTGTGAGCTCATCTCCTCTCAGCTCTCACAGACTCACGGTTTTCACAATTGATCTGATGGTCTAAAAGGTAGTTTATTTTACTGTAACTCCTGTTTAACTTGGGCTGTTAACAGAAATAAAAACTGGTGTGTAGTTTATAATCCAAGTTTATAAACCGAAGCTCAGAGAGGCGGAGTCTTGCTGCCGCGGCGTCCCAAAGGCGCGTTTTCATTGGTCGATTGCAGACAGGAGTCGTCGGTTTTCGAGCATGCTCGAAGACTTTTTGAGGCTGATTTGGTCGTGAGACGGCTCAAAAAGCTGTCCGTTCACAGCATGATGCACAGATATGCAAATCACCCTCACGTTGACCGTTTTTTTTTTCACAATTCTGCTCAGGACGGGGGATTTGGCAAAGATGGCCAAAAATCTCACAGTGTAATCCGGGCATAAAACACACCCATTTACTCCGGGACCACGGGTCCCCGGAAGAACAGAAAAATGAATGCAAGTCGACAGGGCTACAAAAGCTATTTTGTAATCCTGTTTGTTATGTATGTTATACAGCAATCCTCATACTAAGCAAGCATGTAGCGACAGTGGAGAGGAAAACTCCCTTTTAACAGGAAGAGACCTCCAGAGGATCCTGGCTCAGTATAAGCAGCCATCCACCACGACTTACTGGGGATGGAAATGACAGAGCACACTCGCGTGCGCGTGCGCGCACGCACGCACACACACACACACACACACACACACACACACACACACACACACACACACACACACACACACACACACAATATTTACCTACCAAACAGTGTTTCTATGGCTACATGGCAATTTCTTAGTAAATATTCTATTTAGTAAGAGATAAACTTTATTGTCTTTATCTGAGTGAATCTATAATTCATTTAACAGGTGAACTTAATAGCATATTGTATGTTAAAGAAAGTAAAATATTCTTATCAGGAGAGAGAGAATGTTAAGTGGTTAGCTGCAGTGTGCTAGCTGATGGCCCCCTCCATGAGGCCACCACAGCTCAGCAGAACACCATTGGAGCTTCTTCTGGGGAGAAAAACACTTGGAGAGAAAATAAAGGACAGGAGCTTAAAAAACCACCTGCATCGTTTAAGTAACATGCATGGCAGCATTTTGGCTTTCCTGTAAAATACAATGCTGATACAAATGGCAAACACACATGCGCGCACCTCCAGCCTGATGGCGCACGAGTGCCTCTGAAAGGAGGGAGGTGGTGCACACAAAATGCCAGGACATTATCACACTAACATGTTAGAACCTAATATATTAGCAGGGACAAATCTGTCCTCATAAAGGTGAGGAGATGAGTGAAAACAGGACACGCTGGGAGTGAGCCATCTGTGGCAAGCCATTTTAACATTTAATCAGCAATCGGACCTCTCTGTAATTCCCTATTTATAACTAATTGTATTTTTATTAGTCAGAATTAAAAATGAAAATGTTAATAGCTGTGATGTTACTATAGAAATTATAATTAAGGGTATCCATAATAAAAACTGCACTAGTAGGAATTAGGTTTGCCATATCTCAGAATCTCTAAAAACCTAAGATGTAGCATTTATGAGGCAGACTGCATATGTATCCAGATATCTATAATTCTATTGTTCCTAGTAGCAATTACCTTATAAATATCTATAAGAATGATTTTATGAATCATTCAGTTAAATCTGCGTTAAACGAGTCTTGAGTTAAAAGCTCTTTGTATTTAATGAGCACTGAGCAGAAAAAAAGTGTTCTACAAAATAAATAGAGAGCAAAGGTTTTTGTCTTTCCTTTTTCTTCTCTTTCTGCAAATCCGAAAATCATCCGATCTGTGACTCAAAACCGAGATACGATCCGAGCCGTGAGTTTCTGATCTGTTGCACCACTGATAACCCCAGAGACGACCCAGGATAACCTAGCCTTTTAGATGGAGGCGTGTGGGAGAAATGTCTTTACCGACGTTATTCCCCACTCATCTAAACCTGGGCTAACATCACTCAGAACTAAAGCTCTGTAAAATAAAAAAAGGTTTTAAGGCTAAAACTCACCGGTAGTTTTCCGTGGTTCTCCGTGCTCAGACCTGTCCCGGGGAATACGATTGGGACTCCGACTGTGGTGGGATTGTTTCTGCTTATCGTCGTAATCATCTGGCAGCATCCGATGGTGAGACGGGACTTTAATAGACAAAATATTTTATTACAATTTATGTTGTTTACAAATAAAATGTTTACAACTGATTTAACAACCCCGAACTCACGATGAATAAGTTCTTAAAGTAGTTTTTTAAGGGATGCTACGCAGGTTTGGCTTACGTTTCGCACCCCCTAGTTTCCGTGAAGTGAAAGTGTGGTGGGGGTCATTTTAGCACACACTGGCTCAAGGAAACGTTTTATAAATATGAAAAAGTTGTCTGGTAAGCCTTTAATGGTTCTATTTCTGTTAATAATAGATGAAGTCTATGGATGGGTACCGAATTCGGTACTTTTTAAGGTACCGACCGAATTCCATAGTACCGACTGAGCACCGATTCACGTCTTTTCAAACGGTGCCTCGTTTCGGTACCCGTCCTTCACAACGAGAACTTGCCAAGACAGCTACGCATGCGCAAGAGCGTTATGTCGTCGGTCGCTGCGAGCGAGTTGTAAACAGAGCAGCATGGTAGAAAGAACGCACGCTAACGCTTGGGTCCACTTCACTAAATGTGATGGGTGACTGGGTGATGATTAAACCAGCGACAACGATCTAAGTGAGACATCCTCATCTTAATCTGCTCCGGTAGGTAAATAAAATGTTTAAGATAACGTTAGCTTGATATGTTAGCTTCCATTTCGCTAATGGTGCATTCGCTTTCTCCTCGGAACTCCAAATTTCTGACTAGAAGAACATGAACGCGCTCTAAAGTTTGGCTTCACTTTACTAAATGCGACGGGTGATTGGGTGAAGATGAAACCAGCGACAACGATCGAAGTGTGAGGCATCATCGTTTTAATCTGCTCCAGCAGCTAAATAAACTGTTTAAGATAACGTTAGCTTGATAAATTAGCTTCCATTGCCACCGTTGTTATCAGCTAATGGTGCGTTCGCTTTCTCCTCGGGAATTCTAACTTCCCAGTAGGAAAAATCAAAGAAAAAAGACGGCAAAAGGAATGAAGATACACAGTAAATTTAGTTCACAGTAAAGATGTTTGCTTCAGTTTAATAATCAGCTTATTAAACTACAAGGACGATGTTAAAATACAAACAGTTGAATGTTATTTATCGTATTTATCAAATATTGTTATATATTGAGAAAAATATATATTTAATTATAAAAGAGAATTAAAATATTAAACACTCAAAAGTATTGAAAATTGGTACCGTTAAGTACCGGTATCGATTCCTAGGTACCGGGAATTAGTACAAAATCAATTCAAATGCCAAAGGTACCCATCCCTAATGAAGTCACTAACTTTCTCGCCGAGTCCCTCGTTCTTTGCGCCGATCTTCAACCCTCCTGTCTCGATCCTTAAGGTCCCGCTGATCTTTTTGCTGTTCGTGAAGCTTCCGGTCTCGTTCCCGTTGGCGTTCGATCTGCTCCAGCCGATCCCTGTGGTCAGGGGATACACAGAGCCGACTACACATCTGATCAGATGTATTTTATCTCATTTGTTTATAAAGATTAAACAAGGTTGCTCAAGTCAGAGGGGAAAGTAGGAAAGTCTGCCATTCTACCATAGTTTTGTGTAACTGAGAAGTAGAAACACACGTAAAGAAAAAATCTGTAACAAGTAGGGATGCTCCGATCACGTTATTGGCACCCGATTCAAGTCAGAGTCATTTGATTTTAAGAATCTGCCGATTAGAGCCCTGATTCTGTACTTTAGCAATGCATTGGGGGGGGGCACTATAGTTGTTTTTTCATTCTATATTTATGTCATTTCTATAGTTCATCTGCCAAAAAATGGTAAATGGCCTGAATTTGTATTGACCCTTTGCACCAACGTCACCTAATCACGTGGGTCCACCATGCTGGACGGCAAAAGCATGTAAACAGTGAGCGACATGAAGACTAAACAAAGGGGAAAGTAGAACCTGAAATTGTTTTTGCGATCAAAACAAAAACAAAACTCCTCCAGCATTCCTTCAACTAGTTCATGCTCAGTTCAGTTATCAGAGGAAGTAGCGCATCTAGCGGCCGGGGGTTCATTCCTCATGAAATAAATTAACGTTAATCTTACCCGGTAAAAACATGTTCGCTGCAAATCTGAGGTCTGCTAGTCCGCTTGATTAATCGCTGCAGTTCGTCTCCGTCCTCAGTCTCAATCAAAGTTATTAAAAAGAAAAAACGAGTTTACGCCCTTGTAGTACACAAGTGTGCAAATAATTGCCGAATTGAAACGGGGAGCATTGCGTCATCGATCGCAACGCATGCCAGGATGCTGGTCGCTGTGAAACTTTTTTCAAAAGCCTTTATTAACAACTTTCAAACAATAAAGCAGTTATCTGAAATAAATTTTACTTCATTGCTGCTTTGTCTAAAACACTCAGAGCATCAAAAAATCCTCCTAAAATGAACTAATTTCATTAGAAAGTACATATTTTAAGAAAAGGAACTTGGGCCTTTTCTCCCACAGCAATGACTTGTGGGTAATACCGTTGCCTGAGGTCCGCATCGCTGCGGACTTGGGTGAAGTGCAGATTAAGGGTGCAATGGGGGCGTGGTCAACTTCTGTACTTGAGAATCGGGACACCCTACGCACTCGCACCCCTGGCCGGGAACGCGCAAATGCGAGGGTGCAGGTGTGAGTATTGGGATTGGGCCCATGAAGCGGTTAGCAAAGAGCCCAGTGTGGGAGCTAGGGATGTGAATCTTAGAGCACCTCACGATTTGATTTGATTCCGATTCTTGCGGTGCCGATTCGATTCAGAATCGATTCTCAATTTAAATCGATTCACAATCAGTATTATCAAAGAGTGTCCGCTCCAGGATTAACTACTTTGTTGTACAAGTTAGTTAAAGCTACGGGACATTTTTATTTGACTTTAAACTGGTCATGCTCCAAAAATGCAAATTTATAATGTAAAATAAAGTGATTCTAAAACCGTAAACAGAAACAATCTTTGACCAAAAGGCAACATTTATTTTTGCTTACCTTGTAAAATATACCGTAAATCCTCTAATACAGGCCCGGGCCTGTATTTGGCTCAAGCTCATCAAGCTCCAGGCCTTTATTGAAAGGAGGACCAGAATTAGAGGCAGGCCTCAATTTCTATTTGAGCAAAATGAACTAATGGTTCGCTGGAGTTTTTGACAATTAAAATTGCGCCCACATTTTCAAAGTTAAACACATTTCTTTTAACAACAGTAGTTTCTGCTTCAGCCCCCCCCCCCCCCCCCCCTGCGCAGCGGCGCAAACTCACTGATGCGCCTGCAGCCTCTCAGAGTTCCTGCTGCTCTAAACATTAAAATAATTATTTCATTTTCTGTTCCTCACTTCTGATTACCTTCAATGGTGTCTGTTTGTTTCTACCAGGTACAAAAACTAACTTGTTTTTATTTGACTATTTTTCTGTCCTGCCTGTTTATTATCTTCCTGCATCTCCTCTCAATCCTAAAGAAAAACTGCTACCTGGGTTCATATATATTCACCTCATGAGTTACCTTTGAACTGCAGTTCTAAAAGATCTACTGACCGCAAAAACAGCGGGGTGCTCGCTGCTTGGCAACCGCATAAGTGAGATGCGTCACCGGAGGACAAAACAGGTGATGTGCCTCGCTCCACAGCAGCGAAAGGCATCAGGCACAAATAAAAGAATAAAAGACAGAAAACATAAAAGGATATGAGCCGACAAGAACGATCGCGTGTTAAATTAGTTTTTGAGGTGGCGACACCTGATTTGATAATGTTACTGTGGCCGTGCTCAGGACGCAGATGTCTGGAGCGTGTCAACAATCAGAGCTTTGCATGCGCAAGCTGGTTAAGGTTAGGATGGGGGTGAGGGGAAGGTTAAATTGCAAGAGGTTAAACGTCACAAATTGGTTAAATGTCTGTTTTACGGCGGGTGTCAGTACCAACGCTCTGGCACAGCGCGTTGCCTCCCGACGCGCAGGAGCTTGTCACCTGCTGACAGCAGGCTGCTGTCTTTTCCAAGGACTGCATCTTGCCTGTCATTATCACATGACAGCGACTAGTCGATGACAGGCATAAAAAGTCACTATAGAGCGGTGAAGTCGACTAGTGACTAGTTCATACAACCCCTGCTACTGCTCCCCAGTGTGTTCTGCAGCATAATCAGCACGTTCTCTTTGAACTTGATATCAAATTTTCGCCTCCTCTTCGTCTCCGCACGGTTAAAGTTACCCTCACGGTCTATCACTGGCAAATCAAAAGTGAGACGGATGACACAACCGCCCCCCGTACTTGCTTGTTATTACATTCCACCCGGCCACAATAAAAAACAGGCCATTATTCACCTCCGCCGACTCCGACACCGGCCAAAATATGATACCCGGCAGTTAATTAAATACAGGCTAGTATTAGAGGATTTACGGTAACAAATCTGTAGTTACCTAACAGTAGCTTTGAAAGTAATACGGTCAAATACTTTTCAAGTATGTGTAGAAACAAGTTACATGAGTAATCCCGAGTACTCATTTATCAACTTAGAAAATAAATATGAGAATATCTCAAATTTCTGAGTATGGAAAAAATTACATTCAAGTGCCCTCTTATCAGCAGATTCAAACATAAATCATCTCAATTTATGGGACCACAAAAGTAAACGGAGTACTGACTCTCCTAACAAAGATCAAAAAAGTGCATCTCAAACCTGTAACATGGCAAATATCTGAGTTCTTGGAATCGATTCTGAATCTTTATAAATAAGAATCCCGATTCAGACTTGAATCGATTGTTTTCAGCACCTCTAGTGGGAGCAGTTTATTCTTATTTCTTTCTTGGAACACAATAAGCCTCACATCAAAGCGCTGAGCCTGGCAGAACATGGTGCAGCAAACTGAACCGAGTCCAGCAGAAGGCCCATCGGCCATGACACTCCTGCTTGCGTCTGACTCCTAATTAGTGTAGTAAAATAAAGAAATGTCAGTGTAATTATTTAGTTCAATGTAAAGAAACTAAAGTGTGTTTTAAAAAAACGTGGCCTCCATGATGTGCGTATGTGCACGCAATCGCAAGCAGCGCTGTGCATTTGATGCCAGATGGTCCACTGCGCAATAAGTTCTGAGTCTGACGGACATTTCAGCTGTCATCCCATGCTCTCTTCCCTTCTTGTTCATAAATGTAACGAGTGTGGGACTTTGGTTGCGCGTCAGCGTAGATGGAAAAAGCGTTATTATTTATACAGCAGAAGTAATGTTTGTTGTTTTATGTGGTTCAATGCAATCTTTCCCACCCAATTCTGATCCGTCAAAAACCAGATGTCCCATCACGTGATCATATCGGAGCATCCCTCATAACAAGTTAAATGTGCTAAGAGTTTTAAATAATTACAATATCACAAATAGTTGAAACAGCAAAGACGTTGGAAGAAAAAGGTAAATAAATAACCAGAACAAACAAAAAGTATTTGTTTTTCTGGTGTGAACTAAAAACCTTTCAGAAGTTGGTGCCGACCTCTCTCTGCGTGAGTGGGCTCTGGCTTCTTCCCTACGTTTCTGTCTCTCCCAGTCTCGACGGGCTTTGTCTTCTTCCCACCTACGCTTCCTGCGATCGCTCTCCCGCTCCTTTTCTTTGGCTCGCATGTGTTTTCCCCCTGATTTAAAAAATGGACATGAAATTAAAAAAAACAGTTTGTAACACAGCATGTGAGTAAATAGGGGTGTAACGTTCACGGTGGGGTGTTGAACTGTTTCTGTTCGGCTTGTTCGGCTCGGTCCACTTGCGTACCTTTTCGGTTTATTTTTCCTGTTAAATAATGATTTTTTTTTTTGCGTGATTTAAGTGCAGCAGATAAAAGTCCCTAGGCGAGTTTCCGTACGGATTCTGTATTGAGACGCATGATGGCTGCACACGCCCGATTTCCATTTAAAAAATGTGATCTGCAAATTCTGATGAACGCCTTTCAGAGCGGTTCAAACCAGCTGGGTGACGCTGCTACTGGAGCCTGTAGAGACGCTGAAGGAAGCGTTGCTTCACCCCTCCCTCCCGTCCTCCTCTCACACTGCAGGCATGCAGCAGCAGATATGTTAACAAACATGTCTGCTGAAAGTTTTCATCCTACAAGAATAAATACGGTGTGGAGGACACTCGTTATTTAATACGTTTTAAAGAGGAAACTCTGGGTGGTGTGAGGCGCACAGGGAGCATCAACGGTCAAACACAACAATTGTCTGTATGAGTGTGACACTCATAGCTGTGCAAATAACCTGTGAAATAATAAAAGACATAATGCTAGACCAGCACCTGGTCCTGCTCACTATAGGAGCCGCTTTAGATAAAAATAATAAATAAAATAATAATAATATATTGAAAATTAATTGAACCGAGCTCAAAACCGAACCGAATACGATTTTGGCGTACCGTTACACCCTAATTGGTAAAACATGTTTCTGTTTATGTAATCTAGTGTCTTGCCTCCTTCAGCAGAGTGACTGCGATGACGTCTTTTGTCTTTTCTCTTCTCCTCTTTTCTGTGATGAGACTTGTCCTTCCTCGCTACCTGCTGTGGGGGTTTGATTGCTAGAGATTCATCTTCTTCTCCTCTGACAAAAGATAAAACAAAATGTATTATTTCACTGAGCAAGCATCAGTTTGTGGACAGTTAAAATAAAAACTTTCTCCCTGAGAGGAAAAGTATTTTACAATTACCTGTCCTCTGTTGAGTCCTCCCGCGTGTACGGAGAATTACGAATTGTTATTTCCATTCTTTGATCACGTAGTTCTCCTTCCTCCGGAGTATCTCGTTTGGCTTCCCGATCATTCGCCTGTGAAGCAAGGCCCTGTGAGAACTGTGAGAAAGAAATTGGCAAATTTAGGAACAAAAGATGTCCTTAAATTATGATTATAAACAGGCTGAAGTTGGTTAGAGGTAAATCTCTCTGAATTTGAGAATACTTAATTCAAATAATGGTAGCCATTTGTGTTACCACTATTCTGCTGCAAAAGAGGCACCCAATTGTGTTTAATCACAAAATAATGGTAAAACCAGCATTATTTGTTTCACACGTTACCATTAGTAATGTATTATTCTTAAATCGCTTTTGTTTTGGAGTTTTTGAAGTCACTTACATTTTTCTGGCGCTTAAGATCCGTCTTCTCCTCTAACTCTCTTCTGCGTTTTTTCTCCAACAGAATTTCATCAAGAGTTTTAACTTTCCAGGTCTCTTTTTCGTCCCCCATCAGCATCCACTCTCCACCACCTGCTTGACATGACAAACACACACAAGGAAGCATGCCAGTACGGATTTATTAGATTACTTTATTTGGATTAAACACAAAAATTAATTACACCTATTATTAATCGAAGACTTGTAAACACAAAAGTATTAATGACAGAAAATATTATTGGATTCATGTACACGATTTAATGCAAGATCCACAATCAGAACGTTATAATAAATTCTTCACAAAGAAACGGAATGTTGGAATTAAATATACACGAATTGACTGTGAGCATAAGTAAAGTTGTTGCGTTAAAAATCAATGCTTAACCTCAGTTTACACATGGATTCCTCAATTTACCTTTATCACGTCTTTGTATAATTGTTCTAAAAACTTAATCAACAAAGCTCCTGAGTTTCATAATTTCCCAAAGGAATCGGTAAGGTAGCAAAAAAAATGCCGACAACATAAGTAAAATCGCCGCTTCTGACCTTTTAATATGATGATGCTAACACGTTAATTAGCAAATGTTAGCTAAGTTAGCATGAATGAGAGTTGCCAAACTATTTCTGCATTAAATTCTACAATAGTGACAACAATAATGAATAGAGTTGTAACACCATACAATCGCGTTCAAGTAGCGGTACTCGAAGCTAAGCACAGAAACCTAGAAACAGAGTATAATGAATTCATTCATCGGGAAGATAAGCTGAATAAACTAACCTGAAAAATGCGCAGCGGTTCGCCGGAAGTTCCGACGCGTAAACAACGTTTGTACGACACCAAAATCTTCCGGTGTGAAACAATGACTGACTGTTAAAGTAAAATAAAATAACATTTATGTATTCATTCATTCATATATATATATATATATATATATATATATATATATATATATATATATATATATATATATATATATATATATGTATATATATATATATATATATATATATATATATGTGTGTGTGTGTGTGTGTGTGTGTGTGTGTGTGTGTGTGTGTGTGTGTGTGTGTGTGTGTGTGGCAGCCAGTGGCAAAACAGGGCTGCCAACTATTACAAAAGTCTTGGAGTGGGATTTTCTTTATTTTCATTTCTTTTTTCTCTGTGCGTAAAGTAGGGATGGCGACCATTCAGTTTGGCGAAATGGCAGATTAGCCGGGCAGAGAAAAAACACAAAGTAGATTTATTTTTTCGGATGCAAGATGGATGCTGTAATCACAGTCTGCTGTGTAAAAACCTCACAATGTTAATTCATTACGAGCAAAACATTTCAAAGAGATTTATAAAATGTGGATAAAACTTAAAAAAATAAACAAATAAATTAAGAAAATCCCCATCTTTTTTGTATTATTTGGATCAGGAAGAAGCTACTTTGATAAAGTTCCTCCTAGTAGATACACTTTCAAAATAAAAGGCAATATATGTGATGCAAGAAACAAGGCAACCTGCTCTTTTTCTTCAATTACTTAACTTTAAACGGAACAAACTTTATTTATCAAACAGGGTGAAATACAATGGTTGTGAAGAGTTCATTGGGTCAACGTGCCTACAAATTCAGAGGGTTTCCATTGACAATTAATTATAAATGCAGATGTAATTTTGCGCTCTCCAGTGGCGAAAAGCTGCAACTAAACTGGGGATTTTGCGCTCTCAAGTGGCAAAAAGCTGGAACTGTTCAGCTGAACCCTTAAAACATTTCTGAATCTGAAAAATAAAATCCTCATCTTTGTTGTATTATTGGGAGTAGAATGGAACTACTGAAATAAAGTTACAATAGTCACTTAGTAGATAAACTTTTTGTATATTTAAGGCTATACAGCTTTTTAAAAGTTGTTTGGTCAACAACAGATGTAATGCTAAATTGTACCTGGCGGAATATTTGACATTGTGGGTTAGTTGGCAAGTTTTGAGTGGTTAAATTGAGTTTTTAAACATTCCTGAGAGGATGAGATAAAAAAGTAAAGGTAAAACGGATTAATCAACTTGCTAACAAAATACTCAATTCATGCAAAGTTTATGGGAACAGCTTTATATGATTTAGTGAATCTGGAAAAATATCAGTGCAACATTATTTCTAAACTTCAGTTTAGGTGGCGTGCATTTTACACGGGTAAGTTATATCTGTGAGTAGATCAACAACGTTTAACAGCATTTTAATTTTTGGAGCATTTTGCTTTGAGAAAGTCTCAATTTTCTGCAAGGCAATCAGAATTTACATGAAGTTGCATGAAGTTAAACTGCACTGCACATAAATATAAATTAAAACAAATTAGTAAAAAAAAAACAATCTGTGATTAAACTGCTGATCATGTCAGCATTTCTGTCTCATGAAAACAAAAATATTACTTTTTGCACATTAAAGACAAAAAATACAAGTATCAGTTTAATCATTCAGATGGAGAATGTGCTTAGATGCATTTGTTTTCTCGGGATGAAAGTAACATTTAAGGCCAAACCTAAGGGCTGGAACAAATCAAAACATTTTTTGTTGCAGGCTCTACATATTGTGTGTTGGCAGAAATGGGAAAGCACTGAAAACAACTGCAACAGCTGCTCAGGATACGTGTTGGGGATATTTCACCCATCGTGTGGAGAGTGAAGTCCAAATACTCTCTAATATTTTGCTTTTACTGTATTATACCTTCTTCTTTTTTCTATTGTATTATGCTGCTGAGAGACCGCTGCTCGTCAAACACATTTCATTGCAATGTTGACCCTGTGCTAACTTGCATATGACAAATAAAACTAAACTAAACTAACTAAACTAAATAGGACTTTGCAAAGTTTGTAAAATTCAAATCTGCCAGTGATGGCATGAGTTTATGCAAAATGAAATTAAGCCGCACTACAAAACAATAAAATTAAATTAAATTAAAAAAACACAGAGAACCACCCAAAACATGATCCCAGTGAAGATTGTTTTATTGCAAATGAAATGTCACAGTTTTATTAATCATTCAATTTAATTTTAAGCATTTAAATACATATTTTGTCTGGGAAAGCATTCAATCATTCATTCAGCCACTTCATTTGAGTCATGAATAATTTATTGATGTCAATGTGTTCCTTGAAGATGATCTCAAAGGTATATTCCAGTTTCTGTAGTTGGTTTATAAGGAGAAACCCAGTCAAATATCTAAGGAAAACTTCGGAAAACCTTCAAAAGTCTGAGAAATTTTTAATAACTGCAACTTTGAAGATGACAAGACAGCCTGGTTTGTTTGAAGCCAAGTGATGTGAAATGACGCTGTACTTGAGGTTTGTTTTGTAATAAAACTAAATTAAATTAAATTAAATTAAATTAAATTAAATTAAATTAAATTAAATTAAATTAAATTAAATTAAATTAAATTAAATTAAATTAAATTAAATTAAATTAAATTAAAAATGATAAAAAATGATTAAAAAATATCAAATTAAATAAAATTAAATTACATTAAATAAAATTAAAGTGTGGGTTTCGTAGTTTTTATTTCATTTCCGGATTCTGTGGGGAAACTCCGCCAGAAGGACGTCACGATCTGCAGACGTCGGAGGCGGACCTGTTCGGAAGGAGCTCCGTTCGGCCACAGCGTGTCTGGGGCAAAATGAAACATGGATGAGGAGATCGCTGAAAGTTGGGAGGAAGCGGCTGATAGTGGGGTAAATGACAAAATACACCTTCTATGCTTAGTTTTGATTAAATCTGCTTGTCAGTAACGACGAGGTTCTCTGTAAAAGTTATTTCAACCCCACTTCGTGTCGGCTACTCAAGGGCCAACAATGTGGCTAAAGCTAAGGTTACCCTCAAGAAACTTAGCGAATGTAGTAGCGTCAGCTTTCGAATTAATTAGGATTATAAGAAGCATGGTTGGCCGGATAACCTAAAATATGTCAATGATCTGTTTATATTTTTCGATTTTTTTTGCGTACACGTAATTAGCACGGCTTAGGTAAACCCAAGGAGCTCAGTTCAACTGCTAAGTTAGCTAACTTGACGCTACTTTGAGCCTAGCTCGCGTTGATAAATTAACGGTTATTAGTTTACAGTTTAACCAGTTAAATCACATAAAAAGATAGACGCAACCTTGATGACGTGTCTTTATCGTTAGTCACGCACTGACTTGGAGAAATGTTCTAGAAAAAAATCACGTTTTAATCCGCTACAAAGCTAGACAGGAGCAGCAGTTTTGACAAATATGACAAGCAGCACCATTGTTTCTGAGCTTGTTGTTGCCTAACTCGACTAACTTCACTGTGTTTTGGCAGAGTTTATGACATCAAGGACGAGGCTCTGAAGGGAGAAGCTGCTTCTCGGGCTAAACTTACAAATTTGAACAGATTTGCTACGGTTAGTCAGTATTTCTATGAGTTTTTTTATTAATGCATTTTGCTGCTAACACAAAGCTTTCTTTACATTTTGCTTTAATTACACCAGACTGTCTCCTAATAATTTAGAGCAGGCTTGAGGAATAATCCTCCATTATTCCTGAGGACCGTTTCACTCTTGTGGTCATTGGCTGCTTTTTCAGCCATCTATTGTTTGTACCTGATTCTTTGGTAAGGTTTTTGAAATGCGTTAACATCCTCTTACATATTTTGATCCCTCTTGTTTAATCAGGTCTAAGAAGTCAGTTGAGGTATAAATGACCCTTTCTAGCCATCTGTCAAACACATTAGAGGTCCTGCATGATTTGGGCCATATGAGATAGCAGTGTTTGACAGTCCTGTAAAAATGGAGAGGTAGATTAAGAGAATTGTCAATGTTTTTATCCACTTTGATCCAGCATGTTGATTTTGGAGCAACAAAAATCCGTAACACAAGAACATGCATTAGAAAACTAAACATTATTGGTCGGTCTCCTTGTTGGAGTTTTTTGACCGATTAAAGCAGACAGTATCCAAATAAGAGCTTTACATTCTAAGAAAGCTTGTCTGCAACAGTTCAGCCAAATAAAATAAAAATATCTGCACATATTTCCAATATTCTTGTAATATATTGAAAAGAAGATGGCAGATGTTTTTACAGTACTCTAAATCCAATGTTGGTCAACTGAACATATTATTTGTAATGACTTGGCAGCTGTCCTCAAATGTACAAATAGCTTGTAACTGAATCCTGCTTTCCATCCTCTCTCTAACACACCACCTACTGCACGTTTTCCTCTCCCAAATCAACCAGGTGTTTGTTTTCATACGTTCCTGTTTGCACAACTTTTTTCTCAGGAAATGGAAAAACGGTTAGAAGAGAAGCTTCGGATCAGCCAGAAAGAAAAGTAAGAACCTCTGAAACCAAACTATTACCCAAAGACATGTCTGCCTTGCTTTTTTTGTCTTTAGTCTGCTTTTGAAGTGAATAATTTTGCAAGTTGAGTAGTAGTGTATATTTTAAGCCAACTTCAGACTCTACTATTGTTTATTTATTTTTTACATCTTGATGGAACCAATTTCAGCTGGGGAACGTACTCCCTTCACCATGCTCAGTATAATGCTGTTTATTTAGGGGTTACCCCTCTAGAGTCCATTTACACTCTTCTCATTGGCTTTAGCTCCTTGCTGACAACAATAAGACAAAAATCAATGACACAAATCTTTATAATCTGTTTTTATTATAAACTATGTTTAGTTTCTTCTGTGGTTATTTTCCTCTTTCAGAGAATCCAGTAATTCTTCACGGTCACCGTTAAAAACAACCATGGTAATACAGGACAACTCTTTACCAGCAGCACCTGCACCTCAGATACGCATTTTGAAGCGGCCGTCAAGTAACGGCTCCCTGGGATCCCCGCTGAATCAGAACAGGCCAACGCCGCAGGTGAAGTCTCTGGCCCAACGAGAAGCAGAGTATGCAGAGGCAAGGAAGCGAATACTGGGCAGCGCCTGCCCAGAGGAGACTCCTCAGGACAAACCCAACACTGACAGGTGACACGTTACACATCACAGATACCAGCTGGGCTTTAGGAGGTTACTTTTACTTTAAACAGTGCATGCAGCTTTTCTCCTTTGTGGTTTGGTTTCTCCCTCTCAGGCGGCCATATTGATTTGGGTAAAGCAAGTTTCACTTTTTATTTTTTAATACAGGTTTTATTAACTTATTGTCGATACATTCAGAAAATACATTCAATTATTCAGTTCATTATATCCATGTATCACATTTTACAGTTGTATACAAATGCAATAACATATATGCAACATTATGAAACTATTAACAATAAAACAAAAAATAAAAAACTGACGAAAAAATAAATAACTTAGAAACATAACACTTAGGGGTCTGCTGTGTCTTAAGTTGAAATGATGAAATAAGTTTATGCTCTTTGTTAGTTTATTGTTCTTCTTTTTTAATTTTTCAATGCTGTTCCAATATTTCATAAGGTCTGTAATTCTGAAATTATAGAAGGAGGGGATACTTTTCTGAAACATCATTTTATGTAAATAATATTTTGCTAAAATAATGACTAAGTTAATTATGTATTTTTCATTGGATGAAAAATGAGGGTTAGTAACAATAAGAAGTATTTCATATTTGCTTAAAGAAATATTTTTTTGTAACTTTCTGGAAATGTATCTTTGTAAATGGAATCAAAACAAAGTTACATGAAAGCAATCAACAAAAACATGTTCATTAGTTTCTCCCTTACAACCACAAAAAGTTCAGATGTCAGAAACATTTGGAAAAAAAATACAGATGTTTGCTTTTGACGGGTAATATCTATGAACAATTTTGAATAAAACTTTATTTTATCGGGGTTGAGACAGGATCAATTGCTTTTCTAATAACAGAATTATAAGTTTCACTTATATGAAAGTCAAAATGATCGATTAACTTGTTTTGCAAAAGAAAACACCCATTGTTTTAGGGAGAAATGCTGGAAAACGTTTTTTATTTTGTAATACGACAGATAGTGTAAAGCGCAATCGGTGTGCTTTGTCTGAAATAGTCTCGTGCTTTTTGATTTCCAGAATGCTTTAAGATTGTCTTTGTAAGTTAAAAATAAACAAGATTTGACTTGTTACAGAATATTTACTCTTTATTTTTGAGAAATCCTTTCTTTAATTTAATTGAAAGTATTTGATTTATTTGGAATTTAAAACTAAAAGCCAGTGAACCTAAAACGTTTGAGAAGGTGATATAAAAGCTATGTAGAATGGATTTGTTGTTTGTAGGTTATAATCCGATTTGTTGACGTTTTGGCATATTTACGACTGAGAGGAGATGAAATGCGTCCACTTCTCGCCCTTGGGTTGTGTTTTAAAGACTAAACACTAGATTTGGTCTATTTCATCTTTAGGAAAATACTTAATTGAAATGAGAGAATTTCAGTTTTTCTCTTTGACAGACAGAAATTGGTGTCTGATTGCAAACAACACAAGTTTTACTTCCTCCCACTCCTTTTCGAGCAAGGGCTAAATGATTGTTTCTTTTGTCTTGGTTCAGTTTTGTTGTGCATCATCGTTTATGTATATATACATATTTCTTTTTCTGATGGCTCGAAATAAAGATGAATGAATGAATGACAGGAATTAACGGTTAGAATTCTCTATAATTGGCAGAGGGAAACGTGTTTTTCTTCAGAGGGTAGTGAGTCATACTTAAGTAATGTAAACCCACTGAAATGCTATTACCAGCTGGATAATGTTAAAAATCAGTAAAAGGAAACCGTTTTTGCTTTCGTGATGCCGAGTGAACGTTGAGCTCAAACACGTCTGATGTGAGACTTTCACATTCAGGATCTAAAACTCAAAGGTTTCTCTGACTTTACTCATGTTTCATTTTCTTCTTTCCCACCAGGCCAGGGCGCAATAACTCCACTTTGCCTTCAGAGGACTCCAGATCAAACAGTCACATTGTCCGACAGCCGGCCGGCCCAGATGGCACCCAGGGGTTCTGACAGCACAGATAAGCGGGTCTCCAGGATGACCCGGCTATCGAGGGGAGGGAGAGAAAGCTTAAGGGCCACCTGAGATCAGACATGTACCGTTTTCTTAAATCTTCCTTCAGTTCTCTCATATCAGATGGGCCGCGACTCTGGCTGCACCGCTGTGCTCATCTTCCTTTCTGCAGCCACCCAAAGCCATCAGGGAGCGAAGAACTCCGGGAGGAAGTCGGAATAAAAATGAGCTCCTTTCCCCCCCTCTCTAGTCTGTTTGACACTGTGATTTTGGACTAATTCTGGACTCACTGTGATGATCCCCCCTTCCCCCCTTTAAGAGTCGCCCCTCAGCTCCATGTTTCTCCTCATTCTGCCCCAGCAGCTCCATCCGAGGACCCTGGGAGGGCAAAAGCAAAGACTGGAACAGATAATAGTTCAGAGACGAGGTTACAGCAGGAGCCATATCAAAACTAAATCAGCGACGTCCTCCCAGCAATAATATCAAAACATCACTTTTATTCTTCATGTTGGATTTTAACGTTTAGTTTTATTTTGTCTTTATCTGCAAAAGGGATGCACCGATATTTTATAAACCACGGTTAATGTTTTTACACGTCACTGAGAATCAGTATTAAGAAATAAAGTTTTAAAGATGAGTACCTTGTTTTTTACGAGATAGGAATGATATTTTTTATTTGGTAAAAACTATATTTTGCTATCGACATAAACAAACTTCCTGTCCAGCAGCATGTTGTTTCTTCCATAGAAGATGCACCTCCTGCTTTATGCTGCATAAAGTATCAGTGCACCCCCTTATATTTGTAAATGACATTTGTGTTTGAGGACATGTCTGGGGTCGTGTGTGTCAAGCGGTCTGTTTCTGTTTACGGTTTGTTTTTAAAGCTTTGTATTTTTTTTCTTTTGCGGAAAAAAATGTCTATTTAAGAGTAAACAAGGAAAAAAAGAATTTAAGAGGATTAAAGTCAAATTTTAAGTAGTTTTTCTGCCTTTTACTATGAAATGGCGGCCGTTTTAAAGCAGTATTTTGACAATTATAAACCAAAAGCCCTTTTAAAAAAATGAATTAAGCTAAAAAGTCATTATTAGTTGAAAATTGTGCTGGCAGCAGTTTAGAGTTGGGACTAATTTATTGCCCCTCTCCCAGCTTCGTTGTCTCCATCTTGTCTGGTGTTGCTGGTTTCTTCACATCCTCCACTGGAGTAGGAACTCGGGTCCATGTGATTGAGACTGAATGAATGAAATGAACAAAGATTGTATTTTTCCAGTGGGTATGATTGCTCAGTCAACCGATGTCTGTATTTAAATTGGGCTCGGCACTTAGAAACGGTGCTCTGTTGAACAAAATGAGTACTATTTGTTGTTTTGTTTGATTTTAGCATCTTGGTCCGTGAACTGTTACTTCACCTCCTGTGGGATCGTTGAGTAAAAGATGATCTGCTACTAAAACAGAACGGCACCGCAGGATGTGAAGCAGCAAGCGCGGCTTTCCAGGACCACTGCGCCCAATGTCTCCACAGAGGAGATCTCAGCCATATTTAGTGGTGCAAGATCATCAATACAAAAGGCTCTTATGGTCGTGTTTCAATTCAGCTTGTGCCTCCTGTAAATCTTTACTTCCTGGTTATTGATTTTATTTAGTTTAATAAATTGAGAAACTTTTTGAAGGGGAATTCCTGATATTGTTAAAGAGATTTTAGTTGAGGGAATCTAGTGGCAGAGCAGGAACAGGTGAGCGGAGATGAGCTCAAAACTGCCTGTAAAACTGATTTAATTAAAGAATTTACAAAAATGTTTCTAGTATTTATTTCATCTTATCGTAGATAAAACTTGAATGTGAAACAGATATGTGACTGGATGAGGGATGATGTGTAACACACGTTTTTGATTAAAACTTTTTAAAGTAAAAATTTTTCTAGTATCTGGATCTTGTTGGGCCTGCGTGTGCCGTGGAAGTATGGAACCGTACAGCATGAAAGGGAAAAATGATTAAATCTTCACAAGTAGCCTGACCACTCACCTCAAGTTTAAAAGTATTTTAAGCTTTCAGAGTTTTTAACTTCAGGAGGGCTGTGGTACAACATGAATTTAAATATTTCTAACACAAAACAGATCTTGCGTCCTTAAAGACTTGCTGTAGTTCCACAGGTTCTGAGTGGAGTAAAATGATAAAGATGAATTTTATTTATGGAGCGCATTTACAGCAGCAAAGCTTACCCACAGCTCTACCATACCATACCACTTTATTTGTTGAGTGCTTTTAACACGGCATTACAACCGACCAAAGCGCTGCACATAAAAACAAAAAACACAAGCTAAAATAGTCGTGTATATCATATGAAGTAAAAAAGAAAAGAGTTAAAAGAACGGACTAAAACTAATAGAACAAGTAGAACTAGAAAATAAAAACACAAATTTAAAATCGAACAAACAAGGTGGAAAAACGAATGAGTTCATAGGCCAGGGAAAAGTAGTGGGTGTGATTTAAAAACAGCAATAGAGGGTGCTTGCCTAACCTGAAGAGGTAATGAGTTCCACAATTTTGGAGCACAGACAGAAAATGCCCTTAAAACGTGCCTTAGGGACAGTTAGGAGCTGATCTTCAGAGCACGCGGAGGGAGGTAGTACAAGGTAAAACAAATCAAGGTACAACAAATCAACAACAAAAACCTAAAATAAAATGAGCACACAACTGTCACAATTTATAATATATACTGTTAACAACTTTTAAGATGCTCAAGTCAACCTGCATTAAAAGCCAAATTAAAAAATGTGCCTTAAGAAGGAATTTAAAATGCTCTAGATTCTGTGTGGTCCTGATGTTGAGAGGTAGTTTGTTCCACAGTTTGAGACCAACCACAGAGAAAGCTCTGTCGCCGCGAGTCTTATGGCGGGTTTTTGGAACTGTTAAAAGAGCTTGAGAGCTGGACCTCATGGTTCTGGCAGGGATGTAAGCACAGCAGCTCAGAGATGTAAAATGGGGCCAGGCCATGAAGGGATTTAAAAACAAAAAGTTAAAATTTGAAATGGATCCTGTAAGAGACAGGAAGCCAATGTAGAGAGGGCAGAACCGGGGTTATGTGATCCCGCTTGCTGGTGCCAGACTGGAAGGGGCGTCGACCACAGGACTGGAGGCGTCGACTTCTGGACACGAGGAGGCGTCGACTTCTGGACACGAGGAGGCGTCGACTTCTGGACACGAAGGGGCGTCGACTTCTGGACATGAATGGGCGTCGACTTCTGGACACGAAGGGGCGTCGACTTCTGGACACGAAGGGGCGTCGACTTCTGGACACGAAGGGGCGTCGACCACAGGACTGGAGGCGTTGACTTCTGGACACGAGGAGGCGTCGACTTCTGGACACGAAGGGGCGTTGACCTCTGGGCTGGAGGTGTCGACCCCAGGGCTGGAGGCGTCGACCTCCGTCGACTTCTGGTCCGGGGGCGTCGACTTCTGGTCCGGGGGCATCGACCTCTGGACCGCTGGCCTCTGGACCGCCGGCTTCTGGACCGCTGGTCTCTGGACCGCCAGCGGTCTGGACCGCAGGCTTCTGGACTGCAGGCTTCTGGAGTGGAGGAGGAGCTGCTGCAGACGGAACCAACTCCTGGGGAGCACACAGCCAGTCTGGTGCTCACATAGCAGGAGTGGTCCATCTGCACCTCCCCGTCCAAGTCTCCATTCGGCTCCGGGAGGGTGGAGAGGATCGCTGAGGCTGGAGTTCGGCGGCGACGTCTGCGGCGAGGCGACGCCGGAGGAGGAGAAGCCGGCCGGTGGTTGGAGGTAAGGAACTGGAGCAAGCACTCCCAGGGGAGAATCTCCCCGCTGGATCCTTTAGCGGGTTGGCTCATTCTGTCACAACCGTGCCGGTGAGTGAAGCGGAGGCCGGATCCACATGTGGGTGCAAAGGCAGGCAGGCAGACAAGCAGGAACGGTTTACAAAAGGGTTTTAATAACAGAACACGCTGGACTACTGCAACAATGAACCAACAAGAGACACAGGACTGAAGGGGTTAAAATACATGAGGGCTGGGAGCTTGGGTGATTGGAAAACGAGAGGCAGGTGGGAGCAATTTACAGAGACACATGACTGAAGAGAACGGGGAGACAAGACAGGGTGTGACAAAATTATGTTTTTCTTTTTGGGACTCTGGTAGTTTGTCCTAAAGTTGAAGTGGTAACAGCCCGCTGTTTCTCCTTCTCTGATACCTCTCACACCAGCGGTGCTCTGTTGCGAAACAAGAATGGAGGACCCAAGGAAGTGCGGAAGTGCGCCACTTCGGCGAGACCGACAACTGGATGGTCCAGTGGTTGCTTTTGAAATGTCTTAGAACAACTTGACATACTTGCTGGTACGTACGGGTGTCAGTCAATGAGGCAGTCTGCCATAAACTGCCAAAGAAATGCAAATATGTCCTTTTTCTAAATAAAGTACTTAAGTATCTCTATCTGCTTTTGGCTCAAAGAAAGACCGAAGCTAAATGGTCCAAAGTTGATGCCAAAGCTGTTTCAAACTGCCTCCATTTTTGTTGTTTCTCTCCATAAAAGCACTGCGGTCTGTCTAGATGTCTAGGCTGTTTCCACCACTTCCCCAGAAAAAAAGCATGAACTGGTTGACTACTTTTCTCAAATCAATAACCATCTCCTCGGTTTTAGAGATGTTGATTTTTTTAAAGTTAGACTGACAGCAGTTAGTGAAGTCCCTTGACCACCATGATCAAGGTCCTCACTGTTGAGGAGGGACAGGATGACAGTCATCAGCAAACTTTAAGATGTTTTTTTTCTGGGAATACCTGCTATGACAGTCTTTGGCATAAAAATGAACAAGAGTGGTGAAAGAACACAGCCATGAGGACACCCAGAGGAAAAAAAGACATTTGTCTAGGGGTTTCAATTATTCCAGTGTTTACATGTACCTGATTGCTATTTCCCTAAAGTGAAAGTATGTTGTTCAGTCCAATGTGTCCAGCCCTTTTTCCAACAGCACTATTCAGCCCAAAAACAACCTTGTAGAGCGTGGGTACAACTCACCTCAGTGTAACTGTTTTACCTTGCCAACTCTGACAAAAAACGTGCAGGGGGACCCGTGGCACTCCCAATCTTTGCTCAACGTGGGTGCTGAAAAGTGGGGGAAAATACCAAACCAGACTGTTGTCAAAGGTTGTCAAACCAAACCACAAACATCTGAGTAGTGCTGTTTGAAAACCAAGAAATAAATAGAAATTTGGAGATTGGTGTGTAACCTCTAAGAAGAGAAATGTTCAGTTTGTCATTTTTCAAAAGTATGTGGATGAGCTCATTCCTGAAATGAGCAGGTAGCTGACCAGAGGCCAGGTAGGCACTGATTATAGTGGTTAGTTGCTCCAGTTAGACTGGCAAACGGCGAAACATCCTTGAACCAGTATGCAGGTTAAATGTCCCTGTCAGCACAGGGCAATTTCACCGACAACGGAACAAAACTCTCCACATTCAAAGGTTGAGATGGAACCAGTGCTGTAGGAGAAATATTATTCCTAACTGTTAAGTTTCATTGTTGAATTTATGTTTCTAGACTGAGGTACAATAGAATAGAATAGAATAGAATAGAATAGAATAGAATCCCACAGTGGGGAAATTAAGGCAGCAGATACATTTAGAGAATAGGAACAAAATCATACAGGTCAATATCATCGACATATATGCACAATATCAGGACACAAATGTCAATACACCAAGGCAGAAGGCTATCATTGTAACCTTCAACAAGTAGAGTAAAAAATGAAATTGAGTTTCCAAAAAAGAAACAGCATGAAAAACACGGACATACAAAATGTCAGTGTCATCAGACAATCTATAACACTTTATTTCACGTTTCACAATTTACTATTATTTTAATTACTTCACAATCTGGTTATGTAATCCTAACATTCAATCATCAATCTGTGGTGAGAATAATACGGGAAGTGGGTTTTTGGCTTGCTTTGATTGGCTGAATCTGGTCCAATCAACAGGCGCAGTCGGAGCTCTGCACATCCACAGGCTCATTTAACGCACACATAGCGGAACACGGTAAGTCTCTCAACAAACTCGTATTTCAGAGTAAAGTTACTCGTTTGAAAGCCGGTTAGTTAGCGTGTGGCTGTGTTAACGCAACCATGTAGTTGTGTGCGAGGCTTCGTTTACGTGCACACACTCTAATGTCTTGTGACCCTTCTGTTAATAAATAGCCTAGTGCTGTGGGTTAGATAGCTTAGCTCACAAGCTAACTAGGGTGACTTGATCGAGCAGCTAACGGGAAGCTAAGAACTGTCGGATCAGTTGCGGCACAAACATTGCCAGCGTTTATTGTTTTGTCATATTTTTGCTGTTCGTGTGTTCAGTGGTTTATTCACGCATCTTTGTAATGTTCAGTAGAACTTTTTTGTTTTTTATTATAATAGAAAATTGACATATGATTATGATGTATGCTAACTGCTGAGCTAACTTGTTAGCGCCTCAGCTTCGCTAAATAGTTTGGTAAATTTTTCTTCAACTCAGATTAAAAGCAGATTTAGTAATTTACAGTAGAATTGTTAGACGGTGTTTATATTTTCAGCCATGTTAAAGTTGGTTACCGCCGTGTCAGAGCTACACATTCTCTCCTTATTTTTTCCGGCTACCACCCATCAGTTAGCATGTACCTAAACGTGCTAACTAGATGCTAATAAAAGAGTTGTCAAACTTATTTTCAGTCAAGCTACTTGTAGTTTTCAAGTATAGAATATTTAAATTCACGTTAAATTAACTTCTCAAGTTTGTCTTGGTTTTAGCCGCTGTTGTTTTTAACGGTGTTATTAAAGTCTCAGCGTTGGGAAACTAATAGCCACACCCTTCCTTTCGAAACCAACTGCGCTACAAGTAGTTGTCAGGAAAACGATTTTAATTTCGATCAGCAGATACTAATGTGAACACTCGACACCTTCCGCGTCACATTGAATTATACTTTTAAAGTTTTCATTAAGCTTATTAACCAGAAGTCAAGTTAAAACGATCCCCCCTCTGGCGTTGACGCATGATATTTGTGTAATCTAAAGATATTGTTGCCTGGGTGGCTTCACTTGGCTGAAAGGGGAACTGTAAACTGCCATTTAATTATTCTGAGAAGCTGCTTTTAAATTATGTTTGCCTCAATGTTTATGTTGATCACCAACAAATGTGTAATTAATCTTTTATTCAATAACTTGAGGAGCCTTAAAGTTAAACATATCAGAGCCGATTTTAGGGAATATTATATTTTTCCTTTGTCCATTTTTTTATGTCCAAAATTTTTATGAGCCTTTATTGGTATTATTTTTCTGAATGAAAGCCAAACATTACATTATCACTGCAGTCCCACTTTGTTTTTAACTTAGATTAAACAAAGTCACTCCTAAGATTGATGACTTTTGATGTTTGCTTTTAGAGATCAAACGTATTTATGTCAGTCCTGTAAAGCTATCAGTAATACAACATTATAATAAGATGTTTACAATTTCCTAATTATGATTACACTTTTGGCTGTGTTAAGTATGTGTTGTACGGTTTGGCGAAAAGCTTTTGTCCTCATCAGACATCAGCGCCTTTTATGACTTGTTTTGTAAATCTGTTTGATGTGTTTTTGTGAAGCAATTTGATTTCTGTTGGTAAAAATGTGCTTTAATGAATGTTTGTTTACTTACGAAGCTTTTCTAAAATTGGCATCAAATAATTGGGTTGGTTTAGCGCATATACAGAGATCTGAATCAGATGTTTTATTGTTTGAATTTAGGACGTTTTCGTTTACTTTGACTTGACTCGCTCACTGGTTCCTCTGACTCTCAGCGCCTTCCAGACCTCCATCTGTGTGCCTGAGGATCTGTAGGCTCCCTTTCCCCGATGTAGAGGGAGTTCTCATCAGCAGCAGACGTGTCCACAGTAGGTGAACTTGTTTTTGCAGACTTGGTTCAAGGTGTATTATATTGTGAATATGTTTTTGTAATATTCTCTAGCTGAAAGTTTAGATTAGGTGACTCCCTAGGTACCAGAGCTGAAGCTGGCTCGTATCTAATCAGGGCAAAATTTCTTATCAGATGTGAAGTGTTTGAAGTGAGTTTTGACGCCCACACAGTTTTAAACAGCATGACACATGAATAATGTTTTGCTCAGCATGTTTACTTGCTGATTTATGCTTTAGGCACATTTTAGAATCACATCTAGGTGCTGTTCCCCACCCCAGCAATAATGGTGGCACAGTGGTTGTACATGAGCCCTCTGATCTCCCTTTTCTGTATACTTGACTAAAAGAGGGTCCACACAATGGCTCTTTGTGACGTGCCTACTGTGGCTGTGTCACACTGTGGTGCTTCATACGTTGTATTTAGAATTGCTAATGCTGGTCAAGTGTGACAGAGTGGTTTGTTTTGCTTGTCTGAATATTAGACAAAGGTCTAACACAACTATTAGAATTAGTCGGTTTCATGATACCTTTGACATTACTTCATCAACTAGATAGACATGAGTTATTTAGTAAATCTTTTCAGTTATGTTTGTCACGGTGTGAAAATGTAACCTCACGGTTATTGTGACCAAAATTATCACGGTTTTCGGTATTATCTCGGTATTTTTTAAAGTTACATTTTTTGACAATTAAATAAACCCTGTATATCAGGAAAATTTTGGCCTCAGTTTGTGTCTAAATTTAGCCTAAAATGTGTTATTTTGTAATTATGTTGTTTATTTGTTTACATTTTTCCCATTTAGTCGTTAAAATACCAATATTTGCCCATAGCTTCTTATTTTTTGTCTGTTTGATGTCATCATTTTAAAAATATTAGATCAGATGATACTCAGTACTCAAGTAGCCTTCTAATCGGATACTTTTTTTTACCCTTACTTGAGTAATAAACCCTATATCAGGAAAATATTGTCCTCGGTTTGTGTCCTTCCAGTGAGCTTTGCAGATGTGGGAAAATGTCATCAGGCAGTAATCATTGTTAAATTCATAATTATTCTCGGAGAGAGACCAACTCTTATCTGCCCCTGGGAGCCCCGTAATGCATAGCGTCATTTCAACATGGGGGTGTCCGCGGCACGTTTTATATGCAGGTAGCGGCGCTGCGGCTGCTTTATATTCTTTATAACCCAAATCCTCGGATCACGCATTTTAGCTAAAATGCTAACGTTAGCTTGCCTTGCGTTGACTGTAGAGTTGTGGGTGATTGTCACGCAGATGTGTCATGAGATGTGAAGCGTTGCTGCCTTTCACAGACACTTTTTCTGCACGTGCTGCAAACAGGATAGCCGTCTTCTATCAGCTGTCCCTCGGCATTCTTCTGTTATCCAAAAAATGCCCGTACTTCCCACTTTGTCTTCTTTGAGGGATAACAAATGTCCTCCTGAGCGCTGCCGTCTCCTCCTTCAGCCATTATTTCAGCTTTAGCTTCAAGAAAGTTTTGGTTGTAAACAACAAAGTGCGCATGTGCCGCCAGCAACTTCAGCAGATGATACGGTGGCTGGTAAGGGTCACTGCGCCTACACCGCAGCCACGGTAATCCACCGAGATGATATATTTTTAAAAAACAAGACGGTTATTATTATTGTCTACTTTTTTTACCGGGGTTTACCGCTACACCGGTTACCGTGACAACCCTAGTTATGACACTAATTCATGAAGCAATCCCAAACCGTTTGGCTGTGCCGCATAGCAGTGATCATTATTCACAAGAGGAAAAAAGAGGTTTCTCTGAATAAATCACTTTCTGGGTGCCTTTAAATAAGATGCTGCAATTTTAATAAATGTTACGAAATCTTTTAACATGATTAAAACCAGTGATATCCATCTTATTAGTTTTAAGGTTTCATTAATGTTTTACACTTTAGGACTAAACAGTTTTCGCAGAAGGCTTTCTTACATTTTTGTAACACACACCTGGATGATCCTCCCAGAAATAAACAAACAAATATACCTTTGGCCTGAAAAATAAAATAAAACCCAGGCAGAGACCGGCCATAGCATCATCTTTTTAATGGGCATCACCCATTTTGCTCCAAGTCTTTTCGTTTCATTGCAGAAAAAGCAGCTACAGAAGTATTTCCTGACACTATGAATGCTACTAACTGGTTATTGTCTGTTTTTTTATATTTATCACTTGGGCTTCTCCAATAATCCGACGTGTCTCAGATTAAATCTGCTAAAATGGTTTATGTTAAAGTTTTCATGCCTCCACTTAAACATTTTGGTGTCTTTAAAGCTTCGTGCCCTATTTTTCTAGGCCATGTGTGGTCTAATCTGTGTCAGGCTGATGATGGGTCATTCTCAGTGGCCTTTTTCTTTTGTAATATAATGAGATGGTTATTCGGGAAACTGGAACACCAAAGCAGGGATTGAATTTCACTCTGACATTGTGCTTATTGTGCAGAATCTCTCAGAATCACACATAATTCAGATAAATAAAGAATTTCCTGCTCACATTTCCAGTTATATCTTCTAATAATCAGCTGCTGCAGCTGCTAGTGGTACAGCCTCTAGCAAACACAGATATGTTCCATTGTTATCATTAACAGGTCGTCATAATGGGAGCAACTTGCAGCCTTACAGCAAGCCAGCTGAGTTGTCTGTCACGATAGCAGTGAGGTTGTGCCACTAGCTGGACCTCCACTTTATGTCTGATAAGAATGTACTTTGCACAGGGAGAGAGAGAGAGGGAGTGTTGATTTTTAGTGGTTGTGCTGCCGTGTTGTAGATACAAAGGCATCTTGATGCAAATGAAGCTGGATGACGTGGAATACAAGTGTCTGTTCTCCTGTTGCAGCAGCAGCAACAGATGAGACACGAGAGCTGCTGTATGCTCCGGTTGGTGAAGGAGAGCAACAGATCTTCCTCACTGGGACTGGAATGTCTTAAAGCAGCACAAACATTTACAAGTCAAGGATTCCTATGAGGCTGATTGACCTACATTCATAGGATAGTCTCAGATGACCAATTACAGACGGTTTTATAGACTATTATTTGTAGACTCCACCCAAAGTCTTAGGATTTAAAACGTTTGCAGGTCAGCAATAGACTAAAATTCATTTGTTACTATTGTAAAAGATTTTGGTTTTTCTCCTGTAAGTTTAGTTTGGGGAGTCTAGGAGCTCTGCTACAATTTCTAAACTATTTTACAAACGTTTAAATAAAAACAACGCAATGGAGAAAGTCGTACCACCCATATGAATATGATAGCTGAAGTCCCTTGGGAGTGGGAGGGAAGGAGCTCATTTTTGGCTAAAGAACAAGTTTCTATTGTGCTAACATGAATAATGACACTCTAGAAACTGTACACAGGGCCAACTCCAGAATGGAAAATAATACAGTAGTAATTCCTTCTGTTTTACCTTGTGGGATTATTTGATGCAATATTTAACTGATGCAGCTGTTTTTGAGGTCAATAAAGCAGTTTTATTTTATTGTTCCTGAAACAGAGAAATGCACTGGAAGCTGCTGTGTCACCTAATCACCTCTTTTATTCCTCCAGACTTGTGTTGTCCCTTGAAGTGGCCCACCATGCGTGAGTACAAGCTAGTTGTGCTTGGATCAGGAGGTGTGGGAAAATCTGCACTGGTGAGTCCACATAGCTAATAATAATAATAATAACTAATAATGTAGCTGTTTTTACTGTAAAAATCAACAGTTCTGTAGAGAAACACAAAGCTTCATCAGTTTTAGTTGAGATTTTTGCAGTTATTTTGGTTTAATAATAATAATAATAATAGAAATCAGATTTTAATGAAAGTAAATATCCCAACAAAACAACTGTGCAAGTCAAACTAAGTGAATATCGGGGCGTATAAGAGCTGCCGCTTGTAATAAATACTAGGATCATAGTTTCCATATATATTTAATATTAGTTCTAATTTGCCAATCTGCTATTTAATGATCCTAAATTACTTGTAGTGATGACTGATAAATGTAACTGTAGTTTAACACCTACGTAAAGGAGTAAACAGAAAGGACAAACCTAGATAGTCTTACGATGGGGGTTGGCCATACATCATTCATGATCAATATTTTGTTGCTCGGGAGAAAAAAAGGTCTTAATTTGCTAATTAGATGATGTGGACATATCCATTACGCTCACATGGGTCATGCGGCGCAAAACGATGACATTTGTGAAGGCGAACATGGCTGGACTGATGTCAGTGAGCAGAGAAAGATCCACGGCAGTTTCTGAGCTATTCTGGCCACTGCAGGGCTAGGGCACTTTAACAATCACACATTATGTTCTGCAATAGAAGACGAGGTAAAACCTTTAGAATTCTTTGTCTACTGATTTGGTGAATTTTCATTCAGTCGCATTATAATGATTAACAAACATGGCTGAAATGGAAAATATGAATTCAGAAAACAGAAAAAGTGGCATTTGTAAAAAAAGAAAACCGATTTCCAGAACCTCAGTATTACTGCCCAAAAACAATGAATGGATATTAACAGATGGTTGAACGGTGGTAAATCGTCAGTTTTAAGCTCGGATCACACGGTGCGATTTTTTTGCCGTCGCACAGGATTGTTCATGTCATACTGTGTGAATTCCAGAAAGGTGTACGACGCCAGATTTCAGTGAGGCAGATGGCACGACGTCTCGCTCCTGTAGGACATGCAGCGTCACTCCAGCAGACCGCTAACCAAAATAAATCTGAAAAGTTAGAATAAAGCGTCGCCGTTAACACTTCTTTTTAGCGCCAGCTCATCTTCCTCAAAGAGGAAGCATCGTTTTAAAAACCCTCACTTTTTCCCTCTCCTTTTCCCATCTTCCAGATAAACCGCTGAACTGTCTGTCCATCCTTCTGATCCTCCTTAATAAATAAAAAGACACTAACCTACAGAGAAGTAACAATCTGTCACAGATCACTGCACTATCTAAACTTTTGCAGTGAGTTCTGTCTGAATGTTTACTCCGCAGCTCCGCCCCATGAGCTCATCACACCCGCTGTCACGGAGCAGAGTATCCTCTCTCTCTGCAACAAAACGCGACTGAACCGTCCTTGTCAGCTGAATATGGGAAATTTCCACCAACAGCAAAGGGATCTCATGTTTTTGTATTTTAATTTTTATGTTTGTGAGCACATCACCTCTCACAGATCACAGAATCACGGTTTTCACAGTTTTTCTGATGGTCTACAAATGTAGGTTAAGTATTTTTAGTATAACTCCTGTTTAACTTGGGCTGTTAACATAAATAAAACGGGTGTGTAGTTAATAATCTGCATTTTAAACATAAACTGAAAACGAAGCTCAGAGAGGCGGAGTCTTGCTGCCGCGGCGTCCCAAAGGTGTATTTTTATTGGGCGATTGCAGACAGGAGTCGTAGGTTTTCAAGCATGCTCGAAGACTTTTTGAGGCTGATTTGGTCGTGAGACGGCTCAAAAAGCTGTCGCAGAGTTGGTCACACTGTACGTTCTCAGATATGCAAATCGCCCTCACGTTGACCGTTTTTTGTCATCATTCTGCTCAGGACGAGGGATTTGACCGAGACGGCCAAAAATCACACAGTGTGATTCGGGCATTAGTTATCAGAATAATCTGAAACATCATAGTCATCCACATCTTCATTAAAGGTCAGCTAAAGTTAACCTCTTTCAAGAAAAAACAAAGCTACATTTTATAGAGTTTTAAGAATATACCAAAAACGTACCACACAAAAAAGTATGACCATTTCAGTCCGAGGAGTGGTTTGGTGGAATAGCATAGAGGAAAACATAAAAACATGTAAAACTGTTGTACAGTTAAAAAAAATTATATAGAAGAAAACTTTTGGAAATTTACTAATTTGCTAATGAATTATGATAGACATTAAGAAGTTGGTAAAGTCAGTAAGATCTCATTTTGAATTTGGATTTTATTTAAGATGTAAAAGTATAAGTGTTTATATGATTTCTTGCTAATGTGAAAATTCTAATTTTGCTTGACCTCTAATGGGATTAATAAAGTATCTTTGAATTGAACTGTATTGATTTTGTTTATGATGTATGTGTAGAGATGTTTATTTGGATTTTGGAAATGGAAAGATGTTGAGGGATAGGGCAACGAAAAGCCTTGAGCTTCTCCCTATTCCCCTGTAAGGACCAAAGAGGAATCTAAATCCTCTAAATAAGAAATTTTTATTTTGTATTTGATTTAAATTTGTTTGAATTGTCTGAAGTGAATGAATGGATGAATAAATTAATGAATAAATAAATATTGTTTTCCATACATTAAATCACATTATTTCCTATAATTATTTAGATAAAATGATTTAGATGTTCTCTGTTTTATTTGTTTTTCCTCTCTCTGTCCATTCCAGACAGTCCAGTTTGTGCAAGGCATCTTTGTGGAGAAGTATGACCCCACCATAGAGGACTCTTACAGAAAGGTAGTTCCTGTCAAAGTTGTTGTTTACGTTTCTTCTTTGTTCCTATAAAACTGTTGTTGCTTCTGCCCGACAGCAAGTTGAGGTTGATGGACAACAGTGTATGCTTGAGATCCTCGACACGGCTGGAACAGTAAGTCACAGCAGACGTGTTTCACGGACGAGTGTTTCTGCTGAGGGGCTGCTGATGTCTGGTCTTCTCTGTTATTGTTCTGCAGGAGCAGTTCACAGCTATGAGGGACCTTTACATGAAGAATGGACAAGGCTTTGCTTTGGTCTACTCTATTACAGCGCAGTCGACATTTAACGACCTCCAGGACCTCCGGGAACAGATCCTGCGAGTAAAAGACACAGAGGATGTGAGTAGAACACACTTTCAGCAACACATACTGCATGGTGGCGCAGTGGTTAGCACTGTTGCCTCGCAGCACGAAGGTTGCAGGTTCGAAACTCTGCTGCATGGAGTTGCGTGTTCTCCCCATGCATGCGTGGGTTTCCTCCGGGTACTCCGGTTTCCCCCACAGATCACAACATGCCCTATAGGTTATAAATTGTAAGTCGCTTTGGATAAAAGCGTCTGCCAAATAAATAAACATAAACATACTGATTGTTGTTTGTATTCATGTGCACCAGCCCAGCTGCCACTGAAACGTCTCACTCTAAACCAGTGGTTCCCAACCTTTTTCCCAAGGGACCCCGTTTTTTACCAGTAAAATTTTTGACGACCCCCTCCCATTCTCTCTTCCAGTACAAACATTATTAAGAAATGATAAAATTGTTCAAGCACATTTTAATATGCTTTGGTTCAATAGATAACAGTAATAGTAGGCTCCAGTACAGAACAAAGTCATTAACAAAACCAAACAGAGCATAACGTGCTTAACAGTTTGTATTACTTTTTTGAACACATTGTTTCTTGTAAACACTGATAAATCAATCATTCCTTTCAATAAACGTTTGACACATAAAAAAATACACTGAGCAAAATGTACTTAAATGTGTATATTACTGTTTATTCTAGATTATTTACTGTAAAGGCTGTGATTAATCAACCAGTCCTATCTTTAATGAACTTTTGACACTTGAAAATAAAACAGTGAGCTGAGCAAAATGTTCTTAAAAGTGTGTTACTTTTTCTGTACTAATTATTTCCCGTCTTAATATCAGTAAAATGTTCACTCAGGAAAAAAATGAGCAAAATGTAGGCTATAAACAAGTAATAAATGAAGTTTTAACCCCTTAAAGTGGAGAGGTCCTGGCGACCCACTGAGAGGCTTTGGCGCCCCCTTGTGGGGGTCGGGACCCCCAGGTTAGGAACCACTGGTCTAAACAACCACGAAAACTTAAGAATGTTTTCTTGCTGCATTTTTTTGTCAGTTTGAAAGAAATCTGATGTGCAAATTTAAAAACCAATGAATAAATTGGAGCTAATTTTCTGAAGTTTGAGTTCTGTAACAAAATGAGTGAGTGTGTCCAGTTAAGGTCAGACTTTTGGACATGTTACGTGCTGCTGTGATTGAGTCATGTCTAATACCTATCTTACCCAAGACAAGACAGCTTTATCTACATAGCACACGACCTTCTCAGTGGCCTAGCAGTGCGTCTGCCCTGAGACTGGGAGATCCACGGCCGGGTCATACCAAAGGCCTTAAAAATGGGGCCAAGGGCAGCTGACACGTCTCACCTTTATGTTGCTATTGTTTTATTAGACGCACTCCACTTTGAACTGCACCAATCCAGCAACTGCTGCATTTTAATAACTAGTATTAAAGGTGAATACACCAATATTTGCACAAGAATAATTTCTGCGTTAAACTCTCAGTGACACACTTTGCAGGGGGGTTTGGCATTTAATTATTCTTGGCTGGAAAAACATCTCCTTCTGCCCCCCGTATTTGACTTTCTGTCCCCCTGTATTTTGGTCCAAGATCATTACTGGGCTGGCCCTATTAAACACCTTCTACACCCCTGCTTAATGACTTAATTAAGTATTTTTAAGCCAGTATAAAAATGACTGAAACACAAATTTACATATTTGGCGTTATTGACAATACCTTTGATTTAATTTATTTGTTAAGAACATCAAGATGCATTACAGTGAACATTATAATAAAGTACATTTTTCTAGTGCAGAGAGGAGATGACCCATAGAAGCACTGATCTGATCTCATTTCAGAGAAAAATAGAACAGGTCATATGCACCTAATAAATAAAATTACTAACAAACTCAGGAATCTGTTTCTTTGCTTCATTGTTCTGGTGCTGAAAATATCACTAATGCAGATCAAAGGAGATACGCAGATGAATGCACCTTATTTATTATTTGGAAATTAGTGGGTGTGGTTTACATCAATTCATTATTTTAAATCTGAAATTGATATGGATTGATCAGAAGTTGCTATGTGTGTTGTTTATTTGAAAACTGTTTACAGAGCAGCCTCAGAATTGAGATTAAATATTTTTGATCACAATAGTAAAGAAACTATTACAGAACAAGTTTTTCAATAAAATCAGAACATTAATATTTAAGTGCATGAATGCACTCACTCATGCATCTGAACTCATGCAGTAGGAACTAGGAAATATGAAATAGTAGAACCATTTTATTTTAATTTGATTAAACTGATTTTTTCCTAACGTTGTTGGCATTTTTCCCCACACACAGTTACACAAAACAATGTGTGTGTGTGTGTGTGTGTGTGTGTGTGTGTGTGTGTGTGTGTGTGTGTGTGTGTGTGTGTGTGTGTGTGTGTGTGTGTGTGTGTGTGTGTGTGTGTGTGTGTGTGTGTGTGTGTGTGTGTGTGTGAGAGAGAGAGAGAGAGAGAGAGAGAGAGAGAGAAGTTGAAATAATTAAAGAAACCGGAGCGGAGGCAGTGACCAACGCATGCCGTTTTCAGCTCCGTCTTGTCAAATGCACCACGCACATTACGAAAAAAGTAACTTTAAATATTCAACCGAAAAAGAGGCGAGCTGAAGAAAACCTAGGGAGCACCGAAGAAACGTGAGCAACAGTGAAGCAAGCACAGAGAGATCCGTTACTGTCTGTGTGTGGGGTGGATCAAGTTTTGTGTCTAGGGAGGGGCGGGCGCTCCATGTGACTGGCTAATCACAGAGCGTGAAGGCAGTCAGTTACCCAATGAGGATTTTTCTTCAGCACGATTACAGATATTTACGAGTTTTACTCGTTTCATGCTCGAATTTGTCAAAAATGCTTTATCAGCGGCTCATCCCTAGCTGTAACCGCCCTGCCTCCTCCTCCTCGCTGCCTGCCGGCTGTGATAACAAGCAACAACAGAGTAGTTCCCGCTGCTTCTTCGGCACAAAAAAAAAAGGAAGAAATCTATAAAACGGGATCTTGCAGGCGTGGCGCTGGGATTTCAGCCGTGGCGGGTCGCCACGGCTACGTCTATGTAAGGGAAACACTGGGTCATTACACGCCCGTAACAGCAGAGGGTGCCAGGCTGTGTGTTCTCAACAGGAGAAAAAAATGGAGCAGAGTGGACTCAAAGTGGGGCAAGTTAAGAGTTCTGCAAATTTTAAGATGACGGTGTTCAATTCAGCAAAGATGTCAAACATTGCATGCATGGATGCCTTGGATGGCAGTGAGGATGATGTTTAATGGGAGGAGCCGGCTGGACACATGTAGAGATCTGATGGTACACCCGGACCGCAGCAGAATGAGAGAGTGAGTACAGCGAGGCAGAGGGCATCTGAATAAAAGCCTCATTTGACTTTTGATTTCATATGTCAGCAAAGTTATGAGAGTTTGCATTAAAATAGTATTTTGTGAAATTTTCAATAAAAATAGTTTATTTAAAAAGAGATTTTTTTTTTGTCTTTTCCTGAAGATTATTCTTGGAAAGGGGGTGTTCTTATATTCGGGTCAAAACGATACATAAAACTAGAAAACTAACATAATATCAATAAAATATTGATATAAAAAGATTGAGGTGGGTAGTTTCCTGAATGGCCTCTGTTCTGAGAAACAGAGTTTATGTCATCCGGACTGCAGGTCTGAGTGCTGCTAAAACCAGGGTGTGATGCTGCCATCCTAAAGGAGTGCATTACTTGTGTAATCAGCACATTTGCAGTGGCCTCTAGTTTGAATGAATGCTTTGTAAGTAATTCTGGGGAGGGCTGGTGTACCATTACCAGGAGCTGAAGTGACCCACTTCACAGCTGAGCTTCAGGCGGCAGGTTTTGGGGTCTTTTTTTTTCCTGATATCTCACCCCAGATTGGATAACAGCAAAACAACTCTACCACTGACTTGCAACGGTGATGTTTCATCTCCACAAATAACACAAGCCTGGAGGAGCTTCTGCTGTGTGTTGGTGTTGCTAATGCTAACTGTTAGCTTAAACTAGCTGACACGTTTGCTGCTGATTACCAGACGTTAAAACGACAATAGCCTTCGTGAGTCAAGATCGGTGAGTCTATGAATGCTAATTCAGTGTGACATAGACCTGTGAGGATTTTCAAATCCTAGCTAGGAGTTATACACTCTTACTGCAGAGGGGATGAATGACGTACGGCGGCGTTCTGTTTTATGACAATGACCTCAAACACTGTTTGCTCTGTCATCATCTCGTCTTTCGATAATCAACCTTTCAGCGTGTGGGTGTGAGCACAAATGACTGGTTAGTTATAAACAGACATGAAAATCTCTCATTGGGGTGATTATAGAGTCCTAGAAGGCCCTATATAAATGCGGGCCCTTTACTATTTAGTTTGTGTGCACCTATTTGACACAGTCTGGATGAGATTATCTGATGATGTAAGTTCTCTACTCTAACCTAAATGCGTCAGCAGCCGTACTAAATATCCTCTGAGCTTTTACCAAACTGTGCAAACACACACCCTGCTGTGTGCCTTGATACAGCTCACTGTCTGACACTTATTTAACTTTTAGTGCAGAATGACTCGGGGAAACTCCATCTGCTTGTTGGTCTCATTCTGAATCTAATCCCAGACCTGTTATTCTGCTATTTCAGAATGCAGATGCTGAGCAAACTTAACCATCCCTGTAAAAAAACGCTCAGGAATTCAGCAAAGCATAAAAGCACCAAATGTTGCCTCATTTTGTACAATTCAAATGACCTAAAGCAGGGGTCGGCAACCTTTCCCCATCAAAGAGCCATTATTACCCATTTCCCACAGTAAAGAAAACACTGGGAGCCGCAGCAGCCGCAGCGTTGTGGGCGGGGCCTACCCTCAGACAGCAGAGAGCTGCTTTAACCAATCACAACAGGTGACAGCAACCAATACCAGTCACTCATGTACCTCAAAGTTATCTTTCAACAGAAGATGATTAATAAAGCAGTTTGTTTAAAATTGGTCCAAAAGTTGTAGCCCATCTGTGCTACAATATTTCGATTTTTTTTCACACTGCTAGTGGTTTTAATAGTTGAGTAGGTGACGCTTTTTGAGGCATCACACATAACATCACACATAACTGTTCAGAATACAAATCCAGGCTCTGTCTCGTTGGACTGTTGTAATTCAACTTTGTACTGAACTAAACTTCGCATTAAACATTGTTGAAAAGGTAAGAAAAGACAATTAGTTTTTTTTCCTCGTTTACACTGACGGAGATAACGGCGCAGCGTGCGTGGCTCTGGTGTCATCAGGTTTAATGTTTCTGTTTGCAACAATCTTCACTAGAAGGTAAGACGGTTAAATGACAGGGTTCGCAATAACCCGATGTTTCCCGTATTTATTTTGACGGAGAAATCTCAAGCCTGCAGATGCGCTGACATTTTAAGGCACATCGTGGAGGTAGCTACATCAATCAGGAAAAGATTCCCATCAGAACATCTGAGATGGACACTGAGCTCAGCACAGCTCGCGCGTAGCGTGGACAGCGAGCTGAAGATAGATCAGGGGCTTGGAGCGCATCGCAGAACCAGAACCATGTAGGAAGATTCTGTGTTTTCTAAACCCGGCCTCTCAGAGACTTGTCACTTTAAAAAATGTTCCCTGATTATGAATATTTGGCTGAATAGCGCTTGTTCCTGTCTCCAACACTGTGACGCATCCATGAGCCTGTCTGAGGAACAGTCCAGAATCTCCTCTTCAGCTCCGAAAGCTCCTAGAGACATTTGATTACGCACAAGCAGGTGACCTGTTCACGTTTACGCAGACAATCTTTAAATCTAGAATTGGCTACAGATGAAAACATGAATAAAATACATTGTAATTAAATATTCCTTAATTAGTTTACTAGCAGAGTCTAGGGAGCCGCATCAGATGGATGAAAGAGCCGCATGCGGCTCCAGAGCCGCAGGTTGCCGACCCCTGACCTAAAGAATAATTTCAGCTCTACAGTCATACATGTGACTGTGTGTGTGTGAATGGGTTAATGACTGATTGTGTTAAGTGCCTTGGGGGGGTTGTAGAACCCTTAGAAGGCGCTCTACAAATACAGGTCATTTTACATCATTCTTCAGGCTCAACCCCCACCTTTAGAGGCATTGCTGGGGGGCTTTGTGACGGTGAGATAATGTCAGATGTCGGTTGGTGCCATCTGCCACTTTCAGTCTTTGTTGGGTTAGCCCCAGAGGATGGATGTGCAGCATGCTGATTGCGTGCGTCATTTATTCAAAGCGGGTTGCTTTCCTCGACTTCTCTGCTTCTTCATTACAGCTGCTGAATATGCATCTCATGCTGTTGGACTTATTATGATTTAAGCTTTCTCATTTAGCTCTCTAGAGACCCGACTAAATAGTCCTAACTGTCACGAGCAGAACTTCAAAAGACCCTTGAGGACGCCAAACACAATAAAAGTAGATTAAAAAAGTCTTTATTTGATGCAGAGTTACCAGAGGTGGGCGAGGCTGGAGACAGAGTCGGAGACAGGCGAAGGTCGTGGTGGCAGGCAGAGTTCAAGACGGGGGTCAGGAGCGAAAACAAGGTCCGGAGGCTGAGATCAGGCAGGGTGAATGGCTGGAAGATTAACTTGCATGGGCTTTCAATAATCTGGCAGAGAACTGGTGGCTGACTGGCTCTTATGTAGTAGAGGGAGCAGGTGTGTGAGATGAGCTGAGGAGTAGAAGCAGGTGAAGTGGATGAAGCTGATGACAGGAACAGGTGAGATGAATGGAGTTGATTGTGGTTGCCAGGGGAAACGGGGCTTGTCAGGAGCTTCGTGGGGGGATTAGGTGAGCTGAATGAAGGCTGAAAGATGGGAGTCATGACACTAACCCTTAAAAATTGCTATTGGTTCATTGAAAAACACCAGACATTCAATGAATTTACTTCAAATGCATCAGAAGTCTTCATTATGAACACATTCCCTCAGTCTAATAAGTACCGTTGACTTCCTCACACTAGCCAAGTCTTTCTACCTTCATTTAACTTTTACATTTATTTATTCTACTGGGAAGAAGACGAACAGCAATTTAATTCACTTTTGTTCTGAACATACTGTGACCCAAAAATAAAAGACTGATTTAATTAGAAAAGACCTGTTCTTACTTCTGAATAGCTGCAGCAAGCTTCGTTTATGTAATCCTGTAACCCTAACACCCCTCTATGTAATTTTCACTCGTTTCATCTGAAAACCTTTCTGTTGATCTGATGCTGGGTTTGCTGATGCGTTTCTGATCTTCCAGGTTCCCATGATCCTGGTGGGAAACAAGTGCGACTTGGAGGACGAGCGTGTGGTTGGGAAGGAGCAGGGGCAGAACCTGGCTCGTCAGTGGAACAACTGTGCCTTTTTAGAGACCTCAGCTAAATCAAAGATCAACGTTAATGAGGTTTGTACTAGAGCAACACTTCCTTCATTCTGAGGGACTTTAAATGGTCATCGTGTATAGTGTAAAGGATGGGTCGTTTACATCTTACTTATGAACCAAAAAATGTGAGATTCCATAGAAATATGAAATATCAATCTGATGGATCTTTGAATATTTTAACCAGAAGATCAGAACTTTTTATTGCAGGGATTACGTGACACTTCGTATTAACCCCGAGGAAAGAGAGAGAGAGTCAGGTTTATAATAGTTAAGAAATTTATTTCCACACAATTTAAACAAGACTAACTTTAAACACTCTTGTGTACTGATGGACTAAGGTGGAGTGAGACGTGAGAGGATGGTGTGTGTGTGGAATGTTGCTATCAGAACCAGCGGATCCAGAGAAGCAGTTAGTTCTGAATGGGAGTGAATGTTTCGCTCTAAACTTTAGTCAGAGATTTATAACACACATGAAACGCCATCTGTCGGTCTACTTGCCCCAGGGGAAGCCCCCGTTTAGATCCAGAATGTCGAGGTCCTCTTGGACCCTCCTTGGAACCGAAACCGGTAGAAAAGCAGCGGCGCCGACCAAACTAGTCTTGGAATGATTCCAGGTCACGATAGTTTATCACTGGCGTCTCCGAGACCCTGAAGGGGTCGTGAGGTTCAGCTTTTATTCTGAAGGAACCGTTGCGGTCAGGTGTAACTTGCAACAAATTTTAGCCAGCTTGTCGAGGTTCTTTTGGCTGAAGAGGAAGTCCGGATGGCCTGTCCGAGACTTCTCTAGAACGCTTTGAACTAAAGAAAAGGTGACGTGGAATAGTTTTATAAGTGTCATATTTTGGTTTGCTGAGGGAGTTCTACTCTTTCATGGCCTAGAGCATAAAGGTGTGGGACACTTGTTTAATCATTTGCAGTAGTCTGTGCTAGAAATGAATACCTTGTAAGTAGAAATGTGGGGGGAAAAGCGGCGGTGCGCCAGCTTCAGGAACTAGAAGTGAGCCTCACCCGAGGAGAGCTTCAGACAGTGATTTCCTGATGTTTGGATGTCACTTCTCTGATTGGATATCAGCAACACGGACTCTGTTTGCGCTGCAACGTGGATGTTTTATCTTCACAAATAGAGCCTGAAGGAGTTCTGCTGTGTGGTGGAGTTGCTAATGCTAACAGTTAGCTTCTGCTAGCCGAGACATTCTCTGCTGTTCGCTGGACGCTAAACCAACAGCAGCCTTCCCCATTGTGAGTGAAGATGGTTGAGTCCATGAATGTTAAGCAACAGTGTGGTGTAGATCTGTCAGGCTTATCTAATCCGAACGTTTCACCATCTATTTTCTATCAGAATCGAATGCAGGAGGTAGGTGTAGGCTGGGGCGTAATTTTGGGGGGGGGCGGGTGGGACATGTCCCCCCCACTTTTTCAAAAGGCAGTTTTGGTCCCCTGCACTTTTTTCCGTCCAAAAACAATGTTACGCTCCATTAAATGGATTTGTTTGAGCACTAGGACCGAAACGAAAACCGGTTTACTATTAGACCTGCCCAAAAGCTAATCTATTGGCTCTGCTGATACTTGCTGACGTATTATTGGCTGTTGCTGCTGTCACTCAAGTTGTAAACAGTCAGAACGTGCTCACGTTGTTTTGCTAGTTTGGAGCCGCTAGGGAACACCGGTACTGAGTCACATCGTCAACTAGACGCTGTGTAATATCAGAGCTCAGCTCAGCTTCCATTACATAACATTTGAATAAGTGTTCATTTGTGAGTCTTTGGTAGTTAGGCACAGCCAGGAGGCAGCATGTCAAGTAGGGCTGCAACAAACGATTATTTGGATAATCGATTAATCGGATGGGGTCTCGACACGATTAATCGATTAATCGGATTACATGGGGAAATTTTTAAAAACTGCTAGGGAAACGTTATTTCTCTCCTTCCTTCACTTTAACACAATATTATTAGAAAACAGTTCAATAGCAGAAAAACAACATGCCATCACCTAAATTGTCTTATAAGGTGTATAGACAGAGACCCTAAGCTACATCTATCTGTGATCTAAAATGCTTGGTCCAAGTTAAACAGCTTAAGGGCAATTCTCATCTGTTTTGTTTGATCTCATCTGTTAATATTTATTTTAAATGTAATTAAACATAGGCTGTGAATTAATCAAAATTGATCACTATTTCCAAAACTGACTGAAAAAATACCAAATAAAACAAAAGTAAATGAATGCCATCCTCCTTGTGATGATGCCCTGGGCAACTGCCATAAAGTCACATCAAGAAATGCTGCTGATCATTCCAATGATCCCAAATAGACTCACATTAGGCCACATGAAAGCAACTGAACCCAAAAATATATTAACCAGTATATAACTGCACTCTCACACAACACGCCTGCAACAACAGTTAGGACTCCTCCCTCCCTTTTAAAAGCGTTTTTGCTTCTGAGGACATTGTGGTTGTAAAACCACATGCTAGTAGTCTGGCCCCGGTGTGATCAACCAGTTTCTGCGGGAATGTGACGGCGGAACCAGGGCCAGATTAACACTTTGTTGTACCCTGGGCAACAATATTCAAGGGCTCCATCATCACGACCCAAGGATCACCATAATGTGGTCACATACAGAATATTTTACTGTAATATGCAGTAAATATACTCAATACTTGAATGCCTGACAACACGTAACCCGCCCAGAGTAACCTTTGACCCACCTCGTGTGGACTGACCAATGAGGAGAGGGTCTTAACTTGAGGCCCTCTCTTCATTGGTCAGTCTGCATGAGACTGACTCTCAACTGACGTTCAGTCGTAGGCAGCGAAGCGTCTCTGTGCAGCGCAAAAGCCCGGGTGGACAGTTTGTTTAATATAGGGTGACCATATTTCCATTTCCAAACAAGAGGACAGGGGATCTGTGCCTATGACGTCACACTATGGCAACGCCACACAAACCATGTTGGGACCCATTTTTTGTAAGAACTAAATTAATATCAGATTCTGCCAATTAAAGGGCTCTAAAACTATTCATATGTAAATATTTTGCATATTTAATGCAAAATCTAATTTTTCTGCTTTAGTGCTGCAACAAGGTTTTATTAATAATAAATTATTATACCTTTTGTTTTACTACAGCATCGGTAAGCTTCCTGTGCACAGATTATTAAGGATGCTTGTTTCAGCTGTGAGATTAGACGATAGGATCAATGAAAAAATAAGTTGTCACACACTCCATGGAAACTTTCAGAGAATCCACAAATAGTGGCTTTCAAATGGTTTTGTTACTTTTTGCAAGTTTTTAAAAGAAGCAGATGAGACAGCATGTCTGATAATTTAGTTTTTCATCTGATAATATTAGAACATGTCAGTAATGTCTGAGGGGCTTTTATAAACACTGTATAACTAACACTACTGGAGAGGGTATGAATTACACAGAGGCTTCTGGGGAGCCCAGTTATGGGGGGGGAGGGAGGGGGGGGGGCATTTTGCCTTGGCCCCCAAAATGTCTTGAAACGGCCCTGGGTGTGTGACTGAGTTTTGAAGGTGATCTGAATTGTATCAGATGTATAAATATGACATGTGTATAACTTATTGTTTTTTACTGGTAAAAACGTGTCGTGGAGATAAATCTACCTACATTTGACTTTTCAACACTTTGTTTTGTTTTCTTGTTTTTATTTAACTATTTTCCTGTCCTGTCTGTCTCTCATCTTCCTGCATCTCCTCATAATTCTCCAGAAAATCTGTTGCCTGGATTCTTACCTTTTCACCTCATCAGTTACTTTTGAGCAGATCAAAGGGATCTCCTGACCGAAAAGCGCAGAGCGCGTTTTCGATGCTGCGTGAGGTGACATCACCACAGCACAGGTGATGAGCTCCGCAGTAGCGAGCTTCAGGCACAAATAAGACAGAAAATAGAGAACATGTGCGGACATGAACGATCGTGTGCTAATTATAGTTTTTTGGTTGCGCCACTTTGAGAATGGACCGTGCGCCGGAAGCAGCTGCCTGGATCGCTGCGCAACAATGCGGAACCGGTTCGCAGCAGCGCAAGTCTGCCGGCTCTCCCTCGCGCTGATCTGCCGGCTCTCCCTCGCGCTGATCTGCCGGTACCGGCTCTCCCTCACGCTGATCTGCGGCTCTCCCTCACGCTGATCTGCGGCTCTCCCTCACGCTGATCTGCCGGCTCTCCCTCACGCTGATCTGCCGGCTCTCCCTCGCGCTGATCTGCGGCTCTCCCTCGCCCTGATCTGACTTGCTCTGGTCTGCGCGCAACGGCGGGCGGGAAGGGGGGGGGGGGGCGCTTTTGGAAGAGTTGTGCGACACAACGAATCGATGACGCAATTCGTTGCCAACGCTTTTAGTAATCGATTTTCATCGAATTTATCGATTCGTTGTTGCAGCCCTAATGTCAAGAAAACGAAAAGTGGATATAAGAGACTTCTTTCAAAGTCAAAACGTAAGTTGGAACATGTGACAGACCTGCATTAAGCTCAGACTCACCTCCTCCTTCACAAACATACTCAAAACTAACTTTTACAAACTCATCTCCTCCACATAACTGACTCCTCAGACACAATTTATTCGTATTATTATAATTATTATTTTTTTATTATTAGTATTATCATCATAATTATTATTACTAGTAGTAGTAGTAGAAGTGTAACTTCAAAACTTTTATCATTTAACTTTATTGTAAACTTATCTATTGCAATGTATATTTTCACATTAAAAAGCTCTGAAAAATGAACAGTATCATCATCGTCAACAGATTTTTTTAAGCTTAATGTCAAAGATGTACACTTTTCATTAGATCTATCTAATTTTTTCCATTTATTTTTTGTGTGTTGAAATGCAACAACTGTTTAAACACTTTTAAGGGGAAAAACATATTTAATATGTTTTTATACACTCAAATGTTAGGGTGATGATCATGTGTAAAACATTAGTTCAGCATGTCCTCTAACACAGCAAATGAACAAACGGCCAGATCTCAGGAGGGACCGTCTATGTATAAATACTTTTTATACTTTTGACTAGGCCTGGGAAAGTAACACATTTTGCTGGACGATATTTTGTCCAACAAATTGTTGATGATAAACAATATCATTGTCAACATTATCTAGACCAAAATAACCACTAATATAATGTTAATATATCATAATAATGCAAGTACACCCTTTAAAATGCAACAAATAAACCTTCATTTAACATTGAAATGTCCAGAACCAGAACTTCTAAATGAATAAAAATAACAAACAAAAATTAAATAAAAAAGGAATCACATTCCCTGTTAGAAAATGTTGCACCAAAAACAATAAAAAAAGACCCAAAACAATAAATGCAATGGCCTATCCATTGTCAACAGCCAAAACTGCACTTCAATAATAATGAATAAAAATAATAATAGAGTTGTACATTTTTTAACTTTGATATATATATATATATATATATATATATATATATATATATATATATATATATATATATATATATATATATATATATTGAGGATGGAAAAATTATTGAGATGGGCACGTGACGTGTCAAGGGGTCTTTACATAACACCCCCCACCCCAAATCCGCACAAGCCTGCTGTGTCCCCCCCCCCACTTCTGAAATCAAAATTTCGTCCCTGGGTGTAGGAGACTATTTTCATGTTCAGCCTGCATGAAAAACTCTGAGTGACCGATTATAATCAGAAATAATAATTAAAAAAATCTTCTTTCAGTGTTCCACATCTTTAAGAAAGTAAACCCAAAGTCATAGGAAGTGCTGGTATGTCAGTAGGTCTGCCTACTAACAAAGGCTTTTGAATAGTGACACAGATGACTGAAGAACAAACCCTTCCAGCAGGTCATGTTTCAGCCTTAAGAGTCTGATGACAGAGTCAAATGTTTATGATCTGTCTGGAAATTTAGGTCTTTCTAGGGCTGCACAATATATCGAAAAATTATCGTCATCGCGATAACGGGACGTGCGATAGGCCCATCGCAAAGCACGTCAAAAATGGTGATAAATGTTTGGTTCAAACATTTCCATCCGTGTCATACATCACCTTTTTGTAAACCAGCAGTTTTTACGCGGAAGTATTATTTGACCAATCAAATGTAGCCCTTCTGACATGCGGCCAATCAGATGGGTCGTTCACTTAATACGCCCGCCCCTACGTAGACCCTTAGGATGGAAAGCAACACCTGAAATGAGTTTGCGGCGCCGTTCCCTTGTTCGTCATGCTGGCTCAGAGCAACGAACGCACTTTTTGCTGATGTTTCTGGAATCTGCGCCGCCTTCAAACGTGAACGTGAGTCCGCTCGGTGTCGTTAATCAATTTTACCGGGCTGACTCCGACACGTGCCGGTGAACCAACCCACCTTCCTCCATGTCGCTAGTGTTCCACCGGGTGGTGACGTTGGCCCCAGGCTTTGGTTAGCTTCCAGCTAAAAGGCTACAACACTCTCCTCCCAGTCCCACCCTGCTAAAGAGGGCCTGGAAAAGTTCCCTCACACATCAAAGTGATTTTTCATTTATGAGCTTTCCTAACCTTGTTAATCAGGATAGTTGATTTGCTGCTGCACATAAACTGTCAGTCAGAAGCTCTGCTAGCCGGTTATCTTAGTTCAATTAGTTAGCTTGTTATCAGAATCATAGTTGCAGTTTCATCATCTGAGCTGCTTTTTAAGATCTAGGTAAACTTGTTCAATTTGGGGTTAAAAACAAACATTTTCACATATTTTCATGTAGTTTTTTTGCCAGTTCCTTTTCTGAAAGGTAGACAATAGTTTTTCTCTTTCCCTCAGAAAATCTTAATATTCTCCTAGTTTGGCCCAGCACAGTTCACTTCCCAATTACAGCAACAGCCTTATATCATAACCACATAAGTGGAGAAAATGCTCAGTAGCAATGAGAGAATTTGCTGTTGCATTTAAGTGATGTTAACTATTATTTAACATTTAAACTTACTTTCAGATTTTTTTTATTCAGAAACCCTGGTAAGGGATGTTTTTCTGTATTTAGAGCATCAGAAAAAGTTTTATGGTGGTGGTGATGTTTTAAAGTCACTGAGAAACTTCATGCATGCAGTTTGTTGTTTTGCTGCTAATACAGTAGCAGGTGCAGCTGCTAATACAGTAGCAGGTGCAGCTGCTAATACAGTAGCAGGTGCAGCTGCTAATACAGTAGCAGGTGCAGCTGCTAATACAGTAGCAGGTGCAGCTGCATATTTTTGAATAAAAATGTTATGTTGTAATGGAATTCATGCATTAGATTTTGTTTGCTTTGAACCCAGAGCAGACGTCACACGCCAGACGACATCAACACTGCATACTTTAGTATTTGTTCATTCATCGCAAGTAATATCGATATCGAAATATCAAGCACTGTTATCGAATATCGCAGGTTTTCCTAATATCATGCAGCCCTAGGTCTTTCTGTTCTTTATATAAGCAAACTACAAGAAACTCCAGTTTATTTCTTTTGTTTTTAAATTTGTAGATTTTCTATGATCTGGTGCGACAGATCAACAGAAAAACGCCGATGGAAAAGAATAAGACGAAAAAGAAGTCGACTTGCACACTGCTCTAAGACGCGCTCCCACGGTTGCTCCAGGCCAGGTGAGTGGGAGTTGGAATTAAATTTATTCCAGACACTTGCAGAGTTTCAGGAATGACTCAGCTTTGGCTTTTCAGTGAACGTTTAACATTAAGGATCCTGTTGTAATAATTGGGTAATGTTACAGATTTTAACAGGAAAGGAGGAAGAGGAAGGGCTTTGCTGCTGCAGCAACAACATCTGAATGTAAAGAGCTCGCTGTGAAAACGTGTTTGGTTTTAGAGTGGAGCAGAGTTGGCTGAAGCCCCGCCCAGTGCCCAGCATTAACTAAACAGGAAAGAACATTGTCATTTGGTCACAAACAGCTTCTGAAAGTTAGATTTAAACGAGTCAGGTTATAGTTCAGCATTGCTGCCATGTTCTAACTGCTACGGACTTGATCCTGTATCTACAGCTGGTGAATGAGCAGCCGATCAGGAATGATTATGATAAATTAGCCTCTAGAGAATAAAGTAAACATGTATTTCTTGATTTTGTTGGGGAACTATAGAGCTGACCAGCACACAGATAATGTAACCATCTACTTTGGGAGTGATAATGAGCTGGAAGGGCACGATGCTCCGACATGACAGACAAAAGCTGACAGTAAAGCTGTGATGAACTAACCTGCAGTAGAACATTTACAAAATGTTTGTGTTCACAAACACCAACAGCTGTTTTAACAGGCTGTAGGATATAAAAATGTCTGTTTGCAGAGATAATGACACAAACTCTGATCCGCGTAGAGAAACGGTTTTCCTGCAAGGAGATCCTTAGGAGCGACAGGATGGGTTTTAAGAGAACAGACCTGTTTAAACGAACCTCTTTTGGGCTCTCGGTGCTACCCAAACCAGAACCTGCTTAGCTCAAACTCTTTCTGTTTCTCTCACCATCACAGTACATTCACACACTATCACTGCTTTCTGTCTTCCATGGTGAACTCTAGTTTCAATATCCAGTTCAGGATGCAGACATCATGGCACCCTGGACCAACCCTGTGATCTGCTGATATAAATGTTGTCTCTGTGTGACTCCACAAGAACTCCGATTACTCCAGAGGGAGGATTTGATATTTACTGGGGCAGATGTTTAGTGATAACGTGGAAAACCAAACCGTCTTTTTTTATAGGACATGTTCACACTTACACCAGCCTTGGCTAGCACTGGAACCTCGTCAATAAAAATTAAATCAAATTACCGTATTTTCGGACTATAAGTCACACTTTTTTTCATAGTCTGGCTGGTCCTGCGACTTGTATACCAAATTATGTATATGGCACTGCTGCGGGCCGGCTCCGGACCAGGTTTCAGCTCCTCTGCCCTGCTGGGAGGGTTTGAAACACTGCCATCCTCTGCTGGAGACTGTGGCGCGCTGCTGCACCCTGGTTGTGTGTTCTGTTATTGTTACCGGTACTTGTCTTGCAATGTGAAACGCTTGGCCTCATATTTTATATATAAAAAACAAAAAACAAAATGCGACTTATATATATGTTTTTTTCTTCTTCATTATACATTTTATGGCTGGTGCGACTTATACTCCGGAGCAACTTATAGTCCGGAAAATACGGTAAATCTGAGGCTGAAAAAAGTTTACACCCCCAACTTACCAAAGCACCAAGACGTCCCATCCCAGAGATATTCAAGCTAAACAGGAGCGGATGTCCCAAGGCCGTCCAAACACTCATCGTCTGTTACAGATATGCTGCCTGAGCTAAATAGTAAAAAAGTTAGCTTCTTGTTTCTAACACACCTGCAGCACTTCCTGTTTCGGTTTAGTACCAGCAGCACACAGGTCGGATGAAACACAAGCAGAATTTGGCCTTTTGAGCCGTAGGGTTTATTACGTGTCGTGTGTCTTTGAAGTCTGATTAGTTTTCCTTCTGATAATTTTCGTACACGTTTAATATTATGCTCTAACGTTTCATTCGTTTTCTTGCAGAAACTTGCAACGATTAACTGTTTCCCAGTGGATGATGCCAGCATTCCAAATCCTCTTCAGAGCGTTTTGAAAAAGGCTGACCAAGAAACCTCACCACTTGTAAAATGGCAGAAGGCACATACTCTTAACGAAAATGTTCTGCTTACTAATGGCAAAGAAACCTACATACTCTGTATTGTCGGCCTTATAACAACTGTCTTTCCTCTTCTCCGTGGTGTCTTTCTTCTGGAAATTTCTGTGTACAAGAGGAGTCTGTGGATTTAAATCCACACATGGGAACTAAAAAGGTTTTATTGGAAATGACATCAGTTTTTGGCATATTTTAAAATAATGTTTGCAAAATAATTCATCTGAAATGTTGGTCTTCATGCACATTTCTGCACTAACTGTGTTGATGAAGATGCATCATTGTTTATAAGTTACTCACTCCTACTTACAGGGACGTGTACTGATAACATCTTTCCTAAGTGACTTTGTTTTATATCGCGAGCTGTAAGCCTTCCGTATTTCCCATAATATATTCTACTTCCATTTTTGCATAATAAAGTTAAAGAAATTAGTATTTTACAGACTCATGGGGGGTAAAGGGTGCATTCTGATTTGTGTTTTGAGGCTGAACTATATTGTACTAAGCCACATCTAATATTGCTTCTTGTTATCCTGTCAGATAATTTTCCAGCTTTTATGAATGATTAAATTTTAGTACATTTTCATTACTTTTGTTTGTTTTTTAATGATCGAGAGTGACTTTTTCTGGACAGTTTCAGTCAGAAAATCAGAGAGCTTTGGCAGGCTGAAAGTACGAGTTCTGGTTCAGATCAGGTCAGGGGCGTGTCCAGGGAGTGGCCTAGGGTAGCATATGCCACCCTTGGAATATGATTGGCCACCCCAGGTGCCACCACACTAATTTACCTTTAAATAGGCTTTTCATTGTCCACAAGAGGCTTGGGGGTAAAACCAAAAAAACATAACCATTGGTGCCACCCCTGCACAAAGTTGTGCCTCACCTGGGCCACCCCATTTTAAAAGATCTGGACACGCCACTGGATCAGGTCTCTGGACTGGTGTCGGCTGAGGAGTACCGAACCAATGAGGGAAGCAGAAGAGAAAGGGGAACCTCAGATTCCCAGGCGCAGGATGGGTGGGAAGTTAAAAAAAGAATAGAAACTATGATTCACTCTGACCGTTGCAAGATAAAAGGAGGAACTGAGTATGTTTATCGTGTAATTCTGTTAAATCCATGTTCTGCTGGAATCCGTGATGGCAGGATGACTGGGCCGCTTCAGCTCCTGTGGGATTGTTTTCAGTTTCTCTTTGCCTAAAGCAGGAGAAAGTGTCCTGTCGCTCTTGAGAAATGGGTCAAGTACAAGGTGTTGGCTTGGTCCCAGTCCAGTAGATCGCCTAGTCCACCTCCACACCTTGGTACCAGAATCCAGAGCTCTGTCAGGGTATCAGCGGGTCCTTAAAAAGTCTTAAAAAGTCTTAAATTTGCTTTTCCAAATTTAAGGCCTTAAAAATCCTTAAAAATGACAAATAATTAAATAGTTTCCAAAAGTCTTAAATTACCAAAGACCCAATAAACAAGATTCTTTTATTTCTATAACATTTTCGTGAATTTCTAGTTAGTGTTCAGCATTTTTTGTGTATGGTATTGGCGTAAGCGGAACCGTACACGTTCGGTTGGCAGAGCCGTGTCCAGGACTTTTAAAATGGGGTGGCCCATGCGGGGCACTTGTTTATTCATGGGTGGCACCAATGGTTATGCTTATTTATTTATTTACACAAATCATTTACTGGTGGTCAGAGGGGCCGACGGCGCCAAACGGCAGCCTCGCCTCTGTCAGACCTCCCCAGGGCGGCTGTGGCTACAAGTAGCTTACCATCACTAGCAGTGTGTGAATGTGAGAGTGTGTGAAAGCGTCTTTGGGTGTCTAGAAAAGCGCTATATAAGTTCAATGCATTATTATTATTATTATTTATTTATTTATTTACTTTCTATTGAATTTTTGAGTTTCACATTGCACAGTCACCATTTTTTTCCCTCTTCATCTTCTAGTTTTGTGGTGGTTAGCAAGTCACTTCTTGTTGCATTACTGCCACCAACTGGAGTTGAGTAGGACTGATTTAACACACATACTATATATGTGAATATGAAAAAATATTAAATAATATTAATACTACAGAAATGTTCTGTAGGCCTGGGCTAGAAAACAAGGTGAAAGGTGCATGCTACCACACACTATTTTGGAGTTTACAACCCAAGCTTTTTGTCGACAATGTAGTCAATTTAAACTGGAACTTAGTGGGGTGGCACCTGGGGTGGCCAATCAGATTCTAAGGGTGGCATGTGCTACCCCAGGCCACTCCCTGGAGACGCCCCTGTCGGTTGGTTGTGAAAGGGGGCTATTTTTAGATGAGCACGTTAAGCTAGTGGGAGTTTGCGCCATGGGGAAGTGCAACATTAATGGTAACTGGATGGCTAATCCCACGTTCACGACACGGTTAGCACCGGTTCCAGGCAATAGCTGGAAATTATAGCTTAAATTTAATTTAAAAAATAGCTTAAATTTGGTCCAAGTGGCCTTTAAAATGGTCTTAAAAAGTCTTAAATTTGGCTCCCTTGAACCTGCAGATACCCTGTCTGTGCATCACTGAAGTTTAGTCTTATTTTGAATTTCACTTAATACAAACCCTCTTTAGACCATTTATTCAGATTTGAAATTCAGGTTAGTTAATATTGTATCATACATATGTAGGTTAATGTTCTATAACGAGGAACAAAAGAAGCATTTCAGATGTTTCATCCAAAACGTTTGTTCACATCAGATTTATTTTAGACCCCTAACCCAACCCCTGTTGTAACAGCAGTAACAAAATAATGGTGTGTGATTAATCATTAAAGATGCAGTGTGTAAGAATATAGCGAAAATTTTACAGTGAGAAAATCCCAAAAGAGTAATGTTTCTGTCATTCTGGAAGGAAGGTAATACTGAAACATATTTTGTATCCAGCTGCAAAGGAAGGAGGGACGTATCTGCTGTTTACCATCAGTGAGTGTGGGGGTGCCGTGTCTCGTGCTAGCTATTACTGCAGCAATATGACGACGGCCGGTGTTCTGTGCTTACTCATCGAATAGTCTTAACGCAGCATGTTACGACACTTTAGCTCTTGTTTACAATATAGTAACACGCTTATTAAACACGGTTTATTTTAAATGGGTGATATTACTCAAAAATAAAGAACTAGTATAGTTATTAGCAAAATTATACAGTGTCGTGATTTATTTATGAAAAAGACCGTGTTTGTCATGATTCCGTGACTGATGGTAAACAATGGGAGAAATTTCTTGTTTACAGTATAATAACAATATTTTACGAGCTAACTTGTCAGGTGAACATACAACAAGCAGTAATATAACAACTTCCAGAGTTAGTTCATCTCTTCAGGTAAACAGCCTGTGATGTAGTAATCGGTCTGCTCATGCGCAGTTCCCCAAAGTACACATCACGAGTAGAACGGAACACCGGCAAAAGGCTCCAAAGGTGTTTGAAGTGGTTGCAGTTACCAGATTTTATCACAAGGTGTCATTTAAACTTAATTTCTACAGAATGCACCTTTAATGCACGATTTTAATAGAAAATAAATCCTCTGCATATTTTGCTGAGTTTTATCTTTAACCCTCTGATGCATGAATTATGAAATCTTCAACCATGATTTTTTTAAACAATTTTTTTCATTCATCTTTAGGTGTGAATGAAACAAATTTCAACAAATATTTTTTGTAACTTTTGTTAATTTACAAATAATTTATTACATGTGCACCTCAGTGGACAGCGTGCATTCTGAACATGAAACATGTTGGCTTGGTTTACTGAAGTCCAAATGGAGGGGCTCAAATGCAATAAAGTCTTCAACAGCTGTGCTTAATAGCAAAAACAAATAACAATTTTGAGTACCTGTCCACTGTAGTGACCATTATGCATCAATTGGTTAAATTTTTACCAAGTTGCTTCAGATACATGTAAACATGGAGTCGTTTTTCTGCAAAAATGTTGATTTGGCATTGTAGCATGAGACCACTTCTGCAGCTTTGGGTCTCCAAATTGAATTTCTGTGCATGAAAACCTCGGACTGATCAGCGGAGGTGGCTCCCCATCTCCCTCGCCAATCCTAGGCCTCCCCCTCCCCCCCCTCACACGCAGGAGCACAGACCGACAGGCTACTCGACCCCTCCCCCCTGCTTCCATCATTTTCCCATCTCTTACGCTCTTCCCTACAACAAACATGGCCGCGAAATCCGATGGTGCTCCTGGCTTTCCACGAAACGAAATTCCACCCGAGTGTCCGGCCCGGGCGGAGCCGCGGGCCCCGGAGCGCTGTGCCAGCGTGCAGCGGTACACCCTACAGGACTTCTGCTGGACGCTGTGCGCCCTGCTGGTCTTCTTCTCGGACGGGGCCTCAGACCTGTGGCTGGCTGCCGACTACTACCTGCGGGAGAAGTACTGGTGTTTTGCTCTCACTCTGGTCTTTGTGATAATCCCGTCCGTGGTCGTGCAGGTGTTGAGTTTCCGATGGTTCGCCTACGATTTCTCAGAGACCGTGGAGAGCAGCACGGCTGCGGCTGCCGTGGTGGCCGAGTCCGGGGCGGAGGAAAGCCACTTCAGCACCAAGGACAGCGGCGAGTGGGGCGCTGGCCGGGCTGCCGCGGCCGGGGTGCTGCCGGGGCCGGCCTCAGGGGGAGGCGTCCGGGGCTGCTGCAGAGCCTTCATGTGGCTCTTTCAAGGCGTTATTCACATCTTTCAGCTGGCGCAGGTCTGGAGGTAAGGCGGAAACTCGTGATCTTACAGTAAGGGGACACGGCACACACTGTCCTTGTGTGGATGTGTGTGGGTGTGCACGCGCGCGCCCCCCTCTCCCTCCAAAGTCCAGCATCACTCTATAGATCCAGTCATCAACTGGGCCCAACATGCCACAACGTCTTTGTATTGTTTGACCCTGTTAGGATGGGGAGGATTAGACTACACCCACTCCCTCAACCCCTGACTGCTTCTGGGTCAGTCATCTGGAAAATTATCAGCACACACACACACGTTAATGGAATCATTTTATCTTCTGGGCTTTTGGCAAGAATAAGTCATTATTTTAGAAGTGAAGTAATCATAAACGTGGCATGAACTGATTTCTTGTCGCCAGGGTGTGTCCTCTTTCTCTAAACCATCATTTGGTGTATTTATTTATTTGTTTGTTTGTTCTTTTAACCATTTTCTCATCCGGTTGTTAACTTTTCCCCTATGTTCGAAATGTATTTTTTATACCAAAAGAATACAAGATGCAGTAATGTACAGTGTAACACCAGTCTCACGTGAATAGTAGGTCTGTAGGTCAACTGCTCAGTCATTGATGGTGAGTCGGGGCTCAAACTTAGAGCCCTCTGATTCGTTTTGACAGGTTTGAACGGCTGCCAGCTGAGAGGAGGCTCCGTAAACGGTGGTGAGAGGGGGTTAGACAGTACTCACATCCGTTCAAAGAGAGGTTTCATCTTCTAGACATGTTGGACGGTTATACAGAGACAAACTGTGTGAAATTATACGATTTACCTGTAAGTGGACTCAATTTGAGACTGCCTGATTATATTGATATCTTACTTCCGCCTAGAGGCTCTCTCCCTCTCTTTCTGTGTGTGTGTTTGTGTGTGTGTGTTTTGTCTCCAGGAGCACCTTAAAATGATGTGGCAGCACAAAATTACTAGTAATAGCATCAAAGCATGTCCTGCTCACCGGTGTTGCTCTCACACTAGTGTGTGTGTGTGTGTGTGTGTGTGTGTGTGTGTGTGTGTGTGTGTGTGTGTGTGTGTGTGTGTGTGTGCACGTTAAGAGGATTACCGCTGCACATTTCACCCCGAGCTGTTAACTCAGCAACGATCTGTCACTGATACACCGCAGTCAGTCAGGTGAACCAGGCCGGCTACCTGAGCTGAATGTCGGAGCACGTGAGACGATATGGGGTTGTGTCACAGATGAAACCTTTGAGCCTTTGACCCTCGTTACTGCACACTTTGTTTCTCATACCTACCAAGGACTACTTTGTGTGGATGGAACAGAAAAAGGGTTGGTTTAGTGAACCTGTACACATGGGCTTATTTTGACCCTTTTCAAAACAAATACACATTTGTTTCTGAATTCTATTATACAATTAATTAATTATTCCAAATATACTGTTTCTTAATTACTCATTTATACATTGTCACCACGCATATATGGCTAATAATTCACCACAAGAGACTGACAGCACTTTTTGGAGTTCCTTTTTCTCTCTGGCGTCATATTTAGCTGTCTCTGCAGCACATCTGAAAATGGTGCCCACAAGTCTTCCTGTACTAAAATTGCAGTTCAGTAATTGAAATTCCACAAGAGTGAGGAATCGTCATTCTGGCAAGAACCACTGACAGCTCCAAGAGTTTGAAATAATGAGTTTTGACTCTTAAATGTTTGATGTTGCTGGTTTTTTTTTAGTCCTACTTTGTCTAATGCATTAATATCCAAATCTGTCTCTGGAGCACAGGTACGTCCACGCTCTGTATCTGGGGGTGCAGAGCCGATGGCATGGAGACCCAGAGCGGCGTCACTACTACTGGCGCATGATGTTTGAGAATGCAGACATCAGCATGCTGCGTCTGCTCGAGTCCTTCCTGAAGAGCGCCCCTCAGCTGGTGCTTCAGCTCAGCATCATGGTCCACGCCAGAGATGTGCTGCCCCTTCAGGGTGAGTGACCCAAAGTAGCCGATCACCATCGGACACCATTAGCACGTCAAAAGAATAACAAAAGCTCTAATCGCTCAAACACGGTTCTGCAACTCAATGAGTCACTTCAGCTTTTCCCAGTCAGACTCCCACTGAGACGAGGCTTTTCAGATTTTTGTGCTAGAGGATTGAACCATTACCCGCTGTCATTTCCACTCTTCTAAATTATCTTCCTCTTTGGGTCCTCAGGGTTTTCAGCTTCTGCCTCACTGATATCCCTCGCCTGGATGATCTCCTCCTATCAGAAAGTCCTGAGAGACTCCCGGGACGATAAGCTACCCATGACCTACAAGGCCGTCATAGTTCAAATTCTGTGGCACCTGTTCACCATCGGAGCTCGAGCCCTGGCCTTCGCCCTGTTCGCCTCTGTGTTCCACCTTTACTTTGGCATCTTCATCGTGGCCCACTGGTGCATCATGACCTTTTGGATCATTCAAGGTGAAACGGACTTCTGCATGTCCAAGTGGGAGGAGATCATCTACAACATGATGGTGGGCATTGTGTATGTTTTCTGCTGGTTCAGTGTCAGAGAGGGGCGCACTCACTGCAGGATGCTCATCTACAGTCTGACTGTGTTTGTTGAGAATGTGGCGCTCACGACTGCCTGGTACGTGTACCGTGGCACCGCTGATCACCATGGCATCTCGGACTTCTATGCAGTCATTTTGATGTGTGTGGTGGCCAGCAGCTACGCTCTGGGCACCTTCCTCATGTTTGTGTACTACTGTCTGCTGCACCCTGATGGTGCAGTCACAGGGTGGAATTATATAGGGGAGAAGGAGTTGCCTGTGGAGGTGCTGGTCTCCCCGGCTTCCAGCCTCCCCCCTGATCTGGTGAGCAGCCCACCCAGGACCCTCCAGAGAACTAAAGGGTTGGACAGGGAGCAGGGTCCTGGGGTAGATGGTGACGTGTTCAAGGTACGGCCTCCCAGGGGAGCTAAGCCCCCAGTGCCCAACCTCAAACCCAGGACAGAGGGGCCTGTAATTCGAATAGATCTACCCAGGAAGAAATACCCTGCGTGGGACGCGCACTTCATCGATCGCCGCTTGCGTAAGACCATCCTGGTGCTGGAGATTGCTGCCCCAATCACACCCAGGATTCAGTACCGCTGCCTGAGCACAGCCAAAGAAGTGATGGAGTACGAGACCACCGTGTGATGCGCTGAAGGAGCACACAGCTTGCTGCTGCGATGACATCCTGCCTTAAATGAAGATGGCAGGTGGACGGTTCTAGCTGCGAAGTCTGCTTCAGCTCCGCACTCACTTCTGTGCTGCCAGGTGCTACACACACACACACACACACACACACACGGGGTGGGGGGTGGGGGGCAAAGAGATGGCTGAAGCTTGATGTCTTTATGTTCTAAAAATAAAATCCTGTAGTTTTGTGTAGCGATGGTGCATACTTTGGTTTCTGTATTAATTCTCAGGTCATGATGTGACACAGGAGGTGAACGTAGAAGCACAGCCAGGCAGAGAAGTGGAGCTGTTATCTGTCAGAAACAGAACGGCCTCCTCGCTGAGGGTGCATCAGCACCTCCTCTGCGGGAGGCCGAGATCGGAGACAAGCCTTCAACGTGCATGATTATTTGTGGCAGCTAGAGGACAGCACAGTGTGTGGGCGGGGGCGCCGCATAAGTTAATCTAGCAAACAATCCACGAGAAACACAGCACAGGGGAGTTATTGCCATGTTTTTGTATTTTTATTTTCCATAACTTTTGCTGAGGGAGACTCTGAAAATGTTGCTTTAAATCTGAAGCGTTGAAGTTGAATGTAAAAACGGTTGACTGTGATTATCTGCACCAAGGCTTTGTGTGATTTATAACATTCCTGTGGACTTTTTTTGTCATTGAGCTGCGATGAAGAGAAATTTGGGTTTACGGTCTGTAATTCTTTTTGTCATGCCGTCATATCAAAAAGATGCACCTCCCTTTCGAATGCACTGAACATTGGATAAATGGTGACTTTAATCACATTTACAGGATGGAAATTCTCACTTTCTGTATCCAAAGCAGCAAAAGCAACAGGACAAATATAGTTTTAACATGTAAATGACTGTACAGTGAAGAGGAAGTCTAAGTGGGACAGCACTGTTTGTTGTTGTACTGTGTGCATATGTCGTTGTCATCTAAACAAATGTAGAAAAAATAACAGTTGCAGACCCTAAAGGAGCTTTGATCTTATTGGTGAAACAGGCATGAGGTACATTTAGTAACAATGAATTACAAGTCTGTGTTTTTTTTATTCCTGCTAAATATTCCTATATTTATATTTGCTCAAACAAAGCTTTGAAAATAGAAAACCTGTTTGTGCTGATTTTAAAATTCATTTTTTATTCATTTGCGAAACAGAATGCCTGTAGACTTAACAAACAAGACTTTTTTACACAATCAAGCTGCTTTATAAGAAATGTCGGCAGCTTGTTTCCTTTATCGAGGTTGCTTTTATATGGTGTTATCAGAAAAGGAGCATTTCTGAAGTGTGTGTTTGTGTTTCTGTGTGTATGTGAGCTACACACTGGGGGAGACGGGGGAGGGTTGATTTAAAATTGTCACGATGAGATGACAGATTTCTTGTAAATTCTGTTCATTCAGTTTGTTTTCTCTGACGACTCTGAAACCGATCCGCAGCCCAAGAGCACCTTTGCCATCCTTCTCACTAGTAAAGAAGCCATCCAGGCTTTGGTCACGGTGCTAACTGTCTGAGTCCGTTATCCCTACCATGAGCTCGCTGGCGCAGGACTCGACTGCGGCTGTACCTCAAACACAAAGCTAGAATCGAAAGCCTTAAGCTGGTTTTACCAGACTGTTGCTGATCAACAAGAAAGTGAAGACAATTATTTTATGTTGTTGTTGGTAAAATAAAGAACAGTGTGTTTACCTGATCTTTGCTGTTATTGGATGGTTGAAATGACACACAGTGCATACATACTTCTAAGTAAGAGTCTGATAAGACTGACTCCTAATCCTGTTAGATTAGTGGATTAGAAGCACTGGATTAGTCCCCAACATCCACAGACGTCTGTGACCCCTGGACACTTTACACTATGGCCAAAGTTTGATATAAAAGTGATAGGACTCAGTGATCGCTCAGAAAACAAAACAATAATTATAAAAACATTCATGTCCCAGTTGGATCTTCAATCAATCAATCAAAGCTTTATTTATAAAGCGCCTTCCGCAACCCTGTCTGTCAAAGCTTTAATGTTTTACATGACCGCATAAAATGGAAATCTGATTGCAAAATGTCCTAATGACTCAAATTTATGTGATCAAACGCCAGCCTGTAAGATCACGTGGACAGAGACCTGGAGGTGGGAACCAGCAAGACTTCAGTTCCTCATTGAGCCCATCCAACCTGCGCACCAGGGGTCCTGTAGAAGTGCCGGCAGGCCCGCTGTATCAAGCAAGAGGGTCCCTATGCAGATTGGCTGCAGGGGATTCCCAGGACAGTCACTGTGTGGCTTACTCACATCTCTTGGGATCAGGGTTGCAGAGGAGGAAAGCCATGAAAGAAATCATCGAAGCAGCAGAGAAAGAACCCTGGTGGTTGTGGATCAAAAGGGGTGAATCATGTATGGCGCGGTATGGGGGCCAAAATTCAGACTACTGCCCAGCAGCAGGAGGCTATAAAGGTGCTACTTCTCAGTAAGCAGCGCCAGCCTCTCAGTTACCGGCGCCAGCTTATCATTAATCAGATCAGTAGTTTGCTTCGGAACTTCTATAGCCTCCTGCTGCTGGGCAGTAGTCTGAATTTTGGCCCCCATACCGCGCCATAATCATGTGCTGCTTGGACACAAGCCACGGACTGATCACCCCTAGCTGCTGCCCTGGAGAAGGTGTCTTCACAGACGATGGTGATGTGCCCAAGCTGGCCCATCTGGTGTATCTGTGAACTAGGTAAAAACAAAAATCATGGTATCAAATATCTTTAACTGTAGAACAATTTCAAACTAAATCGTAATTTCCCTCTGCAGCTCAAAATATGTGTTGATTCAGTTTTACTGATTTAAACAGACTTACGCTCATTCAAATACTTTTACAATAAAGTAACAGGGAAACTGTTTTTCTCATAGCATCTAGACTTTGCTATGAATTTAGACAATTAGACGACCGTCTAATTCGGTGAGCTAGAATCAGACACAAAGGATTTTATTGTGCGACTAAATTTATCTGGAAACAATTTTGAGTGAACGTTTTATGATTTGCGCTCTTCTTGCTGAAGAAATATGAAATACGAGCAGCGATTACGACATTTTCCTAGACATCAAATCATCCACGAAGATTTCCGAGCGGAAACGTGTACAGCCAATCATCGCTGAGTGGGCGGGGCTTAGTCGGACACCGGCGCTGAGTAGGCGTGCGTCAGCCAGCTGTGCCTCAGACTAGAATGGCGACCGCTCTGTGCGGTCTGCAGACCAACGGCAACAGTAAACCGGCCAGAGCTCACCGAGAGCAGCGGAGGAAAGTTAAGGACTCCCGTAGGAGGCAGGCGGCCCTGCTGTTTCTCAACAACATCTCACTCGACGGACGACCGTTGCGTCCGCTCAACGTTGGAAATGCCGACCAAAAACCAGCCGAGGAGCCCCGAGTCAGGGACCGAGGCGTCTGCGAAGCGCCCGAGCCGCTCAGCGAAGGACCTGCCGGCCAGGTGACAGATACTCCTGCAGCCGGGGGTGGCTCATCCTCCAGCGTCCCTGGGGTGTTCGGTCCAGTCCGGCCCTCCGCGGTACCGTCTCCGGGACCGACAGCCACGAGTTCTGTTGGACCCAACGAGGTATTTTTAGAGAGCGCCAGTGCGGTTGAGTCGCTAACCCCGGACACCCCGCTATCTCCCGCGCCGGCCGGACACCAGCCCTGCTCGCGAGCCAAGTCGACGCCCGCCGCGCTCAGCCCGGTCCCGGCCGCCAGTTCCCTGGAATCACGACCAAGGTAAGCATACCTGAGCTGAGTGTCTCCTGGGCCTCAACACGGGCCACCGACTTCCGTATGCGTCAGAAGGGACCAGCGGAAGAAATCACGTTTTCGTTTTACACGATTTTCTGTTCCGTTCCTGCTGAAGCTCACAAAAAGCATCTCATTACACCACTTATTGAAAGGAGGATGGCTCCACTTCCTGTGACAATACTGTAACACGACATTTCTTTAAATCAGATTATTTGTCTCATTTTAAGGGATGAGGAAAAACCAAAGTAAGTCTTAAACTTCGTCTTCTGCCTTTGACTCGTTGGTTTTTCTTCCAAGCCTGTGATGTTAACAGATCTAAAGCAGAAGTAGCTATGACATGTTATGACATCATCACTAAAGGTGTCTCTCCACAGGATGAGAAACATCTCCGGTTCTCCTGGACCCAAGGTGCCAAAGAAGGTCCACTTCATTAAGACCATGAGACAGTATGATACCAGAGGATGCAGGTGAGTGTCCAAACCAACTCAGCAGGACATGAATAACAAATGCTTCATGCTGGAGTGTAGGCCATCACCACATAGTCTCAAACACTCCCGCTGGAGCTGTAATAAGCTGCTTAGGTCTGGTGCAAAAGCTGCAGAGGAATAACAGGAATACACAGCTGCTGTGTGGCGATTGCTACGGTGAATTTAATCACCTTTGGATGCTTAGCTAAAGCCAAAAGAGGTGCAGCAAGGAAACGTAACACCTTATTGCACCAGTGGTAATGTTATCCCACAGCAAGACCAGGCTTAAATATCACAGTGTTGGCGGCTCATTACGCCTGTCGACCACAAGAGGGAAAAAAAAAAAGAACATGTGGAGGATTTCACTGTAGAAAATACGCTGACTTTACAGTTTAACAGCAGAATTCTTTTGTTTGAAGAAGAAAATATCATTTCTATAGCGCCTCTCGAGATAAAAATCACGAGGCGCTTCACAAAAACAAAAAATATAAAAAATTGTAAAAATATAAAAAAGCACTTAGAAAATGTTTAAAAATATATTTAAAATGAGCAAGAATAAGTGATTGTGATTTAAAAGAAAAAATGTTAAGAAAGAGAGAGTGAATAGGAAAGAGGGAAATCAGTGGATCCTGAGGAAGGTGGAATAGGTGGGGAGAGCAGAATAAAGAGAGTGTGGTGAAGACGGTCGTACAAAAGCCAGCTTGAACAAGTGAGTCTTCAGCTGCTTTTAAAGGAGACCACTGAGTCCACTGATCTCAGGCTCAGGGGGAGAAAGGTCCAGAGTCTGGGGGCCACAGCAGCAAATGATCTGTGATGTTCCATTTTTCACATGTCCAACATCCAATACATCCTACTCATTTTCACACAAACCCATTCATGTTTTCCTGCTGGTGTGTGTGGGTCAGTGATGAAGCAACCCTGAATCGCCCCACAGGTTTGGCTTTAGTAGCTCCTGAGCAGAAGTCAGCATGCCTGTGTGTAAGTTACCGTAACACACACTAGCAGTAGTCTGTGTGATTCCATAGGCTGGACTTTAAATCCCTCTGAGTCCTGCAGACCCAGCCTGGGTGTGACCTGCAGCATGCCTGTGGCAGAGACTGTAGATGACTGTGTTTAGTGAGGAGCTGAACCGCGGCTGTTTGTTGAGTTGTTGTTGTCGTCGTCGTTGTTGTTATGTGAGCCGGTTTCTCCACATTTCTGTCTGTTAGCTCCAGTCGCTGTCTCAGTGTTTTGTTGGTAGTTTGTCCCAAGCTTGAGCTTATTCAACTCTAGTTTTGTGTTTCTGGTGCATTACATCTGAGTCACAGAGTGGTACGTTACTAACAAAAACATCCCTGCTCTTATCATCATGATAATGATAACAACGATAAAGCAGGAAGTTAAACACGATTTGATTTGTTGACGGCAAAACAAGCTTTTATTTTAGACTTTTGTACTGTTCGTGAAACAAAAAAGCTGTTTGAAATGGAAAAAAACAGGTTATCCGCAGGTCCTTAAAAAGCCTTAAATTTGCTTTCCAAATTTAAGGCTTTCCAAATCCTAAAAAATGACAAATAATCCTTAAATGCAGTTTTCAAAGGTCTTAAATTACCAAAGACCCAATAAACAAGATTCTTTTATTTCTGTAAAATTTTCGTGAATTTCTAGTTGGTCTTCAGCATTTTTGTGTACGATGTTGGCGTAAGCGGAACCGTACACGTTCAGCTGGTTGTGAAAGGGGACTATTTTTAGATGAGCACAGTAGCTGGTTAAGCTAGTGGGAGCTTGTGCCATGGGGACGTGCAGGTTTAATGGTAACTGGATGGCTAATCCCACGTTCGCGACGTGGTTAGCACCGGTTCCAGGCAATAGCTGGAAATTATAGCTTATATTTAATTTTAAAATGGCTTAAATTTGGTCAAAGTGGCCTTAAAAAGTCTTAAAAAGTCTTAAAATTGGCTCCCGTAAACCTGCAGATACCCTGAAAAAGGAAGAAATACCAACATTTCTGTTATTCCAATTAAAAGAAATTGGTTGCAGAAGGAAATAATAAAGCAGCAGTTATTGTGTGTGCAGTCAAGGTTTATATTAGAGTAGAACAATTATCTTTAAAGCACAGGACGATCTTTTAAAACTTGGGTATATCAGTGACCCTGGTATGTTTGTTGAATTCACTTCCTGTTTGATTTGCTCGTCTTACTTGATAGTAAAGGACACATTCTGGATCATTCCTTCTATCTCAGTTTTTAAACTAAAATGTTCAATTTTATTTCCAGGATGCTGAAGATTAGGCTTTTGAGATAATGGAATGAAACAAACTTTTGAGTGCGTTTGCAGGAGCATTGAAGAGCAGAAGGTTTTATTCTTTTACAAAATCCAGTGGATCATGATGTTCTTAGCGTTAAGACTGGGTCGCATCAGATCAGAATCTCCACGATGTGTTAATGTCATTTATAAAAAGGTGTCATTTAAAACAAACAACACGTTTACACTCGATTTGTCTTCCTCTTTTTTTTTAACGGCTCATAGTACAGACCGCATGATCAGGGTAGTCGGTGCTGTAGGTTGTGGCAGAATCCAGCGTCCTTTATTTGAAACGTTGGCACGAGGCGTCAAAAATATGCAAAATACAGCAGAAATAAACCGAAGACGCACCGACTCTGGTTCTGAAGGCCAGTTTGTATTTCTGATTCTTGTACATCTTTGAACCGATACCAATTTATTTAATGGCCTTTATTTGAATTGATGTAACACCTTCTAGAGTCTTGGAACCCCCCAAGGCACTTTACAACACAAGCAGTCAGTCACACCCTGATGGGGATGAGCTACGATGTAGCCACAGCTGCCCTGGGGCGCACTGACAGAGGCGAGGCTGCCGTCCACAGGCGCCACCGGCCACCTCCAGCAGGCAAGGTGGGTTAAGTGTCTTGCCCAAGGACACGGCGACAGACTGAGCGGGGCTCAAACCTGCAACCTTCCTGTTAGGGTTCCGATTAGGGGAGAGCACTTAACTCCCGTGCCACCGTTGCCCCTTAATATAACAGTTTAATCAGAAAGATACGGAACAGTTCTGATAAGGTAGAAAATAAAAGATCGGACAGAAAACCGTTCCTCTGGAGGATCTGTGTTTGCTAGCGTGTTAGCCGATTACAGATTAATCAGGTCGGTATGGCCCGATTCTGACCACCAGATGTTTTTGCTGCATGTTTACCGTAATTTCCGGACTATAGAGCGCACCTCAATATAAGCCACACCAACAAAAAAAGGTTTTCTACACACACACACACACACACACGCCGCACTCGAATACAAGCCGCGGCGCAGCAGCCACATGCGGGTCTCCGGCGCACAGCGCATGTACGGCCATAACATAAGATAATTAGACAGGAAGATGCTACACGGAGGTTTTTCGTTGTTGTTTTAATTCAACAAAACGAATTTTAAACACGGGTGAACGTGCCTGCAAGTTTAGAAAAGAAAACAGCGCTGATAGCATTCATATTTCTGGATGGTTATAAAATACAAACAACACTGACACGTTATTACCGGTAAT